ATTGGTTCATCCGTCGAGTTTGACTGGTGCTCTGTTCGCGCCATCCGCACTCTGCGAGCCACCGGCCACAAGACCATCATGGTCAACTACAACCCAGAGACAGTCTCCACCGATTATGACGAGGCCGACAAGCTGTACTTTGAGAACATCACTCTTGAGACAATCTTGGATATCTACCAGCTGGAAAACGCTAGCGGAGTCCTCGGTGCCATGGGTGGCCAGACCCCCAACAACATTGCTCTGCCCCTCCACCGTGCCGGTGTCAAGGTGCTGGGTACCTCTCCTGAGATGATTGATACCGCCGAAAACCGTTACAAGTTCTCCCGTATGCTGGACCGAATCGAGGTTGACCAGCCCACTTGGAAGGAGCTCACCAGCTTCGAAGAGGCCCAGGCTTTCTGCCAAAAGGTGTCTTATCCCGTGCTGGTTCGACCCTCATACGTCCTCTCCGGTGCGGCCATGAACACTGTCTACTCTGAGAAGGATCTGGAAAGCTACTTGGCTCAGGCCGCCGAGGTCTCACGCGAGCACCCTGTCGTTATCACAAAGTACATTGAGAACGCCAAGGAAATCGAGATGGACGCTGTTGCCAAGGATGGTGTTGTTGTTGGCCACTTCATCTCTGAACACGTTGAGAATGCCGGTGTCCACTCTGGTGATGCCACTCTCATCTTGCCGCCGCAAGATCTTGAACGTACCACCATTTCACGCATTGAAGAGGCTACTCGCAAAATTGGTGCCGCTCTGAACGTGACTGGTCCCTTCAACATCCAGTTCATTGCCAAGGACAACGACATCAAGGTTATCGAGTGTAACGTCCGAGCTTCTCGTTCGTTCCCCTTTGTTTCCAAGGTCATGGGAGTTGATCTGATCGAGATGGCCACCAAGGCAATCATGGGCCAGCCTTTCCAGGAGTACCCACCTACAGATATTGCTCCTGACTGCGTCGGTATCAAGGTTCCTCAATTCAGTTTCTCTCGTCTTTCTGGTGCCGATCCTGTTCTTGGTGTCGAGATGGCCTCTACTGGTGAGGTTGCTTGTTTCGGTGTTGACAAGAACGAGGCATACCTCAAGGCTCTCTTGTCTACCGGATTCAAAATTCCCAAGAAGAATATTCTCCTGTCCATTGGTTCGTTCAAAGACAAGAAGGAGATGCTTCCATCAGTCCAGAAGCTTCAGAAGCTTGGGTACAAGCTGTTCGCCACCGCTGGTACTGCCGATTTCCTGCAGGAGCACGGCGTCCCTGTCCAGTATCTCGAAGTTCTCGGTAAGCAGGAAGACAAGGATTCTGAGTTTTCTCTCACTCAGCATCTTTCCAAGAACACGATTGATCTGTACATCAACTTGCCTTCCAACAACAAGTACCGCCGTCCCGCAAACTACATGAGCAGAGGCTACCAGACTCGTCGTATGGCCGTCGACTACCAGATTCCTCTCGTCACCAACGTCAAGAATGCCAAGATCCTCATTGAGGCTATTGCTCGAAGCTTCGATCTCAGTGTTAGCAAGCGTGATTACCAGACTAGCCACAAGACTGTGGTCCTGCCCGGATTGATCAACGTTGCAGCCTTTGTTCCCGGCCTTGTTACGCCAGAGAGCCATGACATGGAGACCGTTACCAAGGCCTCCATCTCTGCAGGCTTCAGCATGATCCGTGTCATGCCCCTGGGCCTGGAAGGCGCCATCACCGACGCCATCACTCTCAGGGCCGCTCAGCAGAACAGCAAGCTCGGCGACTACTGCGACTACAACCTGTCTGTTTCCGCCACCTCGGACAACGACAGCCAGATTAGTACCCTTGCTGGGGAAGTCGGTTCGCTCTTCATTCCCTTCAACCACTTGTCTGGCAACATTAGCAAGGTGGCTGCCGTCACTGCCCACTTTGATGCTTGGCCGACGCACAAGGTCATTGTCACTGACGCCAAGCTGACTGACCTCGCCTCGATCCTTTTGCTGGCTTCTTTGCACAACCGCCGCATCCACGTTACGTCCGTTACGAACAAGGATGACATTCGTCTGATTGCGCTTAGCAAGGCCAAGGGACTGCGCGTTTCTTGTGATGTCTCCATCTACTCCCTGTACCTGTCTACCAAGGACTACCCTGAGCTCGATCGACTCCTCCCGTCCCCCGAGGACCAGGCAGCTCTTTGGGAGAACATGTCAACCATTGACGTCTTCTCTGTCGGAAGCCTGCCCTACCAGCTGGCTGAGTCTCTAGGAAAGAAGGCTGACACGTCGAGTGGCATTGCGGATGCTCTTCCGCTCCTGCTCACCTCTGTTACTGAGGGCAAGCTGACGATTGACGACCTCAGGCAGAAGCTTTACCAGAACCCCATGGAAATCTTTGAACTCCATGACCAAGTTGGCACCAGCATTGAGGTCGAGATCGACCGCGCCTACCCGGCCCAGGCTGGCAACGTGTGGTCGCCGTTTGAAGGTCGCCTTATGCGCGGATCTGTTCGCAGAGTTACCTTCCAGGACGCCACGGTCTGCTTGGATGGCGAACTCTTGGCGGTGCCTCCCAAGGGCAAGGACATGTCTTCGCACAACATTTCTCGCGAGGCCCCGACTTCTCCTGCTTTGAAGCCCGCCATTGGTCTGATTACTCAAGTTACCGAGAGCCCCAAGCCTAGACAACCCGCTGGTTTTAGTAGCCCCAAGATTGCTGCTCGATTCCGCAATCTTGAGGGACTCGGCTCTCCTGCCAGACTCGGAGGCGCTGTGGATGAGCTTGGCCTGACTCTGTCTCCCCAGCCGACAACCAACTCTCTTCAACAACTACTATCGCAGCCCAACTCGTTCAAGAACGCCCACGTTCTGTCCGTGAAGCAGTACACTCGATCTGACCTGCACTTGCTGTTCACCGTGGCTCAAGAGATGCGTCTCGGCGTTCAGCGCGAGGGTGTTTTGAACATCCTCCGCGGCCGCGTTCTCTGCACGCTGTTCTATGAGCCTTCCACTCGAACTTCCGCTTCATTCGACGCTGCCATGCAGAGACTTGGAGGGCGTACCATTGCGATTGCGACATCTACCTCGTCTGTGCTGAAGGGCGAGACGCTACAGGATACTCTGCGAACCCTGGCCTGCTACGGAGATGCCGTTGTCCTGCGTCACCCTCAAGAGACTTCTGTGGACATTGCCAATAAGTACTGCCCTGTCCCTGTGGTCAACGGCGGAAACGGCAGCAAGGAGCACCCAACCCAGGCCTTCCTCGACCTCTTTACCATCCGTGAGGAGCTGGGCACCGTGCAGGGTCTGACAATTACCTTCTTGGGTGATCTTCTATATGGCCGACCCGTCCACTCGCTGGTGTACCTGCTCCAGCACTACGACGTCAAGGTTCAGCTCGTGTCTCCCAAGGCACTGTCTCTCCCCGCCAAGGTGAAGGAGCAGCTGATTGCCTCTGGACAGCTGTTGGTTGAGTCAGAGACTCTGACACCCGAAATCCTCGCCCGCAGCGATGTGCTGTACTGCACACGCGTGCAAAAGGAACGTTTTGAGAGCGTGGAGGCTTATGAGAAGGTGAAGGACTCGTACCGCGTGGACAATGCTACGCTGAAGAACGCCAAGAGCTCCATGGTTGTGCTGCACCCTCTTCCAAGGAACGAGGAGGTGGCTGAGGAGGTGGACTTTGACCAGCGGGCGGCGTACTTCAGACAGGTAAGGACGCCCCTTTTCAAATCAACGGGGATTGAATTTGCTAACTTTGTGATGCAGATGCGGTATGGTCTTTACTGCAGGATGGCGCTCCTGGCACTTGTTATGGCTAGCTCGTAGAGAAGCTATTTCATTGTGTCAGATGTGGATTTCCGGATGAAGACTGTACAGAGTAGAACTTGCTTTCTCTTATTTCGATGTTTTTTCCGGATTATTTTTGGGACGGTTGAATGGGACACAAAAAGGGGCATGATGTAGAAGGTTATTTCTTTTTTTTTTCAATGGGCGTTACACATATTAGACTACGTCCTAGGTATTAAACCCGTATTTATGGCATCGTCTGCCTATTTTCGGAAGGGTTTGGCGTTATTTGGTGTTTTTTTTAGAGAGCGTTCTGTGAGTGGCGTTTGTTAGCCCGCAGGCGTATAAGATACCCGTACTATGATACCCAATAGAGTTTGATGCGTATACGTATGTATACGTACGTTTATACGTCGTGTACGTACGTTGCGTACGTTTTGTTTGTATGTTGTGTGTGTTGTATATGTGTGTGTTTTGTGTCTAATTCAGAGCAGAGGCACTAGAGCGTCCAAAGCTTTCGTGGAGTTGAGACTAAGTGGAAATGGTTCCGCACCAGCGCCCCAGCTAGAACAGCCACTGTAGCGTATACTTTTGCTTACGAGTAGTGACAACGGGTATTTGGAGTATTAGGTACGAGGGGATTGGTTGCTGGTTAGATGGCAGGTCATTTGTGCAGATCGTGCTGAGATGCACCTCTTGTGAGAATCGGTGGCGTGGAGCTGCAGAGCGATGTCATGGATTCTTCAAAAGATGAAATATGTACACAATGGATGCAGCCTCTATGAAACGAGCTGCATTGATATAATGCGTACTTGATCATTCTATACAGGACAATATATTGCCTCGCAGCAGCAGCAATAACCCACGCCCTGTCTAGATATATATTTCCAACGGCAAAGCACGGAGAGGGCGTCATTACTCTTTCCGGCTCGCCCCCACCTTTTTTTTCCCAAGCAATCAAGTAAAGCTTTTTTCCCTCTTCAGCCTCATCCTGTCTCTCTCTCTCCAACTTGCTTTGTTTCCATACTCATTTTTAGCAAGCAATTTCTTTCTTACTTTGCAAGAAGAAGAGCCATAATACAGAATACAGGGGTCCACTGGCTTTATAAAGCAATAAATAAAGCGTTTTAGGTTGGAAAGGGAAGAGGGTCATCTTTAAAAAAGTGGTGTGACTTGACATAGACTTGGGGGGGGTAATGCGATTGAGCCGGCTGCGATATTTTGCTTCAACGACGACAACGACGACGACATCTGCGGCAAAGATGGCGCTGTACCGACGCCCTTCGCTGGTTGCGACGACTGAGGAGGAGAAGCTGATTTGTACGTCTTTACTGCCGACGCTCATCCTGCTTGTCACATACATCTCATGGGCTATGATGACATGACTCACTCCACCACTCACTCACACCCTCATGCTCTCAATCAAAAAAAAAACTAACATGGCAAAAACAGTCGCCCCCGCCGGCCACAACCCCCACGGCCAGGCCGCCCAATTCACCCTCTCGCAGCTGCACCTGCACGACCTCAACCCCACGTCGCCCATCCCCCAGTTCCACGCCTGGTTCTCGCTCGCGCAGCGCACGCCGTCCATCTCGCAGCCCGAGGCCTGCACGCTGTCCACGGCGTCGCTGCCGTCGGGCCGCGTGTCGTCGCGCGTCGTCTACCTCAAGGAGCTCGACGCCCACGGCTTCGTCATGTACACCAACCTGGGCACGTCGCGCAAGGCCCGCGACCTGGCGACTAACCCGCACGCCAGCCTCGTCTTCTACTGGCCGCCGCTGCAGCGCCAGGTCCGCGTCGAGGGCATCACCGAGACCAACTCGCGCGAGGAGAGCCAGATGTACTTTGACACGCGCGTGCGGGGCAGCAGGATCGGCGCGTGGGCGAGCAAGCAGTCCATGGTGCTGAAGCCAAAGGCGAACAAGGTAAACGGCCGTCTTGGAAAGACGAGCGAGGCCGAGGCCGAATCAGCAGTAGCTGCCTCAGACGGCGAGGAAGAGACGGAAGACGACGGAAGAGCCGAGCTGGAGGGCTGGGTCAAGGACGTCGAGGAGCGCTTCAAGGACCAGGACAAGATCCCCGTGCCCGACTTCTGGGGCGGACTCCGTCTTGTGCCGCAGCGAGTCGAGTTCTGGCAGGGCCGAGAGAGTAGACTGCACGATCGCTTCGTGTACGAGTGGGAGGAGGCCAAGGATGGCAAAGAGGGACGCTGGCGACTGGAGAGGTTGAGTCCCTGATTCTGACATGGCCATGTATGTGTGTGTGTGTTTTTTTTTTTTATATCTTGGTGAAAAAGGGGGTTGCGATCCCTGATACATATAGCAATGAGTGATACCTATATACATGTATCATTAGAAAATACAACGACATTTCACAGGATAGAATAAAGGTCCTGATATCGGCACGATAGACAAGTCATCAGACAGTGACAAGAGTTGAATGAGATAAATATGGTGGAATAAATCATCGTACGGGATATCATATCCGCTCGCCTCGACAGGCAAGCAGCACTAAATGATTCAACTCTACTATGCTCGGTATGTAGATAGAAACACGCATGTAGCTACTAAACAGAAGACCCAAGTGGTATCGAAAAAGACGCAATTGTCTCATCACATAGCAATATCCAGCTCAAAAACACCTCCGAGTAATGGACCCCATGGGTTCTTTGCCCATAAATCTGTCCACCCAATCAAGAAGACGAAATAGATAAGCACCCATCAAATGGCCAAGGATGAGAATGAAGAATTCAAATGATCCAAGAAAAAAACAAGACTCCGTAGCCCAAGTAGCCAGTGTCCATCTGGCCAACCATTGCTCCTCGCTTTGCGATCCCCCAAAACGCCGTAATAAATATGCTCGTGTGCCCAACATGCTAAGCGTATTGAAAATAGAAAGCCAGGTATTAAAAAATGAATAAAATGCCCATCGCTTTGTCAATGACTCGTCAAAAATAAAAAAAATGTCCCTCTGTGTTGAGGGATTATCAGCCGCAGCGTCGACCTTCTTTTGCAGTCTCCACATCATCGAAACCCGTCTAGCAGAGCCACTCCAAGCGTCTTGGAGCGGTTGTGACTCGGCACAAACTCGCAGTCGCTGCCAGCTGCGCTATCCGGAGGCGTGGGTTCGCGAGCCGTGTTCCATCGCGATCCCGACTCTTCTAGGTCTCCAGCGAGTTGCATGTCCACCATGGCGTCCGTGAGGTAGTCATCGTCGTACAGCGGCAAGATGCGGTAGTCCAGGCTCTCCAGAATACGCAGCTCCGTCAAGTTGAGCTGATGGTTTGACCATAGGCCGCGGCCCCATGCAAGACGGTAAAAGTCCGGTGGCTGCTGCGAGTCCTGCGTGAATTTTGCCGCAATAATCAGGGCAGCCAGGATGATGATTTCGGGACGCACGGAGTCGATGTGAAGCTGTTGGCGGGGAGCGTCGCGCGGTGTCAAAGGCAGTGAGTGTCGCTTGACGAGGGCCGGTGATGTCACGGTTAGCGAGTCCAGATCGTCATCGTTGGAGCGCATCGGACACGAGAGCGGGCATGAGAGCCGCCATGTTCGCGCAAATTTGGTGTCGAGGCTGTCGAGGATGCAAACCGCCAGCGCCAGCACCTCTATGGAGAGATCGGCCCGCGAGAGCATGGCCTGCACAAAGGGCACCGAGGCGCTCGCCAGCGACGCCGATGCGGGAATCAGATTCACGAGATGGATGGCGGGACCTGTGACCCAAACTGTTAGCCATGTGATTCGCCCATGTCCAAAGCGGCAAAGGCAAGTCCCAAGGGGTTGCAGCGATAATACTCCGTATTCCGTATTCCGCGATCCGTCTAAGCACATGCAAAGCGGTCCACGCTACACGGAGTACTTGGCAGAGTACTTGGCACACAACTTTGCAGAGACACGCGCTGGGTGCTGCTAAAAACTCACCTCGATATCGCGGGTTCAGCGTGTCATCATCCTCGAGCGATTGGTCTGCGAATGACGGCTTGTTCAAGGTCGGCGGTGGCGTGGGCAATCTGGAGAGCGGCCGGTATATGAAGCTGGCGCGCTCATACTCGTAGTCACTGTCGTCATCTGCGGCAAAGCGCACGTCTCGGCTGCCTCCTCGCTGCATTGTGTTGGTGGTGGTGGTGATGTCGTGTTGATTCTGTGGTATAGTGTTCAAGTGCTGTAGAGCCGCTTCCCATGGCTTGCCGTGCAAGCAACAGCTCCTCTGGGTTTCGATGTGGTATCAACCTTGTCTCTTCCTTTGGATCCCTTCTTTTTTATCTTATTTCTTATTCCTTCTCGACAAGAGCTTCTCTTCCTTCACTCGGTTTCGTATAAATATGCCGTCGTGGGTATAGTGTATAGAGCGGGGGAGCAGCGAATATGTAGTAGTGCCAGGCCGGAGCAGTAACTCGTCGATTGCGGCCGGTAGCGGTATCTGATCACGCGAGCACAAATGCAAGGAATCGTCAGCAAATGCCAGCAACAAACGAGCGACGCAGCAGTGAATCAATGCCGAGAGGGACGCAGGTGGGAGGTCGCGCTGCTAATATATGAATCCAACCACCGTCTCGAGGCAAGCAGGACATGTACATGTACTCCGTGCAGGCTCAGGTACAGGGGGGTCCCCTCCCTAGGAGAAGCCCGCGCTGATGCTTCCAGCCTCTGTATTCCCGTCTGGAGACCGGCCAAGTAAGGCTGAACACTACAAGCACAGTGCTGACCCCAGCGGAGGCGGTGCCAAGGCCAGGGAGCCCAGTGACCGTGCGGTGGCGCACCCGCTAGAGGCCGCTAGAGCACCAGCGGAGAGAGCGCCAAAACAAGGCCGCTAAAGGGGACGTTCCAGGGGCTCTGCGCCAGCGAATAGAGAGCCGCTGCTGCTCGGCAACATCGCAGTCCAAGCAACGGCCCTCCGAGAGCTTCGGAGGTACCAGCCGGCGGCGCACTCTATGTGCAGGTACCTGGACTCTTGCTATTTCCCGCTACCAGTAGCTCATGCATCAAATCAATCAAAATGGAACCCCAAGGCGGTTTCGCTTGGCCATGTTGCTGCTGCAAGTGAGATTGAACATGTGAGATTTTGCTTCAAGAGGTCGAGAAAAGCATAGCTTATTTGCTCACCAATCCTTCTCTTCTCGTCTCTATTCTTAGCCTTGTGGTTAGTCTTGGGGCTCGGGCAGCGTCGCACGAAAGAGAAAGATAGAGGGAAAAAAAAAATTGGTAAAAGCTGCTCTGGTAAAAGCTGCTCTGGTAAAAGCTGCTCGCCTGGCTACTAGAAATCCTTGAAGATGTCCGCTCGCAAGACATTCCCAGTGCTACGCACTCGGCGAATCAGCATCTTGTTGGACCATCTTATCAACCAACATGTTCATTCGCGTACGTAAATCGTTCAATATTGCAATCAACCATGTGCTGTCTCTGCAGGAACAGTTCGTCGGTGAACAGCGGCAGCGTGACAGCCCTTGCCTCTTCTGTCTCAATAGTGACATGTCCCCGAGTCTGCAGCAAGCGGTGAATGCTTGGCCCCTCCTTTCTCATATACCTGGGTAGGTATTTCATGGGTCCTCTTCGCTTAAACAGGACATCTTCGAGATCGCGGTGCCAGGCCCTGCCAGGAACAGCTCGTTGATTTCATTCATGACATCTTCATCGTGTATTCCATCGCTTGCTGCCGCTGCTGCCGTTGTCAGTCCAGTTCAAGCCCAATCTGGTCCAGCGTGTCTCTGTGGCCCCTTTTTTGTCCAAACGTCATTATCCCTGACGCGCAACGGTGAATACGAGCCCTCCAGTTTTCCTACTTCGGCTCGTACGAGCACCGTCCTCCGTGGCTTGAAAACAGTGCGGTGCTAATGAAGCGTGATTTACTGCTCTTGCAGCGGCTCGTGGCTGTGGCGTCCAACCGTCGTCTACCAGCGATTCTTCCCACGGTGGAGACGCGGCGAACAAACACCATCGACCCCTTTAATTGTTCAACTTCCAGTTCATCTCACGGAGAAAAGGACGATGCCGGGATTCCGCCAAGTCGACCTCGGGTCCTCTTATTTTCGTTTCTTTTTCTCAGCTAGTAGCAGCAGCATCATCCAAAGCTCATATTTTTGGAAAGTGTTTGGTTTAGCTTGCTCCGCCTTCGTCTAGCTGTTAAAACGAGATTGCGTGACTAGTTGGTCAAGCAGCCTGAACGCTAGATTTGCATATCCCATCTTGGCAGTCGTTTCATTGCCCCTTGCAGCGAGATGGCCTACTGCCAATGATACAATCGTAATCAATGGAGAAGATCCCGAGCCCTTTGGCCCACAAGCATCGTGCGATGGACACGGAGTACCTGATGATCATTGTCTCACAGAGCAAACCTTAATCGCTAACCCGCATTGTGAAGATCCGCGAAGGGTCAGGCGCATATCCTGCAGAGGCAGATGCAGAATCTATGGCTCGGAAAGGAGGTGGCGTATCGGGGATTTTGAACAGAAGCGGACACTTCACAAGATTCTTCATCCGCAATCCATTATCCCAAGGCGATATGGAGCAGCACCGAAATCTTCGTCAAGAGCAACACTATGCCACTCATTGACCCAAAGAACGGTGGGGGGCTCAGCTAGCTCAGGATTGTTTCGATTTGGTCCGTTGCCGATGCTGCCGCGGATCATTTACATGCTGGGGCCATCTAAGCTGCCATTAGTGCTAGCAAATTTCGGACAAGAAGTAAAAGAAAATAGAAACCGACTCCCATAATACGTACTCCGTAGATGGTATCTAGATGACGACCAGCACGGAGAACGGCACACTGGGCATCAGATTGGTTGGTATTTTCGGAAGCGGCACCGAAGCCAATCTAGGCTTGGTGGCTTGGTATACGCGATATTGCTCGGTGAATTTTTGAGTTTGCCAAGGTTCCTGGAAATTAAGAGTTACCCAGCCTCGCTAAGGATGCCTATGAACCGCCTGTTGCGAGCTGCTGGATTGATTGCACTGTGGACGAAGTTGGGAATAGGAGACAAAGAGAAAGAAAGATGAGAAATCAAGGAGACCTGTTAAGATTAGGAGTCAGTCTCAGGAGGAAAGATGGTAATGGTTCAAGCTCGCGGAAGGCACCGCCCTTGCTCCTTCTGTGCACCAGGGCTACATACGGTGCTTCTAATATTCCGCATCTAATCTAATCTCTCATGTCATCCCAACCACAGAGGCTGTATGTAACCCAAATATCAACATCGTCGTTACTTGTCGTCTTTCCGCCCAAATGCAGGGCAAACGATGAAAATAATGATCGTTACATACAGTGCTTACGAATAGGGCCAAGCTCAACACTGGTTTCAGTAAGCGGCCTTTACCCAGGATCCAACACGTGCACGACACCTAAAGGCCCTGATTGTACAAGAAGCATCTAGTTTCTACCGCCGTCAATGCGCTGTCGATGTCGGGCCTTACCGCTCAATAGCCCGGTTTCAACGGTGAATCTTTTTCTACTAAACAAAGTGGGGAGAGAGAGAAAACTGCTCCACGGCGCTGTGCTCCATGTCTGGGCGGATAGAACAAGTACAGCATGTAAGGGCCTGCTTACATGTACCTGCCGCCTCGCTCTCTCCGCGTGACGGTGATGACCATCTCCTTCTTACAGTATCTTCGACTGATCTGAGCCCAAGTCCAATATGACTGGATCCAACGAATTTTCCAATTTTCCAACCAAATCAGCACAATATACGTGGCTGCCGGCTAGCTCGCCGCAAACAGAGGCGGCGAGTTTCTTAGCGTAGGCATTTTTGCCCTCAGCTCTTCGCACTAATCATCTCTTCCCGCGGCCATGAGATGAGCATCAACGCCACGTACATGTCAGATGCTATTTAAGAGCCGGCCCTTTACTGTAAAGGGTCTGCTGGGACAGTCAGCCTCAACAAGCCCGTCAGGATTTGACCTAGGCTTCGCCATGGGGTCTAACAGCATCTGACTTGGCATCGCGCTGGTTCCACTCAGAATGCTCTATCCAAAATAAACAGACACTAGATGGTTGGCAATTTTACGACGAGTCGTGCAATCTTGGCGGTATGAGTTAATAAAAGCACTTTGGCCACTTTCCAAGGCAAAAAGATGTTTACATTACCTCCAAGGCGCAACTACACGCCTTCTGTGGCATGGCTTCAGCACTAGCTTGGAGCGGCTGAGCTGTCTGAGCACACAGCTAGACTACGAATCATGAAGCACATATAGTATTCAGATGGCCTCAGCGGTAAGTGTATCGTTTCAGCCGGAGCCAACAGTGCAGTCCTTCATTATATTACGTTAGATAGATATCAATAGTGTCCGCTGTCAGCCAGACGAGTATGTAGATACATGTACCTATGTAGAATAAGCCATTACTACGCGTATAGATGCCTGTTTTTTCTGATCAGTAGTATGGAAAGCTCACATAGTCTTGAACACTCGTACTGGCATACGTCCAGCATTGACGGTAGGTTTACCAAGTGCCGCCATCATGTGTGATTATATTTAGACCGACCTGCAAAATTGTCAACTTGAGATTGCTTCGATTCGGAGCCATTTCACATAGCCGCCTCAACCCATGGTACGAGCGATGTATTCGAATCTGCTGGTGCCGGAAGACGTGTGATACATACCAGCTCAAAGTCTTCCGCATCCATATCTACGTATAGCTCAAGGGATAAAAGCAACATGTTTATTTCTTAATCACCAATAATGAATGCTAATCTATGAAAAAGCGGCCAATATCAATAAAGGAGTGGAGAAGAACTGAAAGACAATCCATAGTCTAGTAAAGTTACACCTACTAGGCTGGACTTACTCTCATCTGTTCTCGCGAACGTTTTGTTACTTCATTCATCCGTCTTTCTTTTTCTTCCTCTTCCTTTCTCACCCTTACTCTTTCTCTTCTTTCTTCGTCTTCCCTCCTTTTTCTCTCCCTCATTTCCTTTACCTCTCTCCTTGTTCTCTCCCTCTCTTCCTTTTCCTCTCTCTTTTCTTTCCTTTCTTCTTCTCTTTTCTTTTCTACTCTTTTCATTACTTCTCCCGCCCACGTTTCGCCCATAGACTCCAAATGTCCCGTGTCAATCGTTTCCCGCACGCCCAATGTAACGGACCCTTGAAATAGAGCACGAATATCCTTGCAGCAATTTAGCACAGCGCCCCAGATCATGGCTCCAAAAAACCACAAGAAAATAGTCAACACAGTTACGGGTATCGTAACCGCCCAATAGATCCAGAATCTATGAGAGAAGCCCCAGATACCCGTTGGGGCATCATAGTTGAAGAATGATGTGCTGAAAAGGGCAGTAATATAGGCGGCTGGCAGGAAAAGCAGACCGGCTAAAGAAATGGTTCTCGTAGCCCCGGATTCAATTTGAGCAGATTTATTAAACGAAAGGGATATCTCAGCCTTGACTCGCTCGTGATTGGACTCGGCGCGATGCCGAAGATGAGTGAGTGTTGTTTGAAGAAGGCCAAGACGATTTTTGATGTTCTGAGGAAAAGGATCGAAACGGTCCACGTTTTCCTTGTTACTAGGCTCGGTAGCTGTGAAGTGATCGTGATACTTTTGCATGCTGTCGAGGATGGATTCGGCGACATGAAGAGTCTCGTTGATGTGAAGACTGTGGCGTGAGACCTCGTGGAGGTAGTCGAACGGGTCACGATAAAGAGTTCGCTGTTTCTCGTAGTTCCTAATAAGAGTCCGAGATTCCCAAACGCACACATCATGGAGCGCGGCAACTTTTTCAACCATGGCGGGATATGCCCAAAACGGATCGCTAAGCTCACGAAGCTTGAGTTGTGAGATAATAAAGTCCCCAACCTCCTGTGCAAACTCGGGATGGTCGAAGAGGACAATTTCGGTGCGGCCTTTTGGGCATTCGTCCGAAGAAGCATACCACCTCACAAAGGCATTTAGCTTAACCCACTTATAATTGATATCATTTTTGTTATGGTGACCTGAGTTTGCGCTGTTGACGTGTTTCATGAGGAATCGAAGCCAAGAGACTACTCTTCACCGTCAGTACACGAATGATTCATAATTCATACATAGTAAGCGGTCATATGCAGGAGTACGGGGTGATGGCAGTCCCTCACTTACTGGTACCTGTCCGAATTGTCCCACTTTCATCAAGCACATTTTCGTACCCAAAATAGCCGTTGGACCGCCTCGACAGCGTCGTCCACCATATCGGTGGTATATGAAACTTTTCATCGAATGCCTTTTTGCATGTATCGCATCTACGCACTTCGTCTCCTCTAGCATGACTATTCAAGGAAACCCTCTTGTCAGATACACAGAAATACCAATAATGCAAGGGTCGCGAGAGAGATGGAACTTACATGATAACAACATCAGCCTCAGCAAAGTATTTGGGTGTATTCTTCGTTATGGCCTCCGCAGAGATCGTCTCTTCAAATTCTCCGCCTAGATGGTTGGTTGTCAGTCAATGAACTTCTTCCACTTCTCTGTTCTTCTCCAGGGAATCTGAACTGTTGGTAGGAAGATGAAGGATGTGTAAAAGAGAATGTGGCGGTGTACGGGCAAGGCAGCGAGACAAACCTGGAAATTGATGCCATGCCTGGTATCTAAAAGGCTCGCAGTCACAGCCTTGAGATGATTCCGAAACCATTATCTACCAGGGATAAATGGAAGTTTACAGTCGATCAACCTTGCTCGAGATTTTCGCGAAGAAGAAGAAAGTCCTGCGAAGGAAGCAAAAGGGCGCATATATGAGCAATACAGCCCGGCGAGCGTCAGGCCACAGCAATGCCACCCAGAGGTATAGGAAATTGTTTGACCTGTCAGGTCTCTTACATTTAGCAAAAGTACGTTGCATCTGATGAGCAGATGAATGGAGATGCCGGCCTGCAATGTGTATATCTAGGATTGGTCTCCCTTCTCCTCTTACGGGGCTTGTCTGAGGAGACATACACGCCCCTGCACCGCCTCGCCCGTGTAACCTCACAATTTCGCCTCGTAGAGAAACCAACAATGTTAAGCGGCGTTTAACGTGCAAGTAGGTATATATATTCGCCTTCCACAATATGAAACTGATGTCACACCGTTCAACGTTGATACACCATACAGCGCCGCCTTTTTGCCGCCTTGAACAAATTCGAAAAACCCCTGTCTACCCCTCAGGCCAATTAGGCAGACCGGGGGGCTGTGCCGAACTGGATCCCATCCCGCCTATGAGAGGTTTATGAAGAATACCTAGTGCTCAGATAATGCATGTCTTGAAGAAAAGTTCCGATCGCTTGCTGATACATTAAGTAGAAAATCCCGCGGACAATGTGCAAGTACAGGTTGATACTCACAATCATGAATCCGTTTCCAAAGCCAAAAATAATCTTGATTGTCGTTCTAAGCAGATTATAAAGATGCCTCTACTCAATAGCTCGGTTTCCAGATATAGCACTTTATAAGCCCAAATAGTAAAGTTGAAGAGGAATACTAGCGGGATTTAGGTAGGATGGAAATTAGAGCGGCCTCAGGTATGACAAGTGCGAGGGGACAGATGCTGTTACGAGGCAGGTACTGCCAGTAAGCTCCTTGACTCGCTAGGCACCAATCATATCCTGAGGCTGAGTTGAATCAATTAATATATTCGGGGCTTTCTTGCATATCGCCTTCAAAGCATAGCCCCCCATATAAGGCGACTTTGGTTACGCAATGAATCACGAGCCTTTTTTTTTTTTTTTTTTTTTTTTTTGCCTTTCTTTCTTCCTCATATTTATTGAGTCTGTTTTTCCTTGAATTTTTTTCAATCTTTGTAACAGCCTGTTAGGCGAAATCGCAGTGCTTTCGCTTCCTTCGCTTTGCGGCTCAAAATGCGCCCCCTCCCCTAGCAATGCCTATCTCAGACGAATCTCTCCGAAATTGACCATGGTAATCAACTCGTCCTATCATACTCTAAGTTTCTCACTTTGTCTTAAACTACCCCTGCTAGCATCTTGCAGCATCTGGCAGTATCATACATGAATCCTTCCGAAATAATCGTCGTCGTCAGGCTAAAGCATCCTATCACGTTCCAGAGTTTCTCGCTTATCAGCCCAACTCAGTATACCCCGGATAGCATCTATAATAGATAAAATCTTCCCGAACGTAGTCATGCCAGTCACTTGAACTAGCCTATTGTGTTCTGAGTCGGTGTCTTTGGTAAGGAGCAGATGCGAATTAAGTATAGCCAAGCCGAGTCAAGTTCGCGTATAAAACCACTTGAGTTTAAAGAAAAGGTAAGATTTAGATTATCCCATTTTTAGCAGACTAGGTAGTTTACTCATTGCATCTTACTATCAAAAGAAACAAATTTATACATCTTGCTTCCTATAATAATAAGAACTTCGCGGCTACAGGTCGTCTCCACAGCTAAAGTAAAGCATATCAAAAGGTTTTATTCCCAGTGGTTCCGCTGCACACAAGGGTTCCACGTCTACCGCACCAGATTGAGTCTACGTCCACCTCCAAATCATGGCATGGAATATGCGGGTTTAACTAAACTTTGGTTTCATATCGCAGTAATCGTGCACCACTCGGAATATGCCATCTTTCGTGGGCCTCACGGTATCTCTTGATTTCTACACAAACAGGGTGGTGGCCACCCATTGCGCATGGGGCATAACCAAGGATGGTGCTCCCCATTTCAAGGCTGTCCTTTTTATAATTGAAGCTCCCCCCCCCCCCCCCCCATCATTTGGAATACTCCATCAGCGAATGCTCTCTATATTCTTCCCCATCAGATTCAGCTTCAAACGTCTGGGGCTCCGCGTCCAAAATCAGTTAGTTTTAATATCCTCCAGTTTATCAATAAAAACAATCTCTGTAGGTGCAACATTGTCGGACCGCCAGCCGCTGGTCCTCAGTGGCAGCCATGTCCTTGTTTTTATTACGCCTCGGTCGTTATACACGTTGTAGGAGCAGTAGCAGCAGTACCCCATGCTATACCTTAAGCTCTAGATAACAAAATCGAGATGCTGGATAACCTTTCCCCAATAATTTTTATTTCATCATTTCCAGGTTCGCATCAGAAGAAATCCGAGACAAAGATTCATAAGCACCAGGTATCTAAGCCGCGGCATGCCCTACTGCCCCAACATCTCGCGTATGTACCAAGTACCATGAGATATTCTTAGATTCTCCCACCCAGACCTGTATAGCTGGATGGATTTAATCATTTCCATACCGTCAAAAGTCCTATTTGATATCCAAGACGGTCTGAAGGCAGCTCAAGCTGGTACAAATTCTCTATCTGCCAGATAGGTAGGTACCTAAGGTATGTCGTTCACAACCCTCAATAAAACTATCACCTTCAAAAGCACCCGTAATTAATGAAAGGAAAATCCGTTTCTTCGTATATTTTATCGTTCGCTGCACACAATCGCAAGTCTTTACACATATTTAAAACCCTCCCTTATGTTTCCCCCTTCCCCCCTTTCCATCCCTAATTCTTCCATTTCAACGCCGGAAAAAACTGTAAGAAAAAAATCGCAACTGCCACGGAATAATAACAACATCAACAGGGTGCACTGGTCCCTTTGTGTAACGTGTAAGCGTCTGTCTGTCTGTCTGTCTACTCGTGCGTGCGCGGGCGCATTTCGTATGTCCGTCTTCTTTGCAGCAGCTCAAAAAATAGTTTATACCGCCCTTTATTCCGAATTCTGCACCTCTACTCTCTCCATCTATTGTGGGGGGAATTGTTGGTCTTCCATTTGGGGGACACCCTCGACGTTGTGGTAGTCAAGAATTTCAGAGTACCTGTGAGATGTATTAGAGGGCGGCGGCAGAATGTCATAGCGTAGCGGCATCATACATCATGATCTTCCAGGTATCAACAGGGAGATCAGCATCGTTGAAACTCCAGTCAAACTTCTCTTCGGCAACAGGCTCATCGGTAGGGTCGTGGTATGGCGCAAGGTAGTCGTGAGCCAGAGCTTCAGTAGCAGTTATTCGCTTCTTAGGGTCGAAAACGAGCATTCGCTCCAAGAGATCAATGGCTACATGTTCGAGTTAGAAAGAGTTTCTCATAAAAACAAAGACCGATCCATCTCATACCCGAATCATCAGCGTTCTTAAACTTATTCCGAAGGGGCTGTCTCTCACGCTTTGGCAGCGACTTGACGAAACGCAACGTCTAATGCAATGTCAGTTTGGGCCGCCCATGTCAATGTAGCAATGTGAGAGAGAGAGGAAAACTCACATTCTCACTAGCAATAGTGTTGATAACATCGTCCGGGGGCGTGCCAAGCAGCTCGGTGATGATGGAGAACTGGTTCACGTGGTCCTTGCCCGGGAACAGAGGCTTGCCCTCCAGCATCTCGGCAAAAATGCATCCAGCACTCCAGATATCGACCTCGACATCGTACTTTTGCCATGTGAGCATGATTTCGGGGGCACGGTAGTATCGTGTTGATACGTAGCCCGTCATCTGCGGGTCCTGAATTCGGGCCAGGCCAAAGTCGCAAATCTTGAGATCGCAGTTTTCGTTGACGAGGATGTTGCTGGGCTTGAGATCACGATGGACGACACCGGCGGAGTGGACATATTTCAGACCGCGCTATATAGAGAGATGCGTGTTAGCTGCCGTTGCGCCGCAGGAACAAAGAACCTCGCCAGCACATGTGGCCGCATACCATGATCTGATAGAGGAAGTATTGAATGAATTGTTTCTCGAGCGGTCGTGATGTTAATAATCGGTGCAGGTCGGTTCCGAGAAGCTCTGTGACGAAGTAGCTGCAGACGGTGATATTAGCGGTGTATACGCGAAAAAAGCAGAAAGTCTTGATAATCAGATAAACATACATATCCTCAAGGGGAGAAATGAAGATGTCGCTGAGAGAGATAACCTAAGTAGGTAGCGAGAGCCGTTAGCATCAAGGCCATCAGAAACGTAAGATACCGGGGGCGCCGTAAGCATCAAGCTGACGCAATGGGCGGCGAGTGGGAGAAGAGAAAAGAAGAGCAAAGCCGCCAGAAAAGCGCATACATTTTCGTGTCGGAGATGCTTGAGCAGCTTCAGTTCGCGATACGTCCGCTTAGCGAGCACAGGCGTGCTAAAGGGCTTCATAATCTTCTTGACAGCAACATTTTGGTTGGTGAGCTGGTCCCGCGCAGAGCTATATTTGGCGGGGGAGGGGAAGAGAGTCGCAAATTAGCATGGATGCCCATCTCCCAGCAAGCAAAAAGAGCGAAAAAAAAAAAGCCCGAAGGAAAAGAAAGGGAAAAAGCTTACCAGACAAGACCAAACGCTCCCATGCCCACAGGCTGGAGGTCTGAGTATCTACACGAATTGAATCAGCTTCAAAAGTGTCCCCCGCTATTTGCACGTCGCCGTTGGTTTCCAGCCTCTCGCTTACCTTGAGGTGATCTCAAACGTGGTGCCAAAGATCTGCGCACGCACAAACTCGGCCATTGTGACGGATCGTTGGTGATTCGCGGGGAAATAACGACGGGAGATGGAGAGAAAAAAAAAGGGCGCCTAGAAAAGCGAGGCTGCGAAAGATTCGATGTCGGTGCAAGAGTTGTCGTGAAGAGGGCGAAAAAGAGCGGGATCTCGAAAGTGCTAGAAACTGGGCCCCTCTCGCCAAAAAATACAAGGTTGATGTTGTGCTGATGCTTCAGTCGGCTCGGTTGGAAGAAGCCTGGAGGCAAAAAAGGTGGTAGGTAATCCGCAGGAGCTCAGGAGTTCCACTCGCTGCTAATAAGGCGGGGGTTAACAGCGGCTGGGCGTCTGATATCAGCTGCTAAATCTCGATCTCGGGCGTCGTTTGGGAATCGAACAATCGAGCGGTACTGCAAATTGCGGTCGAGCGCAAAAATTCAGATTTCGATTTTTTGGGGGATTTGTAAAGAAGAAGAAATAAAATTAAAATTATTTCTTCTTTCCTGTTCGTCTTTGAGAAGTCGCTTCTTTTCGCGCTGCGGATCTCGGATCGTCCAACAAGAAAATCAAAGGCGGGGTGAAGGTTCTGGTTCTGGTTCTGGTTCTACAGGGCGCCTAAATAACACCGCGTTAGCTGGGCGCACGTGGAAAGGTCGCCAGCCTTTCGGCAGATTGTGCTTGGAGCAAGCAAAGCGCAGTGCGCGGGGTAAATCGAGGCACTGGCAGCGAACTGAACTGAACTTTGAAGCCAATTGTCATTGAATTGAAGCCCAAACAGGCATCAGCCAGGTTAAACGACTGGCCCTCTGGGTGCCTCAATTCGCCTGTGCCTCTCTGCCTCTCCTTTTTGGTGAATGCGCTGGCTTTCCAACTTACCTGCGTGCTAGCAAATGCCAAGATCGCTGAATGTCACCGACAGCGCAATCAAGCCGTTGGCAGTCCAAATATGTAGGGAAAAAAAGAAAGAGCCAAGTTTTCCGTCTCTGCAGAAACAGAAGAGAAGAAGAAAGAATGGAGTGTAATTTCGCAAGGGCGGGCACTGTTCGAAAAAAAAAAAAAGAAACTAAACAAGCAAAAAGTTGCCTTCCGAGGTTCCTGTCTAGTACTTATAAGCCCGCGCCCGGTCTCAAGCGATCGATCGAAATTGTTCGGGTTCGGGATCCAGGGAAGCTTGCAAAAATGCCAATGCTGTTTTGATTGAGGAGTCTGGTTTCGTCGGAGCACAAGAGCGCAGAAAACAACAACTTTTGTACTACACCGGCTTTCTATCCAAATAGGAAGCTCTTCTTGTATGCAAAAAAAGACAAAAAGCTGGTGAAAGTTGGAACAGTCTCTGTAAAGTCTTTCCAACATCAAACAAACTACACAAAACGCGCCGAGAACAAGAGGGCACCAGCCAGTCTATAAACGAACATTCCCCCCTCCAATCATCCAGACAAAACCCCCCCTCGTTTTCTTTTTTTTTCCCCTTCTCCAGGGACTTCACATCGTCATCGCGCACACACCAACGCAGCAGCCCCCATTTTCTCCATCCAGCAGCTTCAGGGGACAAACGCACCATACGCACAAATCTCGTTACCCAGGCCCTTTGCCGGTGACGACATCGTGCGCTGGGCTCTCTCGTTCATGCTACATGAATTAGGCGCCCCCCCCCCCCATGCCTAAATGATACCCTGGCCAGGGATCCTTTTAGCTGGGAAGCCCATGTTTTCTCGCGGGAATGTCATCCCCCCCCAACTCCATCTTACTACTAAGCAGCACAGGTACCTACTTGGTTCTAAAATCCGGCTATAGTTGCAGAGTATCAGCTCTGTATGTGTATGGGAGGTGATGCGCATCCTGTTTTGCATTTCTGATCATCGCCGGGTTTAAAAATATAGAAAAACCGCCACAATCAAGAATCAAGAAACCCATCAGCGAAAAGTAAAAATCCCATCCCAAATCCAGATCAACATTTCCATAAAGAACCATTCAAAACTAAAAAGCCCTTCCAAGATTCTCTCAAAGCTTCTTTCTCTCCCATTCTTCTTCTCATTCTTTCTCTCCCCACCAAAAATAAAGGCCAAGACCAAACCCGGCCCAGCCCAGCCCAACCTAGACGACGCCTTTTTCTCCCATCCTACCATCCGATTCGCTCAAACTCAGCCTCTTCTTCTTTTCCCACCCCTCTCTGCTGTTCCCACATGCCCAATAGCCTGCAGATACAGCACCCAAGCCTTAAAATCACACAAAACCGCACTTCCGTCGCAGTCTGAAGCACCTTTCGTCCAGTGATGCATCCATGACGTCACCACTAATCTATCCTCAACCCACTTAGCCTTCCTAAAAAAAGGCCCTCAGCGATCCAATCACACCAAGTAGCGTATACTTTGTATCCTCCAATCATTTGCGCCAAAATACCCGTCATAAAAAGTACCAGATACACCATATCTGCTCCACGACAGATTCCAGTGTTGAAATCCAGGAACGAGCCACTTCCGCTCATCGAGTTACTGGCTGCGAATCGGCTTCAAAGCCACGCTGGAGATTTTGCTCCGGCCTCTTCCCACCTCAATTTTAGCATTGAATTTTTTCAACTAAACAGCCCACTTCATTGTGTCACCGCTAAATTGCGATTCCAAGATATCCAAGCAACCAAGTTATCTGGCATTACACCTGCATCACCATCATATGTCGGTGAACTACATGGAACGCAGCATCATGACAATCAACTTTGCATATACATCAAGTAGGAGTCGCCAGCTTCGTCACATGCCACCTAATTTACAAGTGAAAAATCTTAATCTCAATTCAATATTGGACGTTCATCATTATAGGAAGAGAGAGCCGTTTTCCATCCCTCCCCATCAAGTGATTTCTGTATGTTCAAATTTCGAGGAGCTTCCTCGGCGGCTTCTACAACAGGAAATGCCACTTCCAGGTCCTCGCCAACCCATTGGAGATTTTTTTTACTCAGAGACGTCCAGCGGCTCAATGTTCCAAATCTCCTCAGCGTACTCGTTAATGCAGCGGTCGCTAGTGAAGAAGCCCATCCGGGCCACGGACATGATGCACTTGGTCACCCACTCATCCTGGTTCTTGTAGGCCTCGTCAACGAGAGCGTGTGTCTCAATGTAGCTGTGGAAGTCATCTGAGACCAGGTAGTAGTCACCGTGGTCTCTGACGGCGGCAATCAGGGCGCTAAAGTCATTGGGCATGCCAAAGGTGCCCTTCTCAATCTCGACAAAGACCTTCTCCAAGTCGGGGTCGATGGTGTGGGAACCAAAGTTGTGGTTATGGCGCAGGTCTTCCACGTCCTCTGCAAGGTTTCCAAACAGGAAGATGTTGCTGTCGCTGATTTCACGGGTGATTTCAATCTATCATATAGAGTTAATAGAGAGTTGGGCAACGTAGTAGGGTCATTGGCTCTTACATTGGCGCCATCGCATGTTCCGATGATGAGACCTCCGTTGAGGACAAACTTCATGTTACTGGTGCCAGACGCCCTAGATAATCTCAGTTAGCCTCTTTTCATTCAAGGGAATTTGCCATTTCTGGCATCAACTCACTCTGTGCCTGCAGTGGAAATGTGCTCGCTAATATCGGAGGCAGGGATGATCATCTCGGCCTTGCTAACATTGTAATCTTCAAGGAAAACAACCTTGAGGAGATCACCAATGTCTGAATCCTTGTTGACAACCTCGCCGACGGCGTTGACCAAGTGAATAATCTGCTTAGCCATCCAGTAGCCGGGAGCAGCCTTGCCACCAAAGATGGTGACACGAGGGAGCTGCTTCTTCCTCTCCTCAGGGCTCATCGCCTTGAGGGTCAGATATCGGTGGATGACTCCAAAAATGTTGAGCTGCTGACGCTTGTATTCGTGAATTCGCTTGACTTGCACGTCGAACAAAGCCGCGGGGTTGACTGATACACCAAGCGTGGTCTGAATATACTTGGCCAAGCGGACCTTGTTGGCGTACTTGATCTCAGCCCACTCCTTGCGGAAGGCTTTGTCTTTGGCAAAAGCTTCAAGCTTGTTGAGAACGGTCAAATCCTTGAGGAAGGCATCACCGCCGCACTTGGAGGCAATCAGCTCAGACAGACGGGGGTTGGCCTGGTGCAGCCAACGTCTGGGGGTGATACCGTTGGTGACGTTGGTGAACTTGTCTGGGCCGTAGATCTCAACAAAGTCCTTGAAGATGGTCGACTTGATCAAGTCCGAGTGCAGTTCAGCCACACCGTTGACTTTGTGGGAACCAACAATGGCCAAGAAGGCCATTCTCACCATCTTTGGCTGACTCTCCTCAATGATGGAGACGCGGCCAAGCAGGTCTCTGTCGTTGGGGAAGGCCTTTTCGACCTTTTGCAGGAAGAACAGATTAATATCATAGATAATCTGAAGATGTCTGGGCAGGAGATGCTGGAACAATCCCACGGGCCACTTCTCAAGAGCTTCGGGGAGCACAGTATGGTTGGTGTAGCCAAACTAGAAAAAAAAAGCACGCCATGTTAGTAGATGTTTGTTTATCCAGATCAGAGAGTCTTGGCCAGAAGTTACTTACTGTAGCAGTAACAATGTTCCATGATTCATCCCACTGCAAGCCCTCAATATCAACTAGAATGCGCTGCAGCTCGACAATGGCAAGAGTGGGATGAGTGTCGTTGAGCTGGATAGCGACTTGGTCGGGGAATTCCTTCCAGGGGCGCTTAGACTTCTTGAAGCGGCGCACAATATCATAGAGAGAGGCTGCCACCCAGAAGTACTGCTGCTTCAGTCGCAGTTCTTTACCCTGGTCCAAGTTGTCATTGGGGTACAGCACCGCGCTGATGGACTCGGCTCGCTGCTGGTCTGCGACTGCGCCTTCATAGTCACCATTGTTGAACTTTGGGAAGTCAAACTCGCCTCCAGATGCCTTGCTAGACCAGAGTCTCAGGTTGTTCGTGGTGGGGGTCGCGTAGCCAGGAATGGGGACATCGTAGGCGACGGCATCAACGATGTCACCACCTTCCCAGACACTGACAGTCTTACCGTCTTCTCTAGTCTGCTTGCGAACCTTGCCGTAGAATTGGATCTAGCAACCGGAGTGTAAGCTTCATGTCAAGGCATGCAGTTCTTTCCATGTTTGGTGTATCTTACGTTGACCGTGATATCGTGACGGGGGAACTCCCAGGGGTTAAAGTCCAGCCAGTAGTCGGGTACTTCGACCTGGTAGCCGTCAATGATTTCCTGTTTGAAGATTCCGTATCTGTAGCGAAGACCGTAGCCCCAGGCGGGATAGTTGAGACTGGCCAAGCTGTCGAGGAAGCAAGCAGCAAGTCGACCCAAACCACCGTTGCCCAGACCTGCGTCGTGCTCTTGGGTGATGATGTCCTCGATTCTAAAACCAAGCTCAGAGAGACCCTCTAATGGTTGCAACCCATTAGCAAGAATACAGCAAATTAAAAAAACAAATATGCCCAATTCTTACCCTTGGCCACATTCTTCAAGCCCACGTTGAGCATGGCATTGTCCAAAGTTCTTCCCATCAAGAATTCCAGACTCAGGTAGTAAACACGCTTGGTATCGCGGTACGTCTGGCGTTGCTGAGTCTTGTTCCAGTCGGTGATGAGGCGATCACGGAAGGCCAGGCTGGTGGCCGAGTAGGCAGCGGTTTCATCGCAGTTAAACATGCTACGCGCCAGGGTGGTCTCAACATGGCGGACAACCTCCTTCTCAAAGCCATCCTTGTCGGTGATGCTCTTGACTTGGTTCCGCCTCCATGCTTCGCGCTGGGGTTCGGGAATCGAGGCTGGAGAGAGAAGGTACGGTTAGCAGATGCATTGCCAAACGCTTCTTGTTTGAACAGCTCCGTCTTTTTTCTTCTTCTTCTTTTTTTCCTCTATTGTGTCGACTCTTGGGACTAAAGATATGGCGTGCTGGCCGGTGGATAACAGATCAGATCATCCAACGCCGGTATCTTAGTCGCACGATGAGCCCCGCCAGACCGGGCGAGCTTCCCCTCCCCCACCGCACGGTGGATGTCAGATGCGCGCCCGATCCAAGCTGTCATCACATGCTGGGATCGATCAATTGGCCGACAGCGTCTTGTCCAGGCAGCAGACGCATACAGCTCAATTGATGGCGACACAAGGAACAGACAGTGAGCAACAAGAAGAAAATGCCATCACAAACCTTCGACGTGCTTGATTTCTCCAGCACCGAACCCCGTAAAGGTTCTCCTGTGCTTGGGCCTCGAGATGCCTGCAGGGCCGACAGCTCCCTGGATGTCCACCAGGGGAGCTCCTGTGGAGGGGCGACGCTCGCGCGTGGGCAGCTGCTTGGAGGCCATTTCTGAGGATGGCTGCCGATCAGAGACGCGGACTGCGAATCAGCAAATCTAGGTTGCTTGTAACGATGCTGCGGAATAAGGGGGAATGCTAGAGACGCGATGAAGGAGAGGAATCACGCAGAAGAAGAGAAGGAAGAAGAAATTGACGATGATGAAAGGTGATGAGAAAGAGGGAGGTGAGATTGCAAAAGTCTCGAGCAGAGGGGAGGAGAGATGTCAGGCAACTTACATCAGCTCAGCCTGCTAGCAGAAGCTATGGCGGGGTAGCAACAGTGGGGTTATCAGAAGCTCCCAAAAGCTAACCGTCCGTTGCGATAACAAGGCCCGACAAACAGATGCAAAGCCGGCGGAAAGGGTCAATTGTAGGCGAGGAAAGTCCCCAGAAGGATAGAGAGATGTGAGGAAGAACAACAATGGACAAAAAGAGAAGAAGCAACAGAGAAGAGGCGGGAGAGGAAAAGGTGAAGAGGGGAGAAGGAGAGAAGGCGGGGGAAGAAGAGAGGACCAAGCGAGCTTTAGGTACCAATTGACGGCAGATTGAGGGGGAGGGGTTTAGCAGGAGACAAACAAGGCCGATGTTGCCCTCCATCAAGGCGACGGGGCTCTGCGTCGGTTGCATCAGGTCGCCATGCCAGTGTTGCTCAGTCAATCAAGTTTCATTGTCGATAGGGGGGCCGCGGTGTCATCATCAGCAGCATCCGTCATCCGCGATTCGTATCCGATCGACGAACGGTAGCACCGGCTTTGATGACTCGTCGCCGCAGATACGAGACCTGGCTGCCAGAAACATCCGATACAGCTTAAATATAACGAGAGTACATGTCACCAAAGACGCAGTCGTGACAATCAAATATTTTCAGTTATAGACGTATACATCTTGTATTTGACATCTAAACACAGCTGCACTCTTACCCATCCACGATTCCAACTCACACAACAAAGTGCTACCCCAACAGCCATATCCCCCTCTCCCGATGACGTTGGGCAACAACACAACAGCAGCACTCCGGCCTAAATATAAACAACATCTAGGCCTAGTATATTAATATAAATGACCGCTACTGCATCATCAATCACACCACTCCAGCCCGAGCACCCAAGTTGGCCGCCGCCGTGTGGGGCATTTCAGTGCCCGCCATGCCGCTGAGAATCCGTGACTGTTGAATTGCTCCCGAATTAGGTAGTCTGCGTAGCCTACCTGCCTTGTCTGCACGGATACATGGAGTCAGGTCGAAACAGAGGCCAAGATGCCTGACGAGAGCGAGGAGCTCCAAATATCGCGGCTCTACCTACATCTGCAGCACATGGGAATTAGCCTATTGCATCGCATTCAGTTACTGTAAAGGCAGCAGTTGCCCAACAGCCCCTTTCTTTCAGTAGCTGCCCAACTCCTCCTACAACATGAGATGAGATGTGATGTGAGAGACAATCCGCTTGGCACGCAATCCAAAGGCAATTATCAGTCATACAGGCGGAAATCCAAATGCAATCCATCCGTATCGGGTCAATATTAAACAATGAGCGCAGCAAATTAATACTTATTCGGGCACATATCAAGTTACCTATCCAATAAACACCAGCCTCCTGCCCAATCCCAAGCGTCCAGCGGGTACGCAACAGCTCAAAACAAAGCTGCAATAATACCTAGTAGTAATAGTAAAACAGTAAAAAAAAAAAAAAAAAAACATCTCTTCTTTTTGTTGTCTCGGTGCCTCCACAAAAGAAATCATCCTCCCGAGCTCGTTCCAAACCATACAATCCCGCTCTCCACCTCTCTCATTTGCTCAACTCCGGACACGAGAGAATCACCACAAAGCCGCAACTCCAGAGTTAGGCTCTATCCACGTCCAACCTCTAGCAGTGAAGCCGTGGTTGTGTTCGCTTTTTGCACTTCCTCTCAGTCACTTGTGGTATCCAAGTGCCGTCGTTTCAGCATCTTCCTCCTCTACCCTCGCTGCTGCCACTGCTCCACCTCAACAGCGAATTATCGTGAACACCGTTTCATCATTGAACCCTAATATCAAGACACCACCCCGAGGCGGCTTTCCCATGCCAACCTGTCGCTATAAGTTTGCCGCGCGAGATAATAGACTCGTAGTTGCCGACAAAGAAGAACCCACATAAAAAAAAAAAAAAAAGGAAAAGGGAAAAGGAAGGAGAATAGCGAGAGGAAAAAGATTGAGTGAATGAGTGACCGCGCCGTGCTAAGTGGTTAATAGATGACAGAAAAGCAGCCCAATCGGGGTCATAACGCGCTTTAGATCTCCGTGGGTCCCAATCGATCCCTGAAAAAGGGAGTTGCGCTGAACCGTACCAAAGTATAAAAAAGATTAAAGGAGGATAAAGAGCGTGTGATTATAAGAGGTCTTCCGTCTTCGCGTAAATGCCATCGATGGAGGGTGTTGCATGGCGTGAAACCAGATCAATGCCGGTCGACGAGAATGAGCGCACTAGAAAGCCGCGCAATATTCAGACGCCACATCTCTCCGAGCGAAAAGCGAGCTGTTATCAAAGGTGTGTTGATAGGCATCTCGGAAACAGAACAAGTCAAGTTTAAAGAATACCCGAATCCTTTAGCGCGTTATTCAGTATTGTCTCTTTGACTGCTGCGAAAACTAGCCGGATATTTGATGTATCGGTGGCCTGGGTAAGACTGTGATGCGTTAGCCAGTGGCTTGAGGTGGTAGATGCATATACCATCTGCCTGCTTCACTTACTGTGGATATAGATTAAGGTGCGCCCTGTTGACTTGATTGAACCGCCATAGCAGGTACTTGGCTGCCTTGTTGACGTCGGTACCGCCAGTGTAATCGGGGAAGAAGTTGGATAGAGGTGAGCGACCCAGTTTCTGCTTGAAGATGTCCACCTTGTTCAGGAAGAGGATGATGCTGGTTCTCATAAACCAACGTGAGTTGACAACCGAGTCGAACAGCAGTAAGCTTTCCATCATGCGGTTCTGCATTCACATTACAAGTCAGCCTTGGCCGAACCTCGTTCGCTTGCATTGCCCATCGAACCATGGGGCTCTTCGGCTTTCTGTCGCACGACGTACCTGACTGCTCTCCTCGAGGAGAACTTGATCGTATTCGCTCAGCGCAACACAGAAAATGATTGAGGTAACGTTCTCGAAGCAGTGTATCCACTTCTTTCGTTCACTCCTTTGCCCGCCAACGTCAAACATGCTAAAGAAAAACGATCAGCGGCCCGTGGCTAGAATGTTTCAAACTCAATGCTTCAACATACTGGATACTAAGCTGTCCCATTTGGAAGCGTGTTTCGTAGATACCGGTGGTTTTTGTACGGGCGCGTAATACGTCCATCTCGTTGGGTAAATAATCGGGAGCGACAATGCGCATTGCTTCTTGGAAGAAACTACAGGAGGCGGCAGGGTTAGAATCCAAGGAGCAGGTCAATTTCGCGCGCCGCTGCGACCTACGCAGCATCGCGATGATGTAACTTACTATTCCGCAGAATCCATCAGGTAAAACTCCGTCTGATGTTCCATCAGCTGCTCTTTCGCCGGGTCGCTCCATATGGCCTGCACAGCGAGGCCCACCTTGGGGTCGATGTGAGCCTGCGGCCCGGATTCTGCTTGGTAGTCTATTAAAAAGTCGGCGTGGGCTCTGTTGTCGTCTTGTGCCAGCTCTATGCTAAACTGCTGCATGGCAGTGATGACAGCCTTGGCACATTCGACCAGATTCTTGAACACGGTCGGTCTGTAGTTGTACAGCTCCTCTTCTGAGTACCCCTTGAGGTGGATGATTTTCATCTGCTTGACAATGGTCGACTTGCCACTCTCACCAGAACCTAGAAACAAGACACGATGAGAAAGATAGACGGGCGAGCGATTAGGGTGCGGCCACGCGTCGACGGCCGTGTCCAAAACGTACCTAGCAGCAGGATCTTGCATTCTTTCCGTAGCCTTTTGGAGTCCTCGTCCAACTCTTTGTCGATGGCCTGGCTCCTCTTTTTCTGCTCTACCTCGTCATTGTTCGAGCTCATGCAGCCGCCCATGGTGGGCGATGTTGCACGCTTCTGCGTTTGGCGAGACTGTCGGCGTTCTTTGAGGACCTGGCGAATCGGTAGGCGAAGCGATTTGGATCCAAAAGGTGGGTTTGCCATGCAGCCAATTACACACGCATAAAGCAGCGATGAAGAGCTGCTAAGGAAATGCCGGTAACAATGACGATGTTTGCTTCTTGCTGTTTAAAATACGTTGATCTTGTTCTATTCTCGAGTTTGGTAGTTGCTGCTGGTTGAAAGGGGAGGGGGGGGCCGCAAAAGTCGGTATCCCTCTGATAGAGTTGCTTGAGCTGGGGGGTTGAAGTTTAGCGGAGCGTTCGGCAGAAAATGGCGGCGGCGGATGGCGGCAGAGGTGATGGAAAGGTCAGCAGAACCAGCTGCAGCAGGTTGCGGGGAGGTGAGGGTGAAGATGGGACAAGGCGAGGGCGGTGGTGAGGCTGTCGACGCAGCGGTTCGGCAGGGCTGGCAATGATGAAAGGCGTCAGAAATCCGGGCCGGGGCGACAGAAGACGGTGCAAGATTCGGCGCGCGGAAGCAGCCTCGTGGACGAGGAGGTTTGGATTCTTCTGCTTGGGAGGAGCTGAGGCTTTGGCGTGCGCACAGGCGTGAGGCGTGTGAAAGTCAGTGCTACCCCGTCGCTTTCCAGGTACAAGCACCAGCGCACGGGATCCAATCCAATCTGCCGCTGCGAGGGCCTGTGGATCCGGCCAGGGCGTGGCTGTAGCATGGGCTGGAGACCAAATGATGACAGGTCGGGCGGAACAGTGGCGCCAATTGGCGCTGGCGGTGATGCTGGGTGCTGGATTGGACGCTGGCTGGGTGCTGGATGGGCGCTGGATGGGCGCTGGATGCTGGGGTGGAGGCGAGCCCGGGTTGCTCCCCCAGCCTGTTCTCTGCAGACGTCAGCGACGAGGATGCCAGTTGCGGTGCGGTGCGGTGCGGTACGGTACATTGAATGCCACAAGCAGCAGTCTTACTAATGTAATACAACGAGCAGCCTTGGACTGATGATGGATTGATGATTAATTGAATGGGAAAAGGGACCGGTGGGACGAGGCATGCGCACGCAGACTCCAAGGTGGGTGAGGCAGGGCGAGTTTGCACAATTGGCGTTTGCCTGATAAGGATCTGATGCAGGAGCCGGACCGCTCTTCAATAAGCGGCGCAGCTGTATTGGAGAATGCAAGCACAAGTATCGCTACAACTTGGATGCCTGCTCGGCAGCGGTCACTGCCCTACAAGGGGCGGCTGAACGAGCCTGTGCCAGCCTAAAAGTGTGCTCGTATCCAGCGTCGTTTTCGTACGGCTACCAATGAATGATGAACAGTATAATCAGTATAATGAATTGATGCCATTAATGCAGAGGAACAAGGCACGAGCACCAGAGAAGGGACAAAGGAAAGAATTGAGAATCCCCGAGGGCCAATGCTCCAAAGTGTCTGTTTGAAATTGGAAATCAAACTTGTAAGTTGCGTCGAGCAGCCGCTGGCCAAAAGGCAAAAAGGGTGCTGGCTGCCCACCCGTTTTGCAATTCCCCAGGCTATTGAGCCACCATTGAAGCACCCCATCCAGTGTTTGCCTTTGTCGCTACCATTCATCTGGAAATACGGAGCACATGCCAATGCTAGGTACGGGTGCTGCTGCTGCTAAATGGGCGCCATGTCGTTGGCGAGCTCCTCCAATGTCTTAGCGCTATACCTCGATTACACAATTTCCCGCTCGCGATGGAGCAGGTACCCGGCTATCGCGTCCTTGGCTCGCACCGTCGCAAAAACGCTCGCACCCACGTCTACGCCGCATTCCGCCTGGCACCGAGATTTTTAACCTCAACTCTACTTTCGCAGGACGCTCTGCCATTGGTAAATCACGGCGCAGACGCTCGCGGGAATGCGTTGCGAAGGTCCTAGCGACTAGGCACAAAGCAGCCTTCTCTTCCATCCGTCGGCCGAATCGCTGTCCCGTCCTGTGTGGCGGCGCGCCTCGAATCTCATCTCTCACATGCGGCCTCAAAGCACCTCGCATTTGCATTTGCATGCTCGTACCTACATATGGCCAGCGTGTACCTACATCCGCCCTCATGTGCAGAGCACGGGGTGCGAAACGCCTGTGCGTGCGTATCACGCACTCTCGACTCGCATGCACCGAGTGGCCTCCAAGCAGCCTGTAGCCGTTTGCTCGTCCTTTGTCGCCTCAAATGTCTCTCGTCTGCAGCATCGCAGCTTGGGCGGCGAATAGCGCCCACGCTCAAGCCCACCCGCAGGGGTGGCGGATGAGATTCAAATTGCAGCATCACCGAGAGGCTTCGACACCTGATCCGATTGCCTCGCCCTGTGCCTTATCGCGCTTCGCTTTGCTTCCCCCATTTCCTCGTCCCCACAGCGCTATGCCCGTGGTGGCTACTCGCCGCTCTCCGGCTTCAGCATCAGCGCGCAGCGCCTCTCCACAGCAGGCAAAACGACACGCACCCAGCAGGTGAATGGCACAGCTTTAAGCTACTGGCCAGGGGTCCGTGCGAAAGAGAAAACTCGAGGCCATCGCATGTCGCAACCCCACATGCCGGCCCAGTACCCCAGCGAATTCCTTCAGCGGCGACCAACCAGCTTGCGCCAGAGTCGCTCTAGACGCAGGAGAAGCGATTCACAGGAGGTGCCAATATACACTAGATGATAGGGACGCGTCTCGTACAGTGCTGCTATCCACCTCTATGAAGGCATGTATAGCGCAAGCTTTGACAAGCTTGGCTCTCGGCCGGTATATCAAGCTCGGATGATTCCCGCATATATACTACAGAGAGCTGCTTCACAACGCCAAGATGCTTTACCTCCGTACCTAGGACGTGGTAAGCTTGCCTTCCAACAGCATCGATATAGAAACCGTCGAGGCCACGTGCGCGTAACGACCAACACCCAGCCACAAGAGCACAAAGCTTGTTGTTGGTGCTGATTGCTTGTTTTGCATGCGAGCAGTCAACATTGGCAGCAGACCAAGAAGCCTGCCAACTTTGGGGCATTTTCATTGCCTACTAGGCACATGTATGAAATCGACAACTGACAGCCTGTCGATTGCAGCGCACTCGTAATCGAATGCCTGCCTCTACTACTGCCTGTGGTACCAGCAGCGTGGTGCTCGGAACAACAGGGTGAGGACGGACCTCTTCCAAGGCCTGCAACGATATCCTTGCGTGTTCTAAAATAAATAAAGGCCGCTGCAATGAGGGCGCCGCAATGTCAGTCTCGCTCGGGGTTCCGACGTTATTCGCACGAGCACGGCGCTTCCGGTAATCGAAATTACGAGTGCGCAGGGCTGAGAGATGCATGTTCAGCCTACGCATATCGGTATGAATTTGCGGAAACTTATCCGCAACCAAGGGATCAACCCCATGCGAGCAAATAGCTATACTACAGTGCAGGTATGCTCTTAAACGCCGCCCAGCATCAAGCGTCAAACGCAGCGAAAACAACAGCTGAGCTGACTTCATTTCGGACCGTGAGAGGCTCCATATTTAATGCTGGGTGATAATCATGATTATGAAGGAAGAATCCCAGCTCATTCGGAGAGAAGTTTAGGTCAGCCTCACTGCCAGCTCTAGGGTCCTGGAATGTAAAAATTGTTGGCTTGTCCCTGGTGTCTTCCACAGGGTACTTTACTTGCTGCTATTAGTGATGCGTAATCTCATGCCTCATCCTTCGTACCGCCGGATGACTCTATAAATTCCTCGCACAGTCAGCCCTGAGATTAAAGGCCGATTATGAAATTCGCCCGCCGCGTCACCTAAAAATGCAGATGGGATCGGTTCAACATCAATGGCGAGCGTTGATCGGATCATGCTGTATCTTCTGCCACCTCCTGGAAACGGCTGCCCGTCTGTGTCAGCCGCGCCCGCTGGCAAACTTTACAGCTTAGTCGTTGCGATATCACATCACTCAGCTTCTTCGGTACTCTCCGCGTCGATGCAACACCTACAAGTACATACACCCTTGATGACCTGAGAACAGTAGTACATATACAAGTACAAAGCGCGTAGGTACAGCATGGAGCATGGTACGAGTCCGCCGCCGATCGCCCTGAGGCCAAATGTCACCAGCCAAGACCAGTGCAGCACGACGCAGCTGGATCGAAGCTGGTGGCTTGTTTTAGAGCCAGCCATTCCATCGATGTAGGGGAGCCCCTGGATCCAGCACAGCCCGACAGGGAATGCACGTGGTTCTGCCAGAATCATCAGCTCCCTCCAATCAGTCGCCTCCAGATCCAGCCATCCATTGACGGCACGGAGTGTGTGAGGCACGATGTAACGGGGCCCTTTTGACAGTTCACTTTCATCCGTCGAGGAGGGTGGTTACTGCGCTTCTTTGTGGAAAGGCCATCCAAAGGGTATTTGAAGGATTCAGGTGGCCGTGGTCGAGGCAATCTCAGCCTTTTTGGCGGGCACAAACTTGCCCTCCCCCCCCCCCCCGTCCCTCTCCAGAGCAACAAGGCATTTACTGTACCAGGGCTTCTCCATCCAATGGACTCGACTCAGACATTTGACTGCTCAAGCTTTGTGGAGACAAGCCGTGGGCCATGGCACTTCATCCACAAAGATGGAGCCGGCAAATGCCTCAACAAGTCCAAGTTTTGGCCTTCTTCTCTCCCGCGCCTGTATCCTCTCCTGCAAGACACTGTGGAAGCGTTCTAGAAATTGCTTACACAGGCCCCAAAATGAGAGGCGCTTATTAGTTCATGAGAACAAGAAAAAAAAAAGAAAAAGTCTCAGATCATCCCTGCATAGACGACTCGCTCGCATATTAATAGCAGCATGTCGCAAACCTACAGCCGAAGGGCTAGTCAGTTCGCCCATTATCGCCATGAACCAACCGCAGTTCCCCAATCCCATTCTGGCTGGAGTGGCGGTTTGCTGCTTGCTTGGCCTCCGCTGAGCCGAGCACTAGAGAGCCCAGCATTGCGACGGGTTGGGGGCTTTTTTTGTTTTTTTTCCCTCGCTCGCTAGACAAGGGGGTCTTTGGAGACATGGGATTAAATAGCACCAACGGCCATTCATTAATAGCAATGACAATAGATAGTGGGAATGAGACTAAAACACGGAGCACACGGTTAAGGGCGGAACTCGTTGTTAGTGCCAGCAGCACGGAGTATCACTTTAACAAGTCTGAGGCTAACGTGCTTGTACAGGGTATTATACAGGTGCTGGATATGAATAATGGTCTCAAAACTTCATCTTCGACAAGAAACTAGCGAGATCGGGATTTCGGAAAGCACCAATCATTCTGGTCCAGCTTCAATGATACATGGCTAATCTCTCACGTCCCAGCAACGACTGACTGACATTCAGCTTCCAAGGAACTGCCCTGCGGCGCACGGTTCACCTTGCATGAGCTCAAAGTCGATAGAGTGGGCACTCGTTTATAAGGTAGGGAGGGTGCTCGGGCAGTCAAAACATCGTAGCATCTATACGGGGTAGCGTCAGAATCATCTGCCACAGTAACCGTCGTCCCTCCACCTGGTTTAATACCCCCTTTCCCACATTCCGAATTGTCTCGTCGTAGCCTTATCAAGAGTTTATGCGTTCCAGGGGTCCCTTTGCATGGTCTTAAGAGGGCGTATATGGGCTGCCCACTTTGCAATATTAGAGGGGCCGATAGCCGTGTGCAACTAGGCATGTACATGTAGGTATGGTGATATGCTGCTCAGTTACCTGATGAGCAATGTAGCTAAAGGCAGTTGATTGTCCGATCCGCAAGGTGAAGCCATGTATGTAAAATACTTTTTTCTGAATGAGGACGTGCTGTACTTGAAGTTGTAGAGCCCGTAGTGATACCTAATGATGTATTTCATACTTGGTATATTCTGTTTAGGTAAACATGACTACAATATGCTATTCTGACAGGCATCTACATGTATGTACTACAGTAAGCCAGTCTCCCATTTGGTCAGTGCAACATCACCACGTCTGCACAACGTCTACCCTATTAGAAGAAGATCGCCGTGGTATCATATCTGCCTGGCTCCCTTCTTCTTTGGGGGGATCTGTGCTCATCTTCTCTCCGTAGCTGGTGATTTTCGTCAAAACAAGGATACAATGTGTTTGCTATAGCGCCTCTCATTTTGTGTCGTTTCAAGTCTGTGCGAGTCGCGCAATATCTTGCTCTGTTATCATCGGTTGTACAATTCTGGGCCAATGCCGGTCATGACATAGGTATTATAGGTATGCTGTACCGGTACATAATGTCTGGTGTCTTTGTTCTATCCCTCTCCCCCATGTAAATCGCCCGTGCGAGGTAGATTGAGATCGATCTTGGCCTTATTTACCCTAGACATCATCAGATGAGACTAAGGAGCCCATACCTGCACCCTCCCGAATAGCAAACCGGGACGGGCGAGCACAGCCGTGTCTGTGCTCTGTACGTGCTGCGTACTCGAGATGAGGCGTTCGAGGAAATTATGATGCTGTTATCGTGCACGTTGCACGTCCTTGGCTCTGCTGCTTCTTTTTCTTATTACCACTGCAAGTTGGTCGCCTTTCATCTCTTTTGTTTCAGTGAGATTGGAGTCCGAGGTCCGCTACGCAGCCTGGTTACATCATTGTCTTGGGAGGCAAATGCACACACATGCTGCACAAGTCATGGGCATCAAAGGCTGTGCCACGTTACCTTTCGATCATGAGCCGAATCAACCCGGTTTCTCTTTGTTCCCGGCAGTTCATTCATACCAGCCTGCTTCGATACAGTAGAGAGACGTTCAGCCCGGTGGCTTACGACCCATCGTCTCTTGAATTCATAGGTATCCCTGATGTCGGGACAGATGGACTGACTACTGTTGCATGTATAGCATCTAATGCACAGGACAGGTTAGCGGAGCTATAAACTTGTGTGTGCTCTCCAGATAGACAGGATTCCTCAAAGAACATTAGTCCTACGGCACGCGGGGTCTTGGTATACCACGATCACGATATCCGCGTCCCACCCAATCATCACACGGACATGTCGATGCCGTCAGAGCAAAAGGAAAGGAAAAGAACGGTAAAGAAGTCAAATATCGCCGGCAGTGGCGTCACAGAAAACGGATGGCCTTCTTAATGCAATGCAAGACACGCTGGCAGACTAGCATCCAAGCTTGCCATTCGCTGCCGCATCCCTGCACAGCCCGCAGCCAAGAGAGATCGGTAGGGAAAAAAAGGTTTGGGAACGAAGAAGCGAGGGTTGTTGACGTGGAATTATGTCGCCCTGTAGGAAGAGCTTTTCTCCCTTGTCCTTGATTCTTGTTTGACTCTTGGTCCTGCATCCAGGTTCATGCTTTGGCTGTTTCTGCTCATGGGGTTCGGACATGGATCGGTCATGGTGGGTGCTGTGCTGAGAGCATGTCTCGTATGCTGCCATGAGCCGGCCTGGTGGTGTTCACAAGACCATCACCACCATCACCACCATCGCCGTCAGTGCTTATGTGGATAATTGATCTGGAAACAATTGGCTGTCACTACATACAAGCACTTTTGTTGGTCTCATATAATCGCCATACTAGCAGTCTTTACATCTGCTCTGCCTCAGGTACCTCTGCACGTGACGCCGTGCATCAAAGTTGCAGAGAGGACAGCATCTTTGTAGTCCTACTTCAGACAGTCCAAATATCATGAACCATGCATCACAATCAATTATTTGCCGGCATCAACCTTTCCGTGCTCACACCGATACCTGTTCCCAGCAATAAAGTTTGGCGCCGCCTCTGGTTTTCGTCCGCTGCGGTGGGCCTCTACGAGTAATCCAAGCGCAGAAGCCACTCCCAGCAGATCGTCTCTGCTCTGCACTCTGTATGGCGGGTCCTGTCTGTACAGTCAGCGCTTCAATCTCACCAGCCGCAGCCCCAAACCACACCGACTGGCTGATTGGAGGTGGTTTCAGAATCACCAGAGCTGCGTCTAGACAGCCAGTCAACAGCCACATTGCCTCACCAGCTCCTTTCATAATAGAGCCTCGCCTCAAGGACTCGAGCCTTGTCCATTTTACACGCAGCCTGAGCTGAATTGACTTCGCCGTCAGTCCAGAAATATTCTCCATATACAAGTACCCTTGTCCGGCTCCAAAACCGCCAGGGATCCCCCGCCACTGCCAATTCACCTTGCAGGAAGACAAACGCGCGACCATTCTGCCCCCCCTTGACTCTGCGTCCGAAGGCGAACCGATCCTGTCCTTTGCACCAGGTTTCCATCATCGTGACAGAGCGACAGCCGAACCGAACCGAGTCTGAAGTTGCGAGCGGCTTACAACTCCAGACCTGTGTCAATTTCAACTCCCGCCTTTTCGCCACACCGACTTGCTGTGCCAAATACCCAGTCTTTGCTGCCACCGCTTCTCCGTCGAGCGAGCCACTCCCAGTGACGACTGCGATCCGGCCGATTTCCCCGAATCCAAAAGGTTCGAGGCCTGCCGGCAGCTGAGCTTGCCGGAAGCGCATGGCATCGCCATAGCGGCGCTGAGCTGCAGGATATTCTTCTCGGCTGGCCTTGCATCGCGCGCATCAGCGATACCAGACGGCATCATGAGCACCGATAGAATCAAGGTCCCGCCCAATGGGGTCGAGTTCAAGACCATCTTGTCGCCAATTACCCCTACGATACCCACCACACCCTTCCTGACCAGCTTTACGCCGTTGGTGACGGTCGTTGGCTTCCATCATGCGCGGGGCCCCGAGGTTGAAAGCTGGTTTGGAGCCGAAGAAGGCGTTGATCCGGCCGTCAAGTATGGATGGACTCTGCTGCCGTTCATGGCGCTGAGCGACGGAGCGCATGCGTATGTTGACAATCCTTGTCCAAATTGTTGCACTGCGAATGCCAGGACGGCTCGCTGACTATCTGCTATCAACAGCTCGGAAGAAGACTTTTCCTATTTCACGTTGCTACGACCCGAGACGGAGCATGAGCCGGCGACATCGCTCTTTGGTATATCATGCACTCGCCAGCTCGATTCGTCGCAGCTTATCAACCGGCCTGCCGATGTAACTCGTTCAACCGTCCAGAAGGCGGTTGTCGTCATCGCCGACAGTCCCCAGTTCTTTGGCATGCTGAGACAACGCCTGAGCGTAGTCACACAGGCATGGTTTGCGCAGCGCGAGTTTACAGATGTCGAAATCTTGCACAGATTTCAGGAAAGCCTCGCGGATGAAAAATCCCGGGGTATCTTGCAAGAGGAGGCGCAGCGAGATCAGTACCTGGGTATGAGTCTGCGCGAGCTGATCCACGAATTCAAATGGCAGGCTTTGGTGTTGCTCAAATGCTGCCTTCTTCAGCCCAAAGTCAGTATTAGCCACGCTCCTTTAAAGCCATTGGCGGATACTTGCAGCTCATGTGCTAACAATCAATGTAGATGCTTTTCTTCGGATCGAGGTGTGATCGGTTATGCATGGTCCAATTCTCTCTTATTTCGTTGATACCCGGACTCATTCGAAACCTTCAAGATTGCGCGGATCCTGAATTAAACAACCACGAAAAGAAGCTGGCGCAGGCAACGAGTCTGCAAAGCAGTAATCGCAATTCACTCCTCACGTTCATGGGACTGCCATTACAGATATTTGGTAAAGTACGTGCTACAACCCGCTCCTAAGCTCCTTTGAAAAAAAGGTTCTATTCTCACACGCAAGCAAACTTAGGGAAGCATGTTTGGCCCATATACCCCATTACAGCAGCTCGATCTGCTGGCCGACGTCGGCACCAAATCATACCTCGTTGGAAGCACCAACTCGCTTCTTCTGCAACAAAAGGACCGCTATAGCGATATCATCATAAATCTCGATGACAACACCATTAATATTACATCACCTTCTTTGAAAACGGCACTGGCGTTGACGGCGGCGGACAGGAGATGGATCGACAACTTAACCCACGCAGTCAATGACACTTGGGACGAGTCCAACCCAAGCACACCAAAGACGATGCAATATGCCGGAAGCGAAGAATACATCAGAGCCCAGTTTGAAGCCTACATCATTGGACTTATATCCTCAGTCAAGTTCCACAACTATCTCACCACAAACGCCGCTGCCCTTCGCAACACAGCAGAAAGCGATCCCGCCGTTGACTTTGGCATTGACTGGGTGGACGCGTGGGCACGCACAGAAAACTATCGCATGTGGGACGCTCACACCGATACAAATCTCTTTTCTGTCTCTGAGCCGAGGCACCCCTGTGCCGGTGGCCTTACTATCGAAGATGTTCAGAGGCGCATAGCGGAACAAGTAAAAGATCTTCATCTAGACGAACGCCTCGCTCAAGGTCGTGACATTCTGGGACGAAACTTTGCTGCTGGTCGAGAGAAGGCGTCAACGATGCTAAATCGGTTGTACAACGACATGGAGCAGATGCGTGAGGCCCAGCGCCGCCGCGCAGAAGAAGCTGCCAAAGCCAATGGAGCTAATGGCAACGGAAACAGCAATGGCAATGGCAATAGCAACGGCAACGGCAACGGCAACGGCAACGGCAACGGCAACGTAGACGCCGCCAGGGCGCCAGACACACCGACTGTCAGCAGCAGAGCCAGCGCTTACATGGCAAGCTGGACCTCCTGGGCCGGCGAGAAGCGCAAAAACAGCGGATGGGGAGCAAGCTGGGGCAAAAAGAAGGCCGGTGATCAAACAGCTTCGATGCCCACGAGCCCCATTGAGAAGGACTACCAGTTTGTCAACATGATGGGCTCGCGAGGCAATTCAACAGAAGCCTACAGGCCAATGACGCAGGGGAGTTTCAGCGAGAGCATCCTCTCCGCCGCAGACAGCGACCGGCCTGGTACGGGTTCCTCAGGCGCCGATGCGTCAGCCCCTCTGACACAGTATCCCAGGGAATTTGACGATGGCTTCCACGAAGAGTCGGTGGTTGGCAATGGCGGAGCAAAACTCAGGGATTAGAAACAGTTTTCTAATGTGCAGATCAAAGAGGGGAGGCTGGTTGTTTTTGTCTTGTTGCGTTTTTTTTTTTTTTTTTTTTTTTGCGCTTCCTTGCTGTTATAGCTTGCTTGTTTTGTTCATAAGAGCAAATTAAAAGGAAGCATGACTTGGATTTTTATATATAGGTATATAGATAGACAGCTTTTATGTGATGTACGAAGCGGACGATGGAAGACGCTGGTCAAAAAAAAGAGAAAGAAGAAAGAAAGCAGTAGGGAAAGAAAGAGCTAGGGAAATAACAGGACATGATGAATGAGAAATGGTATTGATGGGCTTGGGCTGCTGCATTGGAATTGGACAAAAAGGTATTGTAACCAGATGAATACATATATCGAATATCTATGCTACATAAAGCACATAAAGCATTATAAAGCCAGTCTACTATGTAACCTACCACACAAGACACATATTTCAGACATCAAGGCACTCGACAGACACATACAGAATCCAAGTCACAGATCCTCTATTAAGCTACCATAGGCATATCACCATAATCACCACCATGAAGAAATAGAAGAAGCCAAGTAAAGAGAAACATTTGCACGTAAAATAGAACATAAAAAGAGAAGAAGAAAAAACGGGCCCATGCCATAGCACCACTCCTGCTAATTCCAATCCCAAGACAACCTGAAAAAGAATCTACGGATGATATAATAACCGATTTGGTAGTGCGGGGGAAGGGGTAGTAATAATTTTGTTTTTCTTTCGGCGATTAAGCATGCCTATATCGATGGCGGAAAAAAAAAAGGGGGGTGAAAACGTGAAGCAAAGAATAATGCCTGTTAACAAAAAGCTCCGTCAAAGTTCTACCGGAGGTAAAATAAAAAAACGAATAGTTTATGCTAAGTAGCCCAATTCATCGTCGTCCAGACGCTCTAGATACTCCTTGTCCAGGAGAATTTCTATGCACTTCTTGATATCACCGACCTTGGGGACGAAACGAGAACGGATCTGGTTGATGGTCTCGCTCACTAATTGCGTGTGCTTCATCTTCTTTCGAGCCTTCATGATACGGACAATCGCAGACTGTTGAATGTGATTAGCTTTGATATTTCGTGATATTTGAGTGGGAGAGGGGAATAAGCTGGCTTACCTGCAAGACTAATTTGCGGTCCTCTTCGATAGTCTTGTTCGTCTCGACCTCTTCCTGCTTCGCCTCCTTGACACCACCAAGGTTGAGATTGACTCGTATCTTTTTGCTCTTGAAATCATAGTTGAGGCGGAATGTCTTGCCAGGCCCAGGCTTGTCGCCGCCCTCCATCAGCAACACCTTGGCCTTGAGAATAACAGCCAGTGCTTGATCAAGCACCTCCGAGCTCAGCTGGGTATTGGCAATAATTTCCTCGTATGAAAGTGTATCCTTGTCGTTGAACAAGAGGAGGATTGACATCTGATAGATTGAGACCTGGAAAGTGTAGGGCGTCTTGCTGTTCTTACAGTAGCCGGCTTTGACTTCACCCTTGCAAAGATGCCAAAGCCAGGTTAGCTTGCGGCCATCATGCTTGTGCTTGTAAAATCGAACGAATTTCTCAATTTCCCCATTAATTTCCACGGGCGGAGTAAAGTGAGTGCTCGGTGGCGTCAATGGCCAGAAACCAGTTCCCAAGATGGAAAAGGTTGAGTCTACAGCCTTTGGTTGTTCGTAGCTCTCTAGATGTTCTTTGAACTCCTTGTTCAAATCCTTGGATATTTGCATATCTTGGAACATGCGCTGAAGCTTGTTGGTGTATTCAAAGCCACAAGCCTCTTTCAACTTGGAAATCATGCTTGTCTCCGCATCATCGGATGAAGAGTTGCTGTGCACCAGTCTCCTGGCCAGCATACGGGAATAGAACTTTTGGAAGACATCCTTGTCCTCAATGTACTTGAAGACGGTCATGATCTGAGACAGCGTGCGCTCCAGATCGGCCTCTTCAATGCTTGTGGTGCTCTTACGTAAGAGAACATCTGTGTACTTGGCCAGCAATTCGGGCGATTTGTTGGAGCCAGACTTGCACACCTCGTTCCGATTGACGAATTCACGGCAGGCATTATCCAGAGACCGTGTGAACTCGGGTTCATCGTTGAAGGCTCGCTTGACCAAGCCTTGGTACTGAGTGTGAATCTCGAGGAGGGCATCGACATAGACCTTGGGTTCCAACTTGTCTCCTTCAGACGACTGCACTTTTTGAACAGCGGCCAAGCCTGCCTTTCGGACATGAGTCTCAAATCTCGTGCGTAGTGGATCTAATCCATCGGGGATGCGAGATAGCAAACTATACATCCTCGCCATATCTTCTTCCCGATCATTGTCCAGGAGCACCTGGAATTCTTCCCGGAGGAGTGCCGAATGATCGGCGATGAGAGCCTGGTTACAGCATTTCTTCAGGGGAATGGCAATGTCCCCGTGCAAGTACATGTTGACACGCTCCTCTTCTTCGGCCAATCGCATCTCTGCCTTCTTCATATACTCAACGACACTATTCTCAGCAACAAACTGCTTGGATTCGGCTTGGTAGAATTCCTTGGTTGCAGCCAAAAAGGGTCGTTCGAAATGGAAGCGGTAGACGTCGAGCGTGGACTTGGATGGATCGGCCTCGTCCAGCCCGAGAGAGACAAACGAGTCAACGACCTGTTTAATCTGGCCGTACTCAATGGTCTCACCACTTCTCTGCTTCTCCACCAGTTTGAGAACGGCATCCATGACCTTTTCGGATACCTGCTCAAAGAGCACCTTTCGCCATTGAACAAGATGCAGGGTGTACACATCGTATATGTTCTTCTTGCCTTCGTCAATCTCGCGTTTGACCCAGTGCCTATTAAGATACTGGAACAAGTGGTGAATATATTTCGCAGCGACGGTATATCGGTTCCACTCTCGTATGTAGTAGGACAGCAGGGCTTCGTCTGTATGCGATTTGGACGACTGAACGAGGGCCGCCAAGTGTTTCTGTAGATATTGGATTAGATGGTTGTAGAGATCTTCACCTAGCAGATGAGCTATTCAACGAGAAGAAGCAAAGCAAGTTAGCGAGAGTTTCACTTCAAAGGGGAGGTTGGATGCAGACGAACCGCCACGATGACTAGTGGTCATGCTCGGGCCACTGAGGCCAACGGCTTTTTGTGAAGTGCAGAAGTTATGGACGGCGCTGTGACAGTGTGAGCAGTCGGGTTCCGAGTGTGAGCGACAAGGCAAAGCGAGAAAGAGAAACAAGGTTCACGGGACCACGTACGTATACACTCCCATGTACATTTGCATGTCCATGCCCTGCTCGAGATCGGTCATGATTCGGGTGATGCCATCCTCGAGGTACTTCCATCTGCAGCGGCGGTCAGTATCTCGCCAGCGGCCTGTATTGCCCGATCATCGGCTCCGACTCACGTTGCATTGATGTCCTCACGGTTGGGAACCGGAGGCATCCCCATTCTGGTCACCATCGTGAAGCGTAGAGCCTGAGGCGGGGTGAAGAGTGACGCTCTGCGGCTCGCGTGGGTGGATTGGCTGGCGATGTATGCAGCAGACGGGGCCGCCTCTTCAGCTCGGGATGATGGACGAAAGGAAGGGAGTGCTGGAAATATAGAGCAGCAGAGCCTTGCGTCGATGGCAGCGCCGTGATGCGTTGGAGACAGGCAGCGGGCTCTCGGGAAGCCTGTTTGGGCGACGAAACTCAGCGGTGATGCTCACGCCTCAGCCGGAGAGGCAGTGGGTCGCTGTACGGGTCAGAAACGGGCAGATTCACACGCGGCTGGGGCTCGACGCGAGGGAATAAAGGGACGAGAGTTTGCTGCTCCCTCGACTGGACTCGCCGCAACGACCGCGATGGGAAGAGAGAAGGAGGAGGGAAGAAGTCCAGGGAGGCTGCGAGGAGCTTGGCCAAAAGACGTAATGATGAGGGATCAATCAGGCAGTAAAGCCAAAGCTGACTCTGCTGTGCTGGTGCTGGTGCTGGTGCTGGAGCAAAGTGCAAGGTGCAAGGCTCCAGGAGGCTGTAAGCGGTTTAGCGCCGGTTTCTGCCTTGTCCAGCCGCCTTTTTCTGGGCCGTCTTTGTGCCTGTTGGTGCAGGTTAGAGCACTGGAAAAGGGCCTATTTCACTGGAGCTGCCGGCTGCTGCCTTGGACAAAGGGCGACGATGGTCGTAGGTGGAAGTGAAGGAGAGGAAGCCGCACAAAGGCGAGGAATAAATACTTTTTTAGGGTTTCAACAAAAACAGGAATTTTCGAGTCCATCTTCTGTGGCTGCTTCTGTGGTGACCCGCTGTTGACCGCGCGGCAGTGGTACAGAAGAATTAAGCCACATGAAGTTTATACCAAACCTCCACTCTGTATATAATTGTCTCTGCTGGATGTTGAGGACCTTGATTGAACATGGCAGAATTTTTTGTTTTCCCTTTTTTCTTTTGGATACAATCACATCTACTAGATCTAGTAGGCACCCTCTGTTAGATATCATACCATCTACTGCAACTGCTCAAAGAACCTCGCAAGACAGATAAGTAATATAGTGTAATATATTGATTTCATGTACATGTATCAAGGTAGTACAAGTATTAGCTGGATGGTATATACAAAGGCCATCTAAGTAATCAAATCTCGCTCATTTCGCAATGGTTATGCATGTTAATCCCACCGCTTTTGTAACGCCATATGGGGCCTGGCCTTCCAGAGATACTGAAACGCTGACAATGAGACCCACCCATTAAGAACAGACAAACCAAACCGTATATATGATGTTCGTACAGATGTGTACGCTGTTGATGCTTTTCAAATGCACCGTTTTCTGACACTTCTGGCACGCTGGCACCCTCATCTAGTTTCCTCCTCGCGGCCCCCCAGCCGGTCAACCACTCGGAAAATATTGACAGTCAAATTGACAGTCCACGCGACAAGGCCGAGAAGCATGACGGATGCAAGGCCCTCGGATAGCCCCATAATATCCTCGTCCCCAAATTCGTGGTAGATGACGTGCTCAAACGCCAGAGCTGTGCATGCTGACTTGAAAATGATGAAGAACAGGTCAAGAAGTATGAGAGACATCTTGGAAAAGGCAGAGCGTAGACCAATAGGCTTCCCCGTATACTCGTCCCATATCATATATCCGTTGAAGGGGATAGATACGCAGTCCACCACAATTGCAAATACAGACTGCGTGCGCTCAGCGCCATCGCCTCGGACCCTAGTGTCCTGCTCGGTCCTGATGGCAATCGCCAAGGCTACTGTGGACATGATGATGACGACCAATCGGAAGAACAAGGGAGAGAAGGAGCCATTCAATATTTGGCGCCACATGCGTTTAGAAACTGCAGATTTGCGCCGCTGGTCGTGCTTATGGTCGGCTGCGCTCAAAGGCAACTCCGATTCCTTGTTGAAGTTGGGCTGCAGCCGGTTGAGAGCCTCGATGTCGATGATTTCGCTCTGTTCGTTCCGCGGGCGTCCCCAAGCCGACGATTGTATGAATTGTGCCCACGTGACGGACGGTTGTTGAAACGCCGAAGGATGGGACGAAACAATCACCGGTTCGGCGGATCGAAGGTGGTCCCATTTCCTGCCTCGCGCGTCTGCCCGTCCATATTTGAAGAGGTGTGGTATGCGGCCGCGCTCATTCTGGGGAGGACCCAGCTTAGGGTCATCCCAAGAGACGAACCCGTCCTTGGAGACTCGTCGGTGAGGTGGCTGAGGGGTGGAATTGCGCTGAGGCGCGGCAGAGGGCCGAGGGGGATTGAGCAATCGCTGCTGCTCGTCGGTCATCGGTCCATGTCGCCCATCGTTGGTAACAACCCAGGCTATGAAGAGAGACAAGATGTTAGTATTTGCTTCTGGTGACCCGGAGACGCCGGTCAAGTCGCAAACTGATCCTTACGGGGGATTGACCGCGCAGTACGCAGGCGAGGATTTATAAAGTCTGTAGAGGTGCTCGTGGAAGGCGGAGATCTGGACGCGGACGACGGCCCAGCCTCCGCCTGGGGCGTCGAAGACGTCATCGTTGTTTTCAGTGATGGTAATAAAGATGCTGTCTGAGGTCTTGTTGTAAGTGAAAGGCGGCGCACACTCTTGATGGACTCGGGCCGGGGGAAAAGGAATCAGCAAAACGGCAATTGGCGTTCCAGGGAGGCGCCGCCTTGTATAGGGAGACGTGAGGCTAGAGTAGCATGTTGGATGAAGGGGTGTGAGGCTTGACGAGAGTGGAAGCACGAGGTGCGGCGACAGGCTGGAGAGACGCTGGGCCGATGGTCACACGCTTTAAGGCACTCTGGCAGGGCATGCACGAGGCACGCCTGCCAAGCCTGTCCGGTGGAGAGAGCTGCGAACAGGGGAGCCGTAAAGCGCGAAAAGCATCCGCAGCGGTGCTAGCACGGGCTACGGCTAGCAGCAGGCTTTGGAGGCCGGGATGTCGAGGCTCTCGGCGCAGCTGGGCCGGCAGAGCTCCATATTCTCCGGGACAACAAGAAACGGAAGGGAAAACACTGCTGGAGGCGCTGCTGCTAGGGCCAACCGGAGCTAGCCCTCAACTCACCGCAGGCACTAATCGGGGCGATCACAAGCTGTTCCGGGTGCCGAGAGCCTCTGGGCGACTGGGTCCATGATGCTGGAAAACAATGGCAAGATGTTCAGCCAGCGCCGGATCCGGGTGGAGACGCTCCAACATGCATGAACTTGGTGCCACGGCTCACCTTGGACAGCAATACGACAGGTACCTGTCAACTTGCATGGGGCAGTACCTGTACGATGGAAGTGTTTTACGACAGCTGCATGCAGAAAGATGGCTGGGTTTTTCGAAGCCCTCTTGGCACCGCCAGGAGCTTGGAAGCACTAACAGCACCTAGCGAGCTCGACTAGACCCTCCACCTTGAATTTTGTTGCTCCATAATCCCATCTATGACGGCACAGCTACCAGCCAAGTCGGCGGTACGTACTGCCGCGGTCCATTCAACACGTCACCTGATGGCGCGCGCCTGTTTTGCTCTTCCCGCCCAGGCGCGCCAGGCTCTAGGCGCTAAACTCGCTGTGACGGCGACGGTGACAGCTGGACGCGGGCTCTTGGGCGCCAAGCTGCAGTCCAGTCCAGTACAGCCTCGTCTGGATAGCGAGATTGGGGGATATCCATCAAGCACCAGCGTCGCTTTGCGTGCATTGTTTGCGCTGCCGCACAATCATACTCTTTTCTTCTTCTCCTCCTCCTTCCCTTCTTTATTCACTTCTTTCCTCAAACTTCTTACTTCCTTAATCGAGGCGTGCCTGGTTATCGCCTCTTTCTGTTTATCTTCTACTTTTTTTTAGTGCTTGCATTTGGCGCTGTCACCGCTCGATCCTTCCCTCCCAAACACTGGCTGGCCATCCATTCAATTCTTCTTCATCGCGCTTCTTTAAGCAGCACAATTCTTTTTTCTTCCTCCCTTCTTGACAGCTCTTGCGGAAACACTCCCTCAGCCGAAGCATCTCGAGTGATTCCAATTTACTGGGCCGACCAGAATAGCTGCGCCCACCCGGTTTTGTTTGCTGTTGGCGCTCTCGCCTACACAATGAAAAAAGCAGCAGCCATGCCGGCGTCGTTGAAGGAGCGATCAAGTCGGCTGCAGATGTTTGCTCGCCCCAAGTCCGACAACGACGTCAGCACCATCACGAACATCGACGTGCCCACAACTGCCGCAGCGCAGCAGAACCGCGAACCAGGGCGCTACCAGAGCTCTGGTCCGGGTCTCGCGTCCGTTGCTGAGCGAAGGGAGCTGGCAGACAGCGCTCGAGTGCCTGTGCCGAATGGAAATGCTCGCCAACCTGCCATACACCAGCGGAGATTCAGCCAGCCACCGCCCGAATCGGTGCAGCAGTCTCATTCGCAGTCTCCATCCAGCCGCCATATCGATATCTTTACCGGCTCCCAATTGGGCGATAGCTTTATGAATTCAGGCCTAACGACGCCAATGTACGAAGCATCAGAAGCCGAGCCGGATACAAAGAGGAACACTATTGCTGTTCCTGCCACTACGTCTGCTGCTCCCATTATCAGAGCTCCTCCTCGCTATAATTTCGACAAGAAGTTTCCTTCCAGCGGCGGTCTCGCCTTTCAGATTGGAGAGGATCTGCGAATGAAGGTGGTGCCGGTCTCGGGCACCAAGCATCACAACCCCTCCTACATGAATGACGGCTTCAATAGAGGCGCCGCCAATGGATATAGCAGACCTGCCCCGCCCTATCGAACGAGCTATACACGGCCAGATTCGTCGCCGGAAAAACAACCCAATCTGGCAATGCGTGAAGTTAGGCTTCGGCATGTGCCAAGAACGAAACAAATCGACTATGACGATGGGCAAAAGAGGAGCGCATCCCCTGCATATGACAGCAGAGGGCGTTTCACGAGGGATAGAGAGGACACTCGCCCTGTATCCAGATTCCAAGGATTGGCAGAGGTTGAGATGGGAGGCAGAAGGATAGACGTGATTGATGAAGATGAGAATGGAGACCAAGATGATGGCACATCTACCATAGGTGGCCGGGAGGATGGTCGAGAAACCCCGCGGATGAAGAGGCATCTCTTATCGCCACAGCGAGCTGTTCTTGAAAACGCCTTTACAACAACGATGCCACCTTTTAGGCCGTCAGTGCCAAAGGATAGGAAGCGGAGAAGAGAGAGCCTTGATTATGATGACATGGCTTTGAGCAACATGAACTACGCTGAACTACAAAATGAGGCATTTGACTTTGACCCCTCCAAGGTAACGGCACATGTTGGCACAGGCGGCGGTGCTGATACTCTCAATGCGAAACTAGAGCAGTACCAACACCAGACTGAGAAAGAACAACACTCGATGTTTAAGAATATGAATGCTGATGACTGGGAGGAAGCTGGGGACTGGTTTGCTGACCGGTTCGGCGAGATTATGCACAAGCTGAGAGTGGCCAGACGGAATAAGCGTCGAATGATTCAAGAATTTGAACAAGAGGCAGCCTCTCGGGAAGAAGATGTCCGGGTGCAGACGGAGACGATTGACCAGAAACTGGCCAAAATGAAGCAAGACGGCCTGCGCGTGGTCAACGCTAGGGAGGGGAGCCAGCAGGTCGGCAAGTGAATTTTGGCTGTGGGTGATTGAATTTTCTTTAATTTTCGGCATTATTTGTCACCGGCACTTTGAAGCAGGAGTTGGGCGCACTCGAATCAAGTTTTGTTCTTAATTTTACTCTTTTCTCTTTTTTTACCCATCATGGCCAGCGCTGGCCGTGGCCTGGAGTACAGCTCTGAGCCTAGAGGAATGGTAGCGAGGCAAAAATAAGGCGTTGAAGGGCAACGAACGGTCTAAAGATTGCTGTGGGATATCATGGAAATTTCCTAGTTGGGATTTGGTCATGTTGCGTTATCTAAACTTGTACCAGTCTCTAATTGAAGACACTATGTAGAGAAGGGAGAAGAATAACACATTTTTCATCCTTTGCTCTCTATGCCACTCTTCCCATGTTCCTATATGGTCACTGTTATTGTGTCGTGATTCTCCCTCCGCCTGAGCTTAAATCTCAACCACCTGCTTCACCTTTCTATCGCGGCCAACGATGATCCTCAGCTGTGCCCCGGGCTTCTCCGGCAAAAGCCCATTCCGCAGCCCCTCCGAGTAAAGTTCATACGCCGGATAATAAGCATCCACAAACTTGATGACCTGTTCCCTGGTCATGCCAGCGTCGGGGTCGCCCCTCGCCAGGCGGAGATGCTCCTCCTGCTCCTGGCGCCAGTCGTACACGTACTCGATGTTCTCAGAATCAATGTGCAGAAACGCGCCAAACATGTCAGTCACTTGGTCGTATTCCTTGAGCTTCTCGTTGATGGCTAGCAGATGCTCCAGACGATGCTGGTGGAGAGTTCGGCTTGGAGATGTATGTTTTGCCGTGATGGCGGAGGGAGGGATGGGGCGGAAGCCGACGCACCAGCCTTCGAGGATGATGACTTGGAGAGGAGGAGAGTTGCTGCTGTGGTTGATGGGTATCCATGATGAGGAGGGGAGACGGTCGCCTTGGCCGGAGAAGAGGGCCTTGTCGTATTGGGGGAGAAGAGTTTGTTCGTGGCGGAGGAGGGAGGAGAAGACGGATTTGAGGAGGGGGATGTCGTGGGTGCCTGAGATGGTCAAGTAAGTTTGAGAGCTGGGAATATAAACTGAGTAGCAATTTCGTAGGGATTTGAAAATTCCTCATGAGGTGAAATGCAAGGCTATTCTAATGGTATATATTGTATTGATGGTTGCGTGTAAGTGACATACCTGGCTCTCCACGAACCTGCCACAGCGCATTCTCAGGATTCGCCCTCGCCAGGGCCACCTGGTCCTCGTGCGTCAGGTAGAAGTCGTCAATGCTGCAGACCAGCGTAGGGATGCCCTCTTGCTGGAGGGCTGCGGCGAGGGGCACGACGAGGGTGGATTTGCCGACGCCTTGGATGCCGTTGAGGCCGATGATGAGAGGCGGCGGCGGCTGCGACGATGACGTCTGTTGTTGTCGGTGCAGCTTGAGGCGGTTTAGGATAAAGGGGATGCATATTGGGGATTTGTCGTCGGTGAATGGAGGGGCCATGATGTTTGATGCTTTTTTTTTAAAAATGTATGAGTTGTATTTAAAAATTGCTCTATGTCTACCTGTATAAAAGGGATATGATTTTCTACATGGTGCCGCTATGAGAGGAGCGGGTAATACTGCGCAGTTGCGGTAGCTCTAATATCCGCTTCGGAGCCGGTTGATTGATTGATGGGTGTGCATTTGGCTTCTAGGCCTAGTGCAGAGGGAAGATTGTGGAGAGGCATTGCCTGTGTGTACTAGTAGTAGCGGTATATATAGATGGCCTGGGGCATGCGATGCTTGTGTGATGATGGCGATGCATTTTATAGGGCAATTGGGCAATGCAGAGCCATGATATACGATGGATTCCAGGGTATTACATCACTGGCCGGCAAGCAGCGGTAGTACAGCACAAGCCATATTCTGATCCAACTGCCAGACAGACGGCTGACATGGACACGTGAAGGCCACTTGCAAGATCAAGCCCAGCATCGATGCACTAATACCTGGGGATACCCCGGATTCCAAAAGCATGTGAAGACGCCTCCATGCTCTCTCTCTTCCCCATGTCCCGCATCCAGCCTAGCGCTCGCTCCCCGAAAACCCCCTCGGTCTCGGTCCAAAATGGCGGTTGCTCCAAGTTGCACGTACCCGCTCCACGCAGCTCAGCCGAGGCATCGACACCTTGAACCTTTTTCTGCGGCTGCGGTGCTGCTGGACCCGGGCCGTCCGCCTCTTTTCGTGTTTCTGATGTGGACTTAAAAAGAGAAATCCTGCCGACAGCTTTGACATTACATCGAAACCCTTTTCTTTTCTTCCTTTTGCTATTTCCCTCTCCCTCTTCAATCTTCTCCTTGATACCCCCCCCCTCCATCCTCTTTTTTGCTGTTGCATTCCGTTTTCTCTCCCAACAGCATAATCTTGTTTGCATCAGCGTCGCTTGTAGACAAAAACTCCAATTCCACAACACCATGTCTGAGCAGCTGAGATACGACGGCCAGGTGGTGGTCATCACCGGAGCTGGCGGCGGCCTGGGCAAGGCCTATGCCACCTTTTTCGGCTCACGGGGAGCCAGCGTCGTGGTCAACGACCTGGGCGGCTCATTCAAGGGCGAGGGAAACTCTACAAAGGTCGGTGAATCCATATCCATGGCTGTGCCCACACACTGCCACTGCTTGTTCTTTGCCCTTTTGCTCACAGCATTTGCTTCCAGGCCGCTGATGTCGTCGTCGACGAGATCAAAAAGGCCGGCGGCAAGGCCGTCGCCAACTACGACAGCGTCGAGAACGGCGAGCGCATCATCGAGACCGCCATCCAGGCCTTTGGCCGCATCGACATCCTCATCAACAACGCCGGCATCCTGCGCGACATTGCCTTCAAGAACCTCAAGGACGAGGACTGGGACCTCATCATCAAGGTGCACGTCACCGGCGCCTACAAGTGCACGCGCGCCGCCTGGCCTCACTTCCGCAAGCAAAAGTACGGCCGGGTCATCAACACGGCGTCGGCCGCCGGCCTGTTTGGCAGCTTTGGCCAGACAAACTACTCTGCCGCCAAGCTGGCCATGGTGGGCTTCACCGAGACGCTGGCCAAGGAGGGCGCCAAGTACAACATCCTGGCCAACGTCATTGCTCCCATTGGTACGTTGGCAGAAGAAGAAGGAAGCAGCAGCAGCAGCACAGTACTGACTTGAAGTGACTCCATAGCTGCGAGCCGAATGACCGAGACCGTCATGCCCCCCGATGTCCTCAAGGCCCTCCGCCCCGAGTGGATTGTGCCGCTCGTCGCGGTCCTGGTGCACTCCAACAACACCGAAAACGGCAGCATCTTCGAGGCCGGTGCTGGCCACGTCGCCAAGCTCCGATGGGAGCGGTCCAGCGGCCTCCTGCTCAAGGCCGACGACTCCTACACGCCCGGCGCCATCCTGAAGCAGTGGAACAAGGTCGTTGACTTCTCCAACCCCCAGTACCCCTCCGGCCCCAACGACTTCCTGGGCCTCCTGGAGGAATCCATGAAGATGGGCCCCAGCGAGCAGGGCGAGAAGCTCGACTTCACCGGCCGCGTTGCCCTCATCACTGGTGCTGGTGCCGGCATTGGCCGTGCCTACGCTCTGGCCTTTGCCAAGTACGGCGCCTCCATTGTCGTCAACGACCTCGTCAACCCCGACTCTACCGTTGAGGAGATTAAGAAGCTCGGCGGCAAGGCCGTCGGCGTCAAGGCTTCCGCCGAGGATGGCGAGGCCGTCGTCAAGGGCGCCATCGACGCCTTTGGCCGCGTCGACATTGTTGTCAACAACGCCGGCATTCTCCGTGACAAGGCCTTTACCAACATGGACGACAACCTGTGGAACCCCGTCATGAACGTGCACCTCCGCGGCACATACAAGGTTACCAAGGCTGCCTGGCCCTATTTCCTCAAGCAAAAGTACGGCCGTGTCATCAACACCACCTCCACCTCTGGTATCTATGGCAACTTTGGCCAGGCCAACTATGCCGCTGCTGTAAGTTATTTGGACATGATACGCTTCCAAGGAATATGACCCAGCTAACATGTTGTGAATCAGAAATGCGGTATTCTGGGCTTCTCCCGTGCCCTCGCTCTTGAGGGTTTCAAGTACGGCATCTACGTCAACACCATTGCGCCCAACGCCGGCACCGCCATGACCGCCACCATCATGCCCAAGGAGATGGTTGATGCCTTCAAGCCCGACTACATTGCTCCTCTTGTCCTCGCCCTCAGCAGCGACAAGTGCCCCAACCCCACCGGCGGCCTGTACGAGGTCGGCAGCGGCTGGGTCGGCAAGACCCGATGGCAGCGAACCGGCGGCCACGGCTTCCCCATCAACGTTCCTCTGGTTCCTGAGGAGGTTGCCAAGCACTGGGAGAAGATTATCAACTTTGACGATGGCCGCGCAGACCACCCTGAGAAGGCTCAGGACGGCCTGGAGAAGATCATGGCCAACATGGAGAACAAGGTATGAGAAACATGATACGTACGATTTTTCTGTCAAGTCTCTTTCTTCATTTTCATTTTAATTCCTGTCTCCTCCATCTGCCATCTTTTTAAGGCAGATCTGTATCACCACCAACTACTACCATCTATCAAAAACCACTTGTACATATTGGATAGCCACTAGAGATGATGAAGAAGAAGAAGAATTGTTACGAAAAACACAGAATGAAAGAATGAAACTTTTTCCTAATGACTCATGCAAAGAGAAAGAGCCGTGCTAATTTGTGATTCTTTCTTGCTTTCCAGCGCGGAGAAGAGAAGCCTGCCGCCAGCAATGAACATCTGACTGCCATTGCCGAGGCTCTCGGAAAGGAGGGCAGCCCTACCGAGTACAGCTTCACGGATCGTGATGTTATTCTGTATAACCTTGGTGTTGGCGCCAAGCGAAAGGAGCTGAAATACGTCTTGTAAGCCCCCATCTCCACGTGCCTAATATCATCATCTCTTTACTAACTACCTTTTTCTCAACAAACAGCGAGGGCGCAGAAGACTTCCAGACCCTCCCCACCTTTGGCGTCATCCCCCCCTTCAGCGCCGAAATGCCCTTTGACTACGACGCCATCGTCCCCAACTTCTCGCCCATGATGCTCCTCCACGGCGAGCAGTACCTCGAGATCCGCAAGTTCCCCCTGCCCACCTCGGGACGCCTCCTCTCGCGCGGCAAGCTCCTCGAGGTCGTCGACAAGGGCAGCGCGTCCATTGTCAAGACGGGCATCACCACCGTCAATGCCGAGACCGGCGAGGACGTCTTTTACAATGAAATGACCGTCTTCCTCCGTGGTGCGGGCGGCTTCGATGGGCAGAAGAAGGGCCAGGATCGCGGTGCTGCGACGGCGGTCAACGAGCCGCCCAAGAGAAGCCCCGACGAGGTTGTCGAGTCTCCCACGGGCGAGGACCAGGCGGCCATCTACCGCCTCAGCGGGGATTATAACCCTCTGCATATCGATCCTGGGTTTGCCAAGATGGGAGGCTTCAAGGCGCCCATCCTGCACGGCCTGTGCACCTTTGGCGTCGCGGGTAAGGCTGTTTACGACCGTTTTGGCGCATTCCGCAATGTCAAGGTGAGGTTTGCGGGGCCGGTGATTCCCGGACAGACGATTGTGACGGAGATGTGGAAGGAAGGGAACAAGATTGTGTTCCAGTGCAAGGTGAAGGAGACGGGCAAGGTGTGTATTGCGGGAGCGGCTGCTGAGTTGGCATAAATGGCCTGGGATCAGTATTGTCAAGGGAAAATCATGAATGGGGATATGTAAGATACGGGATATTTACGCAGAATTAAGTTTTAAAAAATAACGTTTTTTTTCCCTCATTTCACTCTTCAAGGCAACCAAGGCAAAAACAATCTATCCATCCATTCATTCGTGCGTTCGTTCATTAATCAAGCTTAATCCATTCATACCCTCCATTATACATCAAATGATTTCGGTAAAACAAAAAAAAACAAAGCGCTCAAGTTCCCTCCTTATACAAGGAACATGTATATCCATGCTTTCAAAATTCAAAATTCAAAATTCAAAAAAAAAAAAACAATCCAGCTGTTCCGACGGGAAAAAAAGGGAAACAAGGAAGGAAAAAATATTAAGAAGAAGATAAAAGAGCAGTATAATGAAAGGAAAAATAAAGGAGGAAAAAAAAGAGTTCATTTATCCCTCCCAAGTCAGGTGATGAGAAAAGACGTATCCAGCTTCAGCAAGCAGCAGAAAAGGAATGTATAAAAAGGTATTTTCAGAAAAAGGTGTTGGATGGATACTGGGTACCCATATAAGGATGCTCTTTTTGAAGGAGAATCAAGTCGAAGGAAAAAGCGTCATAGAGTAGTGATATTTCATCCTCCTTTTTATGTAGACGCCTGGCTTGCGTGAGACGCTGCAAGAAAGAAACATCTTGAATCGTAACGCTCTGTCTTGGTAAACTTTTCAACACTCGTCGCACCAGCAAATCTTTGAATAGTAATGTAGCGAGTATGGGTATCGGAAGAAAACTTCAAGAAAACTCCCGCTGGCTGGCTCCATGTGCTCATCTCGCTCACACAAAGATGGTCTCAACCACAACATCCAAAAACTCTCCCAGCGAGGGCATCCGCCCCGCCGACAGGATTTCCTCAATACTGCCTATGCTACTCAGCCGTGTCGCTATGCCCGTTTCTAGAAATGCCTTTTCCGGCGTCGAGAGGTCTCTCTTCTCCGTGTCTTTCCACTTTCGCTCTGCCTCTTCGCGGGCCTCCTGTAGTATCTGGTCGACATCTTCCGATTCCCACAGATTGCACCGGTCGCACTCCAGACACGGCCGCGGGTCGCCGTCGGGTCTAAAGTGGTCGCAAAAGTGCCGGTACCCTTCCTCGGTGAGATCGGCGCGGCAGACGTAGCACATCTTGTACCCGCAGGGGCAGGTGAGCTTGTTGCAGCCTGCGTTTTTGACAAACGACGTGTTGCAGCGAGGGCAGACGCGCTTGATGGCCATGCTCATGGCCTGCTCGACCTGCGTTCGTAGCGCAACCAGAGACGACTCGTTGCAGACATGGATATCCGTCCAGGTCTTGCTACACGACAGACAGGACACTCGGCCGCATTCAGGGTTCTGACAGGCAAACTGGAGACCGCGTCGGCGACGAGTGTGTCTGCCCATGGCGTGCTTCCACTCTGCCGATATCCGCATCCAGACCGGCCCCAACGAGGTAAATGCCAAGGCGGCGACAATGGATAGCACAGCCAGAGGAAGGATGAGGACAACACAAATGAAGCAAAAGAAGAGGAATAATAGGTGGAGGATACCAGCAATCCGAACTCGCATCCTTGCCCTCTTAGACGGCATGTAGATGTCATCAATCTCTGCGTAGCTGCAAAACGGACAGTGTACCAGCGACAGTCTCGCAGCAATCAAAGCATGTTCCGCAAGCCGCTGGTCTAGCTGATGCAGAATCTCGGCACCCTTCTTCTCTTCCAGCATGGCTCTGCACATGTGTTCGGACGAGATGTGGCCAGAGCACTGATCCCGGCCGACAGCCATGCACCTCAGCGTCCCCGTCTCGGGGATGATGCTGCTCTGCCAGCCCTGGCCAAAGACGGCCTCTTTGAGAGAGAGCTGGACGCAGCGGAAGCAAATCATGTGTGCGTCCTTGTTGCAGTGCGTAAACTCTTCAAACGGAGCGGTGGTGAAGCAGCACATGCACTCGTGGACTGCGCCTGCTTCCTCGGCTTCGTCACTGTTCAGCCGCATCGCCGTGGCCCGGTCTTTATCGATCCGATCTTGTCTATCCTTTTCCTTCAGCGGGCGGACGAGCGCATCGTAGAGTTCCCGGTCAAGCTCGGCGTTGCCCGTGGATCGTATCGTGGGTATGCTCGAGCCCTGGCCGGTCGTGCGCCAGCGGACAAGAGGGTGGTGATCTGCCTCGCCCGTCGCCACGGGCTTGCGCCTCATGATGAAGGACGAGAGCGTGAAGCGCCATGACTTGGACGAGAGCGTCACGAGCGTCCTCCGAGCGTCCAGGTATGAGTAGTTGGACTCGGCCAGCACGGCGTTGATTGTAGACTTTGACAGGCCTTTAAACTCCTGCCACGCAAGCGTCCGCACCGCATTCTTGTAAGCGTCGCTTCGAAAGATCTCTGCCCTCGGCACGAGCTGACTGACGACGATGGCCGCTTCTGCCTGTGTCTTGTCTCCGTCTCCACGCTGTATGATACTGCCACTGTGCCTCTCAGGGCCGGCAACTTTCCATCTGCCCTTGACCCACGTAGCGCGGTTCTTTAGCAGCGCATCGGCCACCAAAGCAAGCCTCGACTCGCCATCGAAATTGCCCAGCAGCTCGCGGAAGACCTCGATCTGGATATCGGGAAACACCGCCGCCAGGGCCTCGAGGCAGCAGTTGAGCTCGCGCAGGTCCGGTCGTTCGGGCGGGATGCAGGGCAGCTGGGCCTCGTCATGGATGTACTCGGGCGGGATGTCGCCGTCGACGGCCGGGACAGAGCGTGCCTTGCTTGAGGACGATGCAAGGGAATAAGTCGACCTATCGTTGGAGGAGAGCAGCGCTGGCAGGGGCATGGCGGATGCTCATGCTGGAGCGTGCCCTATGGCATGGGCTGGGATTCAGACGTAGGGGCCGTTGCAGAACCCGAGTCTTGGACGGAGGGATGGAGTGCTCTGCTGGTTGTTGTATAGGCGCAGATATGGTAATGATTTTGGTGGTTGCAATATTGTGTATGTATTCTCGTGGGAGGAATGATAAAAAGACGGCGCCTGTATAGGTACCAATGGAATATTAAGATGGGGATGGCAATAGCGGGATCCGAGGAGCGCGGCGGTGGATTACGGCGGTGGATTACTGAGGTGCCTATGGGCTATACCCAAGCCGTAGTAGCACCTACAGGTGGAGAGCACCCTGAGCAAGGTACGGGGTGCTGTTAGTGCGAGTTTACCCATCAATGATATGAACAGCAGCAGCTTTACACCGTATCATGGGTCGAACATTGCAGTAGAAAATGTCTCGACATCACGCTTCATCTTGAAATGAATCTTGTTCACAGCAGAGCACATCATACATCTTCCATCAGCCATGGCATGAGCTTTCGCTACTCACAACGTTGGTGAATCCTTTAGGCAGCTGCTGTAGCTATCTCATGGTAGTGCAGACAATACCGCTCGCCGCTCCACACTAACGTCGTTGGCCTTTCTCTATTCGAGCACATCATATCATCAGCCAACAAACTCGAGTCACTTTTCCCGGATTGGAAAATATTAATCAGACACGTGTAATTAATTTCATGGCCTTGCTTTGCAAATATCATACTGCTAATTCCTGTTCCTGTTTAAAGCCCACTTATATGCATCTCCATCAAGTACAAAGCTCCTCTTTCTGCCACCAGCTTTCCGGGGGGTATCTAAACACATAATACTGCGTAGCATCTTTTTGATACCACGATAAATTCCTTCATTATCTCAATCAAACGCGGGTGCTGTGCAAAACAAAACAGAACAGGATGGTGTGACTTATTCACTCATGTCGCTCATGAGCTCGAGCATGGACGAGCTGGGGTGAGAATCTCCGCAGCAAGGACAGATTCTATCGTCGTCGCTATCCCAGGCCGAGTCCTCAATCTCGTACCCGTTGATTCGGGAGAACTGAACCCATGTCCGCTTGTCCGCGTCACGGGCAATGGGCACCTTCTTCCAGATGACTCTCTTCTCGTCGCGGGTTGACAGAGGGTGGCCATCCTCGGCGGGGGCGGCAGGCAGGGTGCCTACCTTGTGGTAGCCCTCGAAAGAATGCAGGTGGAAGTGCTCGCCAACTTCGCCATCTTCTCCGTCTTCGCCGGCCAGCCCAAGACCCTCTTCCTCCATTTCGTCTTTGAGATCTTTGTACGCTCTAATCACGCGAGCACACCAGTTATCTCCCCTGAGACTCTGCAGACCTTTGGAGTTTGCAATGAAAGAAGCTGCTGCATCAAGGTAGAGGCCTTCGTCCTTCACCAGACCGCTGAGCTCGGCGGAGGCTTTCATTCCAACATCATCAAACGGCATTCCAGTGACTTGAAGTTCATTCAAAGTACATCCCAGTTCGTGAGATGCTACTTCATGGAGTTCAGATCCCGAAAATGGCAACAGCGAGTCTGAAAAGTTCACCAAATCAATTCGCAGGGAAGAAAGTGACGGAAGAAGTCTTGGCCTGGGGGTTTTCTTGTCTTTATAGGCTGGGTCATACGGGGCACGCAAGGCCAGAAAGAAATCGATGAGCTGATTCCAGGTGTAGCAGCGGAAGCCACCACGAACAAGAGGCGACTCCTTTGGTCGCATGTGTACTTTGAGAGGGTGGTCCTTCTTCAAATCCGTATGATAGTATCGTTCAAGCTTATGCTTGCGACGCTGATCATCATAGTAGCGGGCAACGACACGGAGGTTGACATGCATGATCTTGTGTCGATATTGGGAGCTGAGCTCGCTGAAGTTGCGCAGAGCTTGAGGGGTCGTGAAGACGAAGTGGTTAGACTCCCAAAGGAATCGAGTGCCCTCAGCATTCAAGGCTTTGTTTGTGGCCAGAAAGTGAATGGCGATCTGGTGGCCTCTCTTCTTCTCTTCTTCGGTCAGATGCTCAGGCGTAGTAGCACTCAGCGGGTCGATGATTGGATGATCGCTCTTCATGGCGAATTTGAGAACCCGCAAGAGGACTTCAGTGGGTAGAAACAGGGAGGCCGAATCACTGGGGCCGGCACCAGATGATCGAGTCTTGCGTCTCGTGGGGTCATTCTGAGCCAGATGCGCCTTGGCCAATGGCGACCAAGAGATGCCATTCTCGCGGAGGATGCGCTTGAGCCTCAAGTTCTCCTCAGTAAGCAGCTGGTTAGTCCGGCGAAGGGGGTAGTTGTAGGCAACCCATGCCTGGTCCTCCTTATCGCGGCACTCCCAAGGAAATACAAGCTGTGAAGAATGAGTATTTGATCGGCCAAGGAAATAGAGACTGGCCGACATCTGCTTACCTGACCACTCATCTTGCCGCAGATCTTTGTTGTTGTAGCGGAAAAGAAAGAATACAAACAAACAGGAAGCGACTTCCCGGGAACGATACGCCGTGCTGCGACACGCTTCAACAACAATTTCTCGGACCAGACCAGGCCTCAATAACAGAAAGGTACCCGACACAGACGGTGACAGTGCGTCTGGCTGTTGATGCAACGATTGGGATACGGCAATGACTGACACGATGAGACACAATGAAACGATGAAGCAGAACAGAGGAGTGGGCTTGGAGGTGTCGAGTTCAAGTCAAGGCCAGGGTGAAAGACGGATAAGAGACTGGCAAAAAAAATGCGGCCGTCCTTGTGCGACCCAGTGCCAAATTTACTCTTGCCCTGCCGATTCTGGTGAATAAGAGGGATGCATGCAGGCGCTCACAGCTGCTGGACAAGTGGTGGGCAGGGAAACGATTGACTGTGATTCACGAACAAGGAAATGCACCAGAGGCCAGGGCTGGGTAAGGCGCTGGCAGCTGGACGGAGCCACACCTGGGAGCCGGCCGTCGAGAAGTGGTCAGATTTGAGAATGGCAGGGGAAAAGAGCCGATGGGAGTGCAATGGGAAAAGGATAAAGAAGAAGAGGGACAGAAAACCACTCGATTGGCAGGTTGGGAGGAAACCCGAGCCGTACGACCCGAAGATGGACCAAACCCGAGGGAACGAGGGAACGAGGGAAAGAGAGTGTGGAAAAGATGGGGTTTGGCGATTCAGTGCCGGCAAAAGGTTGATTGAGCAGCTGAGCAAAGACCGCCCGACGACGTTGCTCCTTCCTGGCCGTGAGTCGAGCTGGCAATAGTGATAAGCCGCCACCTCCCTCTTTCCTTGGACCAACGTATTGCTGTAGCAGGACCTGAGGACTTTATCCGAAGCTATGCCTCGAAGCCGTGGGCGGGAATCAAGGCGGAAGTGGCGCGGGGAATTAAGGAAAGAGCGCCTGTTCAGTTACTGTACGGCATCTACCGTGGAACAAACAGCCCCAGCGATACTCGGCGAGAGAAGCGACGGGCTGCTATCAGGTGATGGACGGGCTTGGTCGTCAGCGACGGCAGCGTTTTACGGGCACTGTGCCTGTATACGCTGCAAAAGTACTGCTGTGTAAGGAGCTCTACTGCACTATTGGAGCAACTGCTAAGCAACCTGGAGCTGCTAAGCTACGGGCGCTGGGGCGGACCGATCCTGATCCCTGCCATTCGATGCCATGTCGTGAGAATTAGCTGAAGGAGGATGGATAACGAGGCGAGTCGCCGGCAGTTGTGCTCAGCTCAATGCAGAGGGTGGAGTGACTTGATACCGGCCATAAGGTTGTGCTGCGTAGGCCTTTTTCCTGCGATGCTTCGTACTGCGTAAGTAGTTGGCCTGTATTGATTGGCCTTGTTCCGTCACAATGCAGGCTTCGTCGCTACTCCAATCTTGTTTCTTCATGTCTCAGAATTCACATTTCATCGACATGCCTGGATCACAGACAAGCAGGGATCCAAGCACAGTCCAATTCAGGAAATGAGCTGCCCTGTCACCGAAGCGCCGAGCTCCAGGGTAGCGGCAGCAGCTATTGAGATGACCGCTGCAATCGGCGATGCCCATGTAGTTGCGAGATGCACAATGAGATATGCTCTATTTAAGCTTCGATTCCATCAGCAGATCACCCCAGGGCTGCTCCCAATCCAATGGCTGCGACAGTGCGGTACAGTCCTGTGGCCATATGCTACTTGCTTGACGTCATGACTGTTCGCCCTTACAGCATCTTTATTCGCCTCCTACTCTGAGAACCCTCAGCCTTACGTACGTATGATGGATGTGGTATATCATAAAAACATATATAGCTAGGTAGAGCGATCGCTAGCATCCAATGGTTATATAAAGAGCTATCAAAAGAATAAACCTTTCAATAGCAGAAACACACCGGAACAAGAACACCTTTCTCCTCTCATAGCATAATTCCATCACACATATATCACAATGGCCACGACTGGAACCAGCGCACCTCTCGGCGATAAGCCCGCCGACCCCTACACTCATGCCAACAAGGACCAGCCTGACCTCAACACGTTGGTTACGGATCTTGTCGACTTCATCACTACATGCAAATTTGGCATGTTGACGACCGTTGAGGCGTCGAGCCACAACAATCTGGTCTCGCGCTGTATGGGCTTGGCTGGAACGGTAAGATGGCAATTGCAGGACTCGAAAATGTGTCGTTACATAAACTAATTCTCCACGTAGGAATCCGGTGGCATCGATCTTCTCTTCCACACAAACACCGAGTCCGGCAAGACCAACGACCTATCCAACGATCCCCATGTGAATGTGTCTTTTATCAACAGCTCCGGCGAGTGGGCTTCCGTCGCAGGCCAGGCGAGTGTTGTGACTGATCGCGATCTGGTCAAGAAGACGTATAGCAGCGGACTCAAGGCGTGGCTGGGCGATCTTGGTGACGGAGTTCACGATGGCTCAGAGAATGATCCGCGTATCGGAATTATTCGTGTCAAGACCACCACTGTGACTTATTCTTTGGTGTCGGGGAACTTCATCAGCCGTGCTGCTGAGGTTGCGCAAGGAGTGCTCACTGGAAAGCCAGCTCATGTCAGCAAGCTTCGAGAGATTACCGCTGAGGACGTGAGCAACTGGCGTGCTTCGAACGCCTAATTGAGGAAAATATCAAACAACTGGATCAATGTACTATTATCATCCATGTCAATCATGAACTAATGGAGTTTTCTTTTTTCTTAATATACCTCTCATCAAGCAATTTACTGCTTGCCGTACTCCTCTGCCCATATTCTGGTAAACTTTTCCTTATCAACAGCAAACTCACGGACGAAATCGCGCTCCAGCTCGTGAGCTCTCCTGCCCAGCAGGACCAGGCTGTGTAGTGGAGGACCCAGTTCCTCATCCGTAGAACACAGTTCCTCAAGCGTTCCCGACACAAACTTTTCCGTCTTGCCTCCAACACGAGCAGCGCCAATAGCCAAGCTATCCTTTGTGTAGACACCCTCTTTGCGCTCCTCCTCAATTTCCAGCATCTGCTGCGCGCACTGCCCGACCGTCATGTATCGTGGGGGCTCGTAGACCAATCTGCCTCGGGCCATGTTCTCCAAGCTCTGCTCCTTGACCTTGATGTCGACTAGCACCAACGTGTGCAGGCCAATGTCGCGGTTTTCCTTTATTCTGTCGTAAAAGGAAGCTGGCTTCCATGTTTCGGTGAAGAAGACCATGGACACGGTCTGTCCAAAGTTGTACAGCTGAAGGCCGCAGGCGCCGATGCCGGACATGATGGAGGCGTTTGGTACGGTTCGCACGGGAATGGACAATTCGCGAGCTCGGATGACGAGATCTGTGTGTGTTGTAGCACTGCGGCGATATGGTTAGTTAAAGCTGTGAATATTGAACACATCAAGGTATAGCTAACCCGAAGGGATCTCCAACAACGCAAAAAGCGACGTCCTCGTTCTGCGCATTTCGGAGAATCTCGTCGCTGTTTGACTCGACCATCTCGCGGTCGGCGATGGTTATCGATCGTCCATAGTAGTTTTCCTACTTCAAGAGTCAGCGTTAGCTCTTTTCTTTGCCAGAGACGTTGTCACTGGAACTGGCGAAGCATACCAGGACAGACTGGTCCACGAGCAGGATGCTTGTGTACGCCTCAAGGTAGACTCGCGAGGCCTTCTTCACCACCTCGAGACCCTTGACGGTGATATCCGTCTCGTCGGACAGACCAAGACCAACAAGATACAACATTCTGACTTCGATTACCACATGCAAATTGCGTATCGAGTTGGAAAACTCATCTTCAACAGCTGCCCCGCGGTGGGGTTGAGAAATTCTTATCTTAGCGCCGGTTGACCCTTGTCTTGCCGCAGCTTTGGCGATCTTGGTGTCGCGTCTAAATCTGACGGTTCGAAGCTGGAGGCCTTTTCCCTTTCTTTACATCATCCTCTCTCGCCCTTTTTCACCCGCCATGTCTGATTCAAAGAACAAGAGCGCCTACGGTGTAGCGGCCTCTGACACCGATTTCCGCAAGAATTGGGATCTGGACGAGTATGCCGCCAAAGCCAAAGAACGCGAGGCCAAGGAGAGGGAAGAGGCCAAGGCGCGCTACGAGGCCAAACTCGCTGGCAAGAAATACCACAAGCCCATGACGGGCAACGAGACATACACATCAGCACGGAGAAACATCATTGATGTTAGCGCCCAGGTTGGCAAGACGCAGATTGTGCCGGCTGGATCGGGAGTTGGTAAACGAGGCAGAGGAGCTGGTTTCTACTGTGAGGCTTGCGACCTTACGTTCAAGGACAACTTGCAATGGGTCGAGGTATGCACGCACACACATATCTATTGCGGGAAGTAAAACGAAACATTAATACGGGTGCTAATTGGGCATTCATAGCATTTAAATACGACTCAGCATCTGCTCAACACCGGGCAGACCACCGAAGTCAAGCGGGCAACCGTTGAGGAAGTGCACGAGCGAATCGAATTCTACATTCGCCGAAAAGAAGATCTCGAGAGGGAAAAGGCCACGAGTTTACAAGACAGGCTGCAGATCCGAGAAGAGGAAATGAAGAAGGAGGCGGAAGAGAAGCGGGCGAAACGAAAGGAAGAGGCAGAGAAGAAGCGGCAGGACAAGGAACAGGCGGCCAAGGTGAAGACCGAGTACGGCGACGATGTGCGGGTTGAAGGAGAGCATGACGAGGATGATATGATGGCGCAGATGGGATTTACCGGGTTTGGATCGTCAAAGAAGTGATTTGATTGCTGTGAGGTGCGGAGTGCTTGGAGAGATGCGAATGTGTATTTGTAATGGCGAGAGGACGAATCTATGATACCCAAGACCTGTACAGAAGGCGTTATTTTAGGATATTTAGTAAATACTGCGCAATTCATATCACCCTAGGCAATTTTATTCTAAACATTTAAATCTGGCAGGATCAAGATGACCCAAGTATACTTGACTGCGCTTCTGCAGCCACCAACTGGCTGCCATCCATGTCATAAATACGTGTGCATATCTGAGTGTGCTACAGCTGAGGCCATCCAGGTGCAGGGTCGACCCGGTGCCGAATACCCCACCTCCAAAATCCGATCTAAGGCATGGCTTACCTACTACACACTACCTAAGCTATTCTCTCGCCGTATCGGAACCTTGAACTTTCCTCCTCCTGTCCCCAACATCTTTTGACCACCTCATCGACGACAGCTGCTCCCACCGTCTTTCACCTTGGCACGAGGAGCATCAGCGGCATCTCCTTCATACAAACATCATATACAGCCGCCCACAGCATCACTGCTAATATGGCGTCAGCCGGTGCCGCCGCAGCGTCGCTGCTGAAGCGCCAGCTCAAAGAGATGCAGTCGGGCAAAGACCTCCCCGGCATCTCATGCGGTCTCGTCAACGACAACAACATCTTCGAGTGGGAGGTGATGCTCATGATCAACGACGACTGCAAATACTACGGCGGTGCGTGGCTCTTGTCCCTCGTCCCTCCCTCGCTTAAAGCACACCGTATCGACTTTAACAAGCTGACACTCTTTTTGCCCTTGTGATTACAGGAGGCAACTTTCGTGCTCGCCTAGTCTTCCCCCAAAACTACCCTCACATGCCGCCCCAGCTCACCTTTCAAGAACCCATCCCGTTCCACCCCAACATCTACGAGAACGGCAAGCTCTGCATCTCCATCCTGCACCCCCCCGAAGAGGACCAGTACGGCTACGAGTCCGCCGCCGAGCGCTGGAGCCCCGTCCAGACGCCCGAGACGATCCTCCTCAGCATCATCAGCTTGTTCTATAGCCCCAATGAAGAGAGCCCCGCAAACGTCGAGGCCGCGAGGATGCTGCGTGAGGAGAAGGAGGGGAAGCACAAGGATTACAGGAGACGGTGTCGGAAGAGTGTGAGGGAGAGCCTGGGAGAGGACTAAAAATGAGGCGAGACGGATAGTAACTTGGATGCATTGCTGAGCTGGAACTTGCATTTTTCTTTTCTTTTACAATTACAAGATGGATGGCGTTCTTTGGAGGATGAATGACGGAGGTGTCCTGTTGTTTGCATTGGTTTGGCGTCTCGGAGATGCTGTATTAGTAAAGAGCCTTGACTTATTCACTGCGGACGACCAGTAGCGTAATCAGATAAGCGCTCGTTGAGCCCAAAAAAAAGCAATATCGTTCATCGTATACACCGAGTCGCTATCTAAAAGAAATGATGCGTAGATGCCCCCGGTTCATCTATGCCTGTCTGTCTGTAATCCCCATCACAGGGCCAACGACAGAATCCCATTCCTCATCCCAACGCCGTGAACCTTCCTCAACGGCGCCTCTCTTCAGTCTAGCCAACTCTCCTGCCCCCTCAAAACTCAATAACCTCTTCAGGATCTCAGTTAGCTGCGGCACCGTTTCGAAGCCACAGCCGTTTTGCCCTTCCTTTACGAGCTCTCCGATGCTTTCGAAGCCAGCATATGCAGCCACGGGCAGACCCGCCCCAAACATATCAACCACCTTCATGGGCAGATCCACCCCAGAACTGGATTTGTGGAGGGAAATACCTAGATCAGCCGCGGCGAGCAACGAGGCGTAGTCTCGATTGGAAAGCCAAGCACTGAGAATACGAATGCCGGGGAGTTTGCCGGCATCTTGTAGTTGCTTGATTTTCTCGAGGTAGGCCTCCCTCTGAGGGCCCTTGCCGGTGATGATGGCCAGGATTGGAAGAACGGCTTCCTCGCCTGCTGATGGCGTGGCGTAGGCAACTAAAGCATCGAGCAGCATACCAAAGTCTTCATCTGCTGTCCAAGAAGTGCTGCTCACTACTAGGCGGAGGGTACCTGGACGAAGGGCACCACCGACGATATCCTTGGCACAGTTTCGTGTTTCCGCCAAGCGAGAGAGGAACTCGAGTCGATCCTTTGAAGTGCTCATGGGCTGAAATATCTCAGCTGGCCTATCGTGAAGCGTATAGACGGGGTTCTTGAGATTAAAGCGGCCTCCGGGTTGAAGCTGCTTCGCCATGGCATCTGTGACTGCGAGGTTTGCATTTCCCAAGTATCGGCCTAGCTGAATCTCGTAATACTTGTAGATGGGCACAAGAGGTCGGAGCAGAGACTTTTGCGCCAGAATGGTATGGCCATAGTTGTGCCAGTCGACAATGACTTTGCTGCCGCGAATCCATGAGACGAAAAGAGCCACGTGAAACGTGGGAATGGAAGGCGGATTCTATGAACTGCGTTAGAACCAAAGATGACTGCACTGGAGTTTCTCAGAAGGATATCTGTCTTCACCTGAATAATGATCCACTGAGCTGGCGGAGTAGTATACATGAGCGTCCTAAACAGGGTCCAGAACTGCTGGATGACCTTGGCGGGGATGTTGAGAAAAAAGGGCAGCGTCCCCCAGGCGATCCATTCTGGCTGAGGAGCGAGAGGATAGACCGTCACGTTTGCCTTGCCAATGAGATCAGGATGTCTAGCCGTCTCTATCAAGCCTAGAGTAAGCAGATGAATCTTGACGAAGTGAGAATGAGAGTCTCTCGGCCACGCACCTTTATAGCCCACAATGTCGACCTGCCTTCCGTGCTTGGCAACGCTCAGAGCATGGTACTGCATCCGCGGGCTTCTTCCAATGTCGCCTACAACGAGGATCTGAATATGCTCATCTTCTGGCCTCTCGGCGGGATGGTAGCGGGTGGGGATGGCATGGAGAGACTTCTTGCCGAGCCAGACGGCGAAAGAGAAGACGTAGCCGAGAGCAATGACGGACAAGCCGCCGACGATGGCGGATATGACGAAATTGGCGTAATAATGCATTTTGGGCAGATTAAATCATCTAGCTGCAGGGCCCTTTTCTAGGTTCGGCGCAGAGGTTCGTGAAGGGCAGTGATTGAATGACAGCTGGCCAGATTAGACCGGATACTTGGAAGGATGGTCCAGCAAGCTGTTGATGCTCCCGCTAGCAAGACAGCCCAACGCAAAGAGCGAATTTATGGATGTTCATGCAACGCCATGTGCAAATCAAGCGCAGAATGAAATCTCCTGTCAGTGTTTTTGCTCGTTGACCGTCAGATGAGCTTCTAGATGGCACCGCCAAGCTCAATCATTTAGAAGCTTCTAGGTAGCTGTGGCGCAGGGCGCATTGTGGCTGGGGAGGCTGCCGGCACCGCACCCGCGTTAACAGGGCTCTTAGTCGCATTCCGTGATGGGCGCCACATGCAATGGAGATCGTGGGGACGGCCACAGGGCCAATCAGTGCGGCCATGATGCAAGACATTACAGGCGCTGTGCTCGGAAAACTCGCAGTGAGATCTTAGTTGGATTCCTGTGTCTCTTGGTACCTGAGCGGATGAGCCGAGCCTGACCAGGGATGGAAAGCTTATTGAGAGGCGGCTTCATGCAGATGTGCTGAGTTGGGCATCTGTGTAGATCAAGCATTGCACTAATGGCATTGATTGGATGACAATGGCAGTCTAGGGATTTTGATGGCTCATCTTGGAATCTGCGCTCTCGTCACCGGCACACTCTTGAGAGGTATGGTCTTTTCCAAGAAGCATTAGGCCGAGATTCTGGGAGCTATCTAGACCTTCCTTTTTTGAGATTGACCGCCTTCAAAGCGCTGTAGCGATACTAACCATCTATTTGAATTGTTTCAACGATGACGCCGTTTACTCTCTCCATCTGGGCAAGTATCTAAAACAAAAGAGGACCCTATTGCGTCACCGTGCTTGGACCCGAGGCAGCGCCTGGCGTCTCATCTAATCTCATCTCATCCCATCTCTCCAAGCACCTCTTATGTACCTCCGTCCATCAGACCCCCAGCGTGCCATCGCATCCTCCCAGCACCGCATCGGCCAAACGAATCCCGCGGGTATCGCGCCCTCCAGGCGTTGATGCGCCGGTACCTGCCGCTAAGCCCGCGCTGATAGCCATCGCCGCAGCTGCTAGCCCCAAAGTGCTGCATCACGACCGCCCCAAGCGCCTCCACGTGCCCCGCAACCCCCCCAAGAGGTTGGTCACTCAGGCCTGAGTTGGTGCTGGCACAGCGCACTAGCAGCGCACTGGGTGCCACCTTGGCCGCCGATGCTTTTTTTTTTTTTGCTGTCTGTGTGCCTGTTCCCCTATTTGGATGGACCGACGGCCAGTCTGTCGCCTTTGACGACGGCTCAAGCTGGGGTCGGAGCCTATCTTGCGACCTCCACTCGACTGCCGGTGCTCTCGAGACCGCCTCTTTTCCCTCAATTGCATTCATCTGGCCCGCACACGGCTTGATGCGGCTGCCAGTGCCATTGTGAGAGGCGGCGTATCTCTTGTAGGGAAAAGGAAGCAACGCGTCTTATCGCTTGGGTGGCCCGAAGCGCGAGTTCAAGATTCGGAACCAGCCCCGGATCGCACCCCGGCCACGACGACGATACACAGGGCGACGGGCTCTTTTGCGACGTTGTAACGATCGATCGCTCTCGCTATAGCCATGGACACGTCGTATTCGCTGCCGTCGTCGGCCCTGCCGCATGCACACCGGGCTCATACTCGCTCCCAGCCGCCGTCGCTGAACAACACCTGGCGGATGACTGTATCGAGCGACAGTCTGCCCTCGCAGCTTGAAGACGACGAGGATGGAGATCACCATCACGACCACGACCACGATCATGGCCGCTCGCACTCCCACTTGCGCTCAAAGGGATATTCACACTCGCCACCGCCGCTGTCTCCCTCATTCTTGCATGCGCATTCTTACAGTGTTCCAAACCATGGCCGCAGTGGCTCGCAAGCCTCCAACGCAAGCTCTACTATGGCGCAAGAGAAGTCGCTGGTAGGAGGCATGGAGAGTCGGTCTCAGGGGAGGAGAAGCCGCTATACGCCAGAAGGCATTGACGAAACCGCACACAATCATGACCCCAACCACAACCACACCCATAGCCATGACAATGGCCACGACCACGACCACGAACATAACCATAAACACGACAAGCATTTCCACTCGCAACTTCACTCTCATGACCACTCTCATGACCACAGTCACGATCACGACCATCATCATGATCATGATCATAGCCATGGCGTTGGTATCAGCAATGGCCATAACCACGCCTCTGAGCGGTCTCTCTTCACGAGGACTATCCTTCCATACACGGTTGGATGGCCCATTCTATATTCTATACTTGCCGAGAAGGACTCGAGGCGTATTTTCTACTTCATGACGTATGTGCATACTCTCCATCTACTACATATTCATATTGCTGGCAGTAGAGACTAATAAGAAAACCTACAGGCTCAATTTTGGCTTCATGATTATCCAAGCCTTCTATGGCTACGTTACCGATTCGCTAGGTCTCCTTAGTGACAGCATTCACATGTTTTTCGACTGCGTTGCGTTGCTCGTGGGGCTACTGGCAGCTGTCATGAGCAAATGGCCAAAGAGCCAGCGGTTCCCTTATGGCTTCGGAAAAGTCGAAACTCTGAGCGGCTTCGCCAATGGTATCCTCTTAATGTATGTGTTTATCGTATCAGTTGCTATTTGTCGACATTCTCTGACGAATTTATTCCCTCTAGGCTACTTAGTGTTGAAATTGCATTTGAGGCGTTTGAACGACTATGGGAGGGAACGGAAACGAAGCGTCTCGGCGAGCTCTTTGTGGTTAGTAGTCTGGGCCTGGCTGTGAATTTGGTCGGCATGATGGCGTTTGGACATCACCACCACGGCCATGACCACGGTCACTCTCACGGTCATTCTCATGGCCACTCCCATGGCGAAAAGCATGATGACGGCTGCGATTCGCATTCGGGCCATAGTCACGGACACGATCATGGCCATGGCCATGGTCACGACCATGAAAACGAAAATATGCGGGGCATTTACCTGCATGTCCTGGCAGATACGTTGGGTAGCGTCTCGGTTATTGTATCTACAGTCTTGACAAGCTTCTGGGGCTGGTCTGGATGGGATCCGCTGGCTTCTTGCTTTATCGCGACACTCATCTTTCTCTCTGCGCAGCCACTTGTGTTCTCAGCTGCGAAGCGGCTGCTCCTCACTGTCCCTGAGGGAGTCGAGTACAATCTGCGGAATATCCTTGCCGGTATTGGGCAACAACGAGGTGTTGTCGGCTATTCCACGCCGAAATTTTGGATGGACGACCATGGAGGTGAGAAGCTGTTGGGTATTGTTCATGTCACAGTGGCTCGTGGCGCCGCTCTAGAGGACACCAAAGACCGTGTTCGAGAGTATCTGCTCAAAGAGGGCATTGACGCCGTCATACAGGTGGAAAGAGATGGGGATAATGGGTGCTGGTGCACTCGAGGGCGAGCTTTGGCCAATCCGCCGCAAATGTCGAAGCAGTTCTAGGGGAAGCATTTGCTGCCTTGCGCATAGGTTGCCAACTGGCTTCTAGGCCCCGACACGTCGGAGATTTTGCCGGTGGCATATAGGAAGAATTACTAGCCATTCAAGACACATGGTGCGGATATCTCTTTAGTGCCACGGCATTTGTTGGCATGCGAATCATTTGCTAGATTGCAGCTGCGGCAGTGTAAGTGGATGTCGAGCGTCTTTATACACATGGAATGAGGCGGAATGATTGGCGTAAGGGTGCGAGTTCTGGATTTTGCCTGGCGTTTTAGGATATGTTTCTGTCTATAATTAGGTGGCGGTAGCATAAGCTAGAAATATCTAGATGCTGGCGGGATTTTGACATGTAATATCAGTGGTTGGGATCATTTCTCAGATTGTGTCTATCCACCATGTTGCTTTTGAGCCGATCTGTACATGTAGGCTTATTTCGCTGCAACATCAAGCATACACCGATCGGCGCCGAGACCGGACATGTGCATATGAGCTTTCCACTCAATGCTACCTTTCGCGATTATATACTCCGTGGTGCATCTGTCTATAATTGCATTATATTCAGGGTCTGAGCATAACGTGTGACGCATGGCGCCATTTGCTGTAGCGCTGGTTGAATTGTATACTAATTGATTAAATCCATCAAAGAGCTAGTCGGATATATTCGGTCAATCTGACATGCAAACCAACACTTTCCATCGTATAACATCTGTCATGATTATTTGGATAGATACTACGTATCCATCCTCGTTGCGTGTCTACCAATTCGGGACGGCCCTTTTTAAAATGCGGGCTGCTTATTTGATGCTGTAATCAGCATTGACGTTGGGCATCCATCTACACCTCCTATTAAACTCCGGATATTCCAGAAATTCTCACTCCCTTCACACATCAGTACTGCAAAGCTGTAGATGAATCCTTTGCTCGAGAATTTTCACGGATATTGGATATTCCACACAAATGAGTAATGACATGACTGCCCCCCTTTGTAAGCAGCGTCCAACTAACATTAGTCAGATCATGATAAGGTATGGCGACTGTCTAAACTCCATGACAGTGTGCATCACCAGAGGCTAAAGCAAAGCCGTGAATCATAGACACATTGCCAGCTATGCGGCGTCATCTTCAATATCAATCGGATAAGGACCCGCGATGAGCCGCGGAGCTCTGCCTGGGGCAATACTTTTACTAGCAGGCACAAAGGCTGGGACTGGGTCGCTGTATCTGCCTTTGACCAGGAGGACTGTCCTGACGGGGGCTGTTGTTCTGTTTACCGCGGAAGGCCGGGCTGGGAACGGAGGATTCACCCGCGCTTATATGAAGATGACGCGGGTGATGCTACATATGCATATGAGAGTGGCGACGACGACGAGCCCTTGGAGTATGACTCAGATGCAGAAGATGAAGATGATGGCAAGGCCGAAGAGATGACCAAAGAGGAGGTTGAGGCAAGCTCTTCTCAGGATCAAGAGTCCGATACGGAGGATGGCAAGTTGATTTTCGACACCAAAGGACTCGATGTGCAAGAATACGACACCCAATTCCTGTCCTTGTCAGCGCCCTACGACGAAGACGGCGCAGTCAAGGACGAGGACATGGAGAGCGACAGACACATCATGGCCCTCCCCGCGGCTCGCAAGTACGAGCACATTGCCGGCCCGGGCTGTCTCAACACCCGGGGCTTCCACGGCGACATGATAAGCGTGGAGGAGATGATGGACTGCCAGACCGTGCAGGGCATCTTTCGGAAGCCCGAAGACTGGACGCCGCGGGACGACGACATGGATTTTGAGAGGACGTCGATGTGCTATGCGCTGACGGGGCTGTCGGACTTCATGCCTGCGTCGGGGGCGGGACTGAGATGTGCGCCACATCGGGGGGAGGCGGATCAATGTGATGCGACGAATGACAGTGATGTTTGGTGCATGGTGAGTGTTTTGGCGATGAGAAGAAAGGTGTTGATGACTCGGGCTAATAGTTGTAAAGTCGTCTCAGTGGACGAGTCGTATACTTCCCTTCCACCCTACGTGCTTTGAGCTCTTCATCCGGATCAGCAAACTGCGTATGGGCCAAGTCCGTCTCGACCCGCTGGTTCGTCTCGAAAGCAATTCTCGGAACGATGTATTTGGCGAGCGACATGCTGACGTTCGGGATGCAAAGAGCGACGGCTGGCATTGGAGCTGCATGCCTGGCTCGGAGTATCTCGTTGCGAATCCCGTATTTGTGCCTGGCTTGAAGGCCATCTTTGAGGCTTCCATGTCGAACGGGGAGGGCTTCAATGTTCGGCATAGTCCGTTTCAGGATGTGTCAGAAAACGGAGATGTCGGTCATGAAGCACAGGATCCGTTTTTGATGTTGCCGGCGGAACTGAGGCAGGCCGTTGTGTGGAATCTTGACTCCAAGGAGATTGCTAGTTTGCGATTGGCATCTCGGGCTTTCTACCATCTCCCTATATCGTTATGGCATCGGCTGATGGTGCGGGAGATGCCGTGGATATACGAAGCTTGGTGCGAGGACCCTACTCCGTACCACTGGGCCATGGCAAACGCATCGGATCTAAAACAAATACGAGAGCAAAGAGAAGCATATACTATCGAACGACGTCGCAGGGGGGAGATTCTTCAGGATCACGACGTTGAGCTTTATGCAGCCTGGGAAGCCAACGAGCCCAAGAGTCCTCCTTGGTTCGACACGCCCGCGTTTCAGGCCCAGCTGCAGCAATCTACGGATATTAAGAGAGCCATGGCGCCCGTTAAGCTCCCTCGAGAGAGGACAAACTGGTACCGTCTTTATACGGATATCAAGGCGAATGAGAGGACGGTCAAGGGGCTGCGCAACAGGAAGAGGATATGGATGAATGTGGAGCATATTGTGGCGGAAGTTGAAAAGGAGTGGGAGAAGGAGGTGCGGGAGAGGCATGGGGCTTTTACGACTTTGATGGGGGAGACGCTTGAGTCTTTGCATCTTTGATGTTGGGCTCTCTTGACTACAGCTTTGAATGTCACTTTGATTAGTTGTTGCATGTGAGTTTATGTACGACGTGGAACTTTTCAATCGATCTTTATGCACAGTCTTCACAATCCGATTAAGAGTATTATTCATGAAATGGGAGTCGAGTGTTATGATAGTACTGCATTCGTTTCTTACTTACTGGAGAGAGCTTCCTTTTTTCCAGACCAATTACTGTTGTTGAAAGCCATTACACAACACACCATCATGAGATTCCCTTACAATCCCTCGTGTTGCTGCCAATTTATTCAACACAGTTCAAATTCTCACGTGTGAGAAATGTAGAAATAGCAAAGTCTCGACTTTTCATACACAATGTGCACGTGTTTCTGATCAAGTCGAATTGACCTCTGGCAAAGTGTTACACAATGCACTGTTGTTACAAGTTACCTTTTGTGATTCCACGCAGCATCAAAGCCCAAGAGCACTTACCAACCAGGCACCGTCCAATGGCCGTTACATGAAAGTGCTTAGGGGCATGGCATAACCAGCAGCGGAGCACAGGCTGATTGGCAGGCCGCATAGAGGGCAACACCAGCAGGCCCTGCCGCGAGAGTAGTCGAGCAAGCTGCTTGACAAGCAGCATAAGCCAATGGGCCGGCCATGGCGGTGCCAGGAAGAACAATGGCGGCAAGAGTGATGTTGGTCAACTTCATGTTGAGTGACAAAAGGGTTGTTGGTTGGTGAAAGGTTAGTTGTGATTTGTTGTCAAAGATGTTTTTTTTGTTGTCACAAATGCTTTGTTCTGTCAAGTTTGGGAGTGTCTACTGGATGAAAAGTATGTACTGGCGTTGAGATGAGTGCTCTTTTTATCCATCTCCCTAAGAAAGAAGACAGATCTTGGTCTCATGATGAATCTGGGCGGCCTACAACTGTGGCTGCCTCCAACTCGGGAGGCCTACGACGTGTGACCCACCAAACTGCATGTGAGTGACAGTGACTGGATAGTTGTCCTTTAATTGAATTGATAATTGCGTCAGAATAGCATCATTCACTCGCGAGAGATAATGCAATGAGCCGTTGCAGCAATGAATGATTGGTGCCCGCCTTGTAATTCACTCGCCCTGCTATTCACTCGCCCTGCTTTCCAAGTTGTATGACACCACATGCAGCGTGATGAGTCTCTTATCTATAGATTCTGTTTCGACTTTACTCTCATTTCTAGTAGGTATATATAGAGGGTAATGGATCCTGTTGATGGCCTGCTTTCTTGTTCTTTACATCCCACTTCACTTTGACCAAACACTTACGCCTACGCCAAGACAAATACATTCCAATACATTCCACTTCAAGACCACACCACGTCAAGATGCCCAAGAACGAAATGACCAAAGACGATGCGGCTCGCATCCAGAGCACTCAGGTAAGGCCCAGGAAACAACTTCATGACACGCCCTGCATGAAACTGACAGCATTTGTATACAAGGCTCAAGGAGGCAAAGACATGTCCTCTGGAGGATTCGCCGCTCATGCGCAGTCTGCCGCGGACCGCGCGCAGAATGCCGCCGCTTCGACGGGCTCTGGCAACACCGGTACTGGACAGGGTGCACAGGGCCAGAAGAAATAGACCGCCTTCGTGGATTGGAGACAACAAGACGAGCAGCGAAGCAAGACTTTTTGATCTTGGCCTAGACGCCTATTGAGCTGAAGAAACATGGATTGGCAATTGGGGCAGCACACCTGACTACTTTTGTATTGTAAAAAAAATTAAAAAAAATTCTGCCTCTACAGATTGATCTGCGGAATCTCCCAGTAGTGCTTGCTTCCACGGTGCAACATCATGTTGCTATCCCAAGCGAGCAGCATTGTCCCTTCAGTGACTGTCGTATTAGAGTAGCGCAATCAACTTACAGACTGACTACCAGATATGTTTCTAGTCGCTGTTTAGTCTATTGCCCATTGTTCAAACGATCTTGTTGACTTTGATCAAACCGGTTGACTGTAACCAAACTGTGTGGCCCTGAGCGGCGCAGCAGCTGGCCAACCACCATGGACGCTTTGAGCGAGCATCAAGCTTTTGACTACCTCGACCGCCAGCTTCATGTTCTTCGAAGCGAGACGTGTTTACGGTTACGATGATGAACCATTTAAATTCCGCACGTTGTAGTGGACTATTCACCCTTCATCTTTTTCTGCAACCAACATTCTAGCGCCTTTCCACCACAGCTCTCCCATCCCGCGCATTAGAGAATGTAGTATGGATTGTTCAAATCAGCAACATACGTGTATACTTCCAACCTTGTTCTTGAAGAGATGTGATACAAACTGAATCTCCAAATTAGACTCGAGGCTTGAATCAAAAGAAGCTGATTTCCTGCTGACCAAGACCTGGCATGTGATTGCCATGACGAAACGTGGGGTGAAAAGGGACCCCGGCTTTTTCTGGTCCCTTTTCGGGCTGTTCTACCCCACGGGCAAGTGGCGTTGAATCTGCGAGTGGCGTTTTCGGCAAGCTAGGCTGGACCGAAGACTGCCGGAAGTGCATACGGGGATATGTGAAGGAATAAGAAGAGAAATATTCAATGGAACTGTTGATCTACAAGTGATGCATGTATCCTTTCTTCAATTTATTCTAGTTTTTAACAGACAGGCTATCGCTCGAATTACAAAGACACGTTCCAGCAGCTTGTCCCGCCTTTTCTTGCGCTTTGACCTAGACTTTTACGGAGTCTGGGAGCCAGCCGCAGCCGCAAACCTCGGTTCAAGGCGGGGGGACCCCTCCGACAAAGGAAGTAGAAGGAAGAAAAAGAGCCTTGGCTATAAGCTGTCTTTTGGCCAAATGGTAATATGCGTTAAGAGGGTATTTCGGTTGGTAGGGGGCAATTTGTCTCTACCAAGGACAAAATGTTTTACTTGCCTGTATCGATTTATAGTACAAGAGGTTCGGCGTCTGACATGTGCAAAATCACAAGCTTCTTCAGAAGAGAGAAGAGGAAACGAATCTCCAGTCAGATGCTCAACCCCGTCACGAGCGCGTTTATATACCTCAAAAAAAGGAATAAAGCACAAGTGTAAAACCAAAAATAACATGCTAAATCTCCAGCTATATAACTAAAATTCCGTGCGTGATTGTAGCATCCCGTCGTCCGGATGGCAGATGCTTCCGTTGATCCAGTCATTGGCTCTAGACTGCGTTTGGCAGCATAGCGCCACACTCTGCGCTTGATGTAATGTAGCAGCGCATGTGCCTGTCCCGCATAGGTGCATATCAAGCATTCAGCTCGCTGATCTTCTAAATTTTGATATAATTCTTTTCCACTCCTCCGCAACCTCCTCTCTCCCTAATACAGATCCCTTGTCGTGTTTCTTTTTTTCTTTTTATTTTCCCTCTTCTTCTTTTCCGTCTCCCTCATCTTCCATCTCCTCTACATCCAACCACAGCTCGCAGCCGCCATGTCTTCCTCGCCCTCGTCCCCCGCCGAGGCCGTCTCCCACATCGCCGACAAGATCCCCTCGGCCCAGGAAGCCAAAGAAACCGCCCAGGCCGCTGCCCCCGCGGCGCAGTCGTCGCTGCTCTCGCAGCTGCGCGCCCTCACGGCCGGCGGCTTCGGCGGCATCTGCGCCGTCGTCGTCGGCCACCCGTTCGACCTGGTCAAGGTGCGCCTGCAGACGGCCGAGCGCGGCGTCTACTCCAGCGCCATTGACGTGGTGCGCAAGTCGGTCGCGCGCGATGGCCTCAGACGGGGCCTGTACGCCGGCGTGAGCGCGCCGCTGGTTGGCGTGACGCCCATGTGTATGTCAAAGTGTCTCCCTTTTTCGTGCTGTGTGCTGTGTCTGGTGGTGATTTTGCCGAGCCTCGGCACAAAACCCCCCCACGATCAGTATCAGCCAGGCTTAAAAGAACAAGGCAATTTGCTGACAACAACACCCCAAACTCGCAGTCGCCGTCTCCTTCTGGGGCTACGATCTCGGCAAGCAAATCGTCGGCGCCACGTCGACCATTGGCCCCGACGGCCTCTCGACCGGCCAGCTCGCCGCCGCCGGCTTCCTCTCGGCCATCCCCATGACGGCCATCACGGCCCCCTTTGAGCGCGTCAAGGTCATCCTGCAGGTCCAGGGCCAGAAGCAGCTCGCGCCCGGCGAGAAGCCAAAGTACAGCGGCGGCCTCGACGTCGTGCGCCAGCTCTACCGCGAGGGCGGCCTGCGCTCCGTCTTCCGCGGCAGCGCCGCCACCCTCGCCCGCGACGGGCCCGGCAGCGCCGCCTACTTCGCCGCCTACGAGGTCATCAAGCGCAAGCTGAGCCCGACGGACCCCGAGACCGGCAAGCCCACCGGCCAGCTGAGCCTGACGGCCATTACCTGCGCCGGAGCCGGAGCCGGCGTGGCCATGTGGATTCCCGTCTTCCCCGTCGATACCGTAAAGTCTCGTCTGCAGACCGCCGAGGGCAACGTCACCATTGGAGGCGTCATCCGCGAGCTGTACGGCAAGGGCGGCTACAAGGCCTTCTTCCCTGGCTTTGGACCGGCGCTTACTCGCGCGGTGCCTGCGAATGCTGCTACGTTCTTGGGCGTTGAGTTGGCGCACCAGGCTATGAACAAGATGTTTGGTCCGAAATAGATGAATTCTTTTTTTGTTTAATGAGCTAGCTTTCTTTTTTTTTTACTGGGAGTTTTAATCTTTCCTTTTCTTATTCATGGAACTCATGGCAAATCATTGTTTTTTTTTCTACCTTATAAAGGGAATTTTGGACTGGGCAAAGATAAAAGTAACGGCAAGGTGGAAAGAGAGAGAGGATATATATGTATGCACTCATGACTGTTCACCGGATTTATTTTCCCTCTTTTTTTGTGAGAGGGAGTTGTGGAAAGGGCATTTTAGACGGTTGCTGTTTAGATACTCATCCGTAGACAAGATATCTTGCTGCCTATTTCTAGAGGTGCATATAAGTATAGGCATTAGGAGACATTCAAATCAGCCTTTCACAATCGAGCACAGCCATCTTAAACATATGAACGTGAGAACACCTTGTCAGGTTATCATTCTGTCTGCAAAAAAACTCTTCATATATGTATATAAAGAAAACAAGATTAATACCGCTCCAAATACTTCAAACTCCATAATGTCCAATACAAACGCTTTCCACAAACCATCTTTTGAATAGAGCAGATAAACAAAAACACCCGCTAAGACGTCAGATACAAATTGCAATGGGGAGTCCAGCTGGCCAGGACTTTGCCGCCCTATTTCCCCCTTTGATTTGCTCGCCATTGAGCTGCTGTAACAGATTCCTCTTCTTGATTTCTAGTTTCCCTGTAAACTTGCCCCTTCTCCTCGTTTGCGCCGTACACCTTGTATCCCAAATCAAAGAAGCGATGAGCTCATATCGGAATTTCCTTATACCAAAACCATTTTGTATAGGAGCACTTTTTATCAAGCTCTCTCGTTAACAGTCCACCTCCTCTTTGTCTGACTCCAATCCGGAGATACGTCCGGTTCAGGCACAGCTAAACTCCACAGGCCTCCCAGTTGCGACAATGGCATCTCTTCTACTGGGCTCCCAAAGGCCTTGGAGGCCAATTCCGTGTTGATTGTGATGGGGGCGGCGAAGACGGGGCCTTTGGACGAGGTTGGGCGCTCTGCTGCTCGGTCAAGAAATGGAAATGGTTCCGACTTTGTTTCTTTTAATACTGGAAACGGTGTCGACTTTGTTTCTTTTGATGTTGGTTTGACATTTTCGTTTGATACGGGGTTGAAACGCTTGTTATCGAAATCGGGAAGCATGCTATCGTAATCATCTACTGCTTCCTCATCGACATCGTCTATGAAACGCAGCGCAGAGCGTGCAGGTGTCCATAGGCCAGAAGAAGAAGATGTGCTTCCGCGCCCTGTAGTCCGCCCTGTAGTCTGTCCACTGCTTTCGTTGCCACCGGAGACGTTCAAAGTCATACCTGCAGGCGGTGCGACTTTAGGGGATCGTCGGCTGGAGCCCGAGTCTCGTCGCGTAAAAGTGCCGACTGAAGCGTTTGCAGAAGTACTTCGGTTGCCATAGACGAGACCGGTAAAGGGGCTCTGGACAGGTCCCTCCGCAGTAGTTGGGCTGGCCAATACTGATCCGCGACCACGGCGGCCGGAGCCACCCCAGGAATTTCTGGGTGACGCTGGTTGTCCAGTAATGGATGCGCCAGAATTCGATCGCAGGTGCTCCGTGCTTGCTGAGAGGCGGATATCGTACAAATCATCGACAGCAGCTAGCGGAGACGCGGCACCGCCCTGGCGATCTGCCGCGGCGGCCAGGGCTTTGGAGTAATCAGCATCTGCTTTTCTAGCAGCTACTGTGATGGAGGCGATTCCGACATCCATAAGAACAGGCTGGTGCGTGACGGCCCCAATCAGAGCATTGCAGCCAGCACCGTGGGACACGATGATGACGACCGTCTCGATTTCCTCGTCCTCGTCCTCCCCGTAGCCGCTATCGTTACAATTGTGGTCGCCATCATTGTTTGCAGACGCGCAGAGCATCTCGTCGGGATAATCCGTCGTCGCATACCAGTTGACCATCTTCCTCAGCCCTGAGCGAAAGCGGTGGTGCATCGACGCCCACTCTTCGCCCAGCTTTCCACCATTGCCAAAATCAAGCGGGGCTCTTATTGAGTCCCACTGGTAGTCAATCACGGCGCACGAATCTCTGGCATGAGCGACGAATCCATCTGGAATCTTTCCGTTGCTCGAAACGGCATGCAATGGTCGAGGGGGTGCGTAGCCTTTCTTCTGCTCCTGCGATGCCGAGGACAGCGCTGCGGCCATGGCAGACTGCGCAAAAACGCCGCTTCCTCTTTCCAACGTAGGTGAAGCGGGCGGCTGTGGAGTAGAGACTGGCGAGCTCCAAAGAGCGCCTTTCGATGCCGGACGACTATTACTAGAGACTGGAGCGCTTGTGTACATGCTGTAATCTTCGCGTCGTAGAAGCTCAGATTTTGCACCGGCCATCATCAGAGCCGCTCCGGGAGGCGGTGTGATGGTCTCAAAGTACTCTGGCGTGAGCCACTCTCCCAGAAACGTATCTAGCCGTAGCAAGGCGGACTTGTTCGGGCTCTGCTGGCCGATTGGCGCCTTTCGCGGAACGATGACATCGGATGGCTGGTATATGGAATCGGGCGCCGTCTGCGCAAGGCCCGAGGTGATGCCTATCGATGTCTGGATGCATCGCAAGAACGGCGAACTGTGGACGACGACCCTGAACCGTCTGCGCTTCCCGCTAAGCCCAGCGCCGTTCTTTGTCACCTCGGCGTCGACCTTGGCCTGCTCCAGAATGCTGCCAATCTGGTTGCCAACCTGCCTGGCCTGCAGAAGGCCGCCGTAGGTCAGGGGAGTATCGTAAGGGGTTGGCGACGTGAGGTGCCATTGCTTGTCGGCGGCATCGAGTCGGTTGCCATGTCTATGGTGCCGACACAGGTTAGTGACGATTGGCCAACTGAATGGTGAAGGGTGCGCCTTTCTGCCCTTTCATACCTTACAATGAAAATGTGTGATGGTAGCCGGCCCATGGTTGGGCTGCAAGACGTGGTAGGTGTGGCTGGTAATATATGTCGATGTCCGTTGAAGTTGCTTTGTAATATCAAGACGGCTGCTGGCAAACCAATATATCTTGACGCAACTATTCAGACGCTACAAGAGGAGAGAAAGCACAGGATGAGAAGCAATAGCAGCCTGGGGATAGCAAACTAGCAATCGATGGTGGTCTGGAGATTTTATAGAGCAAACAGTCCATCTACCAAGCGGGTTCTGACGTGTCTTGCCGGCCTTTCAGAGTCGCAGGGAACCAGAGCCTTCTCCGCATGAGGGGGCGAATCGCACCCCAGCTTGGAGAACAGGGAATGCAGCGGGGTTTGATCAGCTGGACGGACGAGGGATGAGGCGCTGGCAGGGCTGAGAGGCGCGAGGCCGTATGCGAATGCGAACAAACGCTGTTTTGCCCCTGAGATGCTGGAATCGACAGACGGTGGTTCGATAGGAATGGAGGTGAGACCAGATGGCTGAGAGCTGAAGGCGAGCTGAGTTCTGTTGGGTTATGGTGGCCGTAGTGGCTCATGTGTCCACTAAGACCGCTGAGAGCGCCGGTGGATATAGCGTCCGGGTTTTACTTTCACGTGCTGAAAAATGGCGATGGAAAGAAAAATCGCAGACTAGAAGCTGTACGTGGAAGTTGAACGCGACGGAGCAATTACGTCGTCGCTTAACTTGAGCCCTGCTAAGATTAATCTTGGAGCCTGTCGGGTTTGATTGAACAAACTACCGCTTCGGGTGTCTCTAGCATCCGTGTGACGTTCGGAGGGTTTTTTATTCTTGTTTCTCCGTCTTTCAGCTGCAAATGCGTTGAGGTTCCTCCGTCCAACTTTTTTTTTTTTTGACTTTGTCTTTTTTCGTGAGGCTGTTTCGTCATTCTGCACGTGGGGCGCATGAGACCCTGGTTGGTGGTATGCATAGCGTCGCAAGGGAAAAGGGACAAAATAACAGGGAATGCGAGAATTGGAGCGCACAGGCCAAGATTACAGGCGTACAGTTATTGGTTTTATCAGATGGAATTGGTGCGCATTTTATGCAGGTGCACGTTCTTATTTGGGTTGCGGTGCCTGTCCTTCTGTCCACTTCCCATGTCTTTTTCCTCTCGATTTTAGCTTGTGACTGCGCGCATCTTTACTACGCCATATCTAAACCTCGATCAAGGCTGTCAAATTGTAGCATGGGTAGAAAGAAACAGGATACGTAATCATCTTGGCTGCCTTGTCTCCAACCTCTTTATTTCTGTCTACTACCGTAATAGTAGTATCAGTTTCCAACCTTGCATGAAAAAAGTCTCGGAGTCATCATCCGCGGACAAGTCGGTCTTTTCTCTGTGACTCTCGCTCACCGCGGCTACAGACGTAATACGTTACCATGTAAACACTTTAAACTTGTCTGTATTACTCCAAGTCTTACTCCATTTCTCCGCACAAGTCGCCCCAAAAAGGCACCCGACAGTGAGCTCACCTGCGTAGCACTGCTTGATGCTACAGCCTGTCGCGTCCTCAGGCGTACGACACTTGATTACTGCAGTGCTGTAGAGACGAATATGCCACGTACGTTTATGCGCAGCGCCTTTCGCAGTGAAAACACTTACAGCCGACATTCCATTCATTCACAAATTGTTAGGGATCCCAACTACCCATCTCAGACTCCAGCAATCACTCCCAATCTCCAATTTTCTCCAGATTCTCATCTTCAACTGCCTGTCACATGCGTTTAGCGGCCGCTAGCTACGGGTACTTCCTTCGCCCAAGATGCACCCCTCTTGTGCTCCACACGCCCCGCGACAGCTACTAAGAGCTGCTAGAGAGGTACTAGAGCTGGGGCGACCTTTGGAACATTTTAGCAGGTACTCGATACGAGCGTGGCGGTACCTGCTGCTGTCAGTGCCTGAAACGCAAAAGGGGTCTAAATTTGTAAGCCAGCAAGACTCACCACATACTTGGCGCCGGTAGCCAAACAATCTCAACTCTCCACCATCGCGACCTGCAGCGGCATTGCTATGGCACCGAGGCCACAGCTGTCGCCAACATTAACATCGAGCTGATATCTATCAAACCATCTTCAACGTTGCTCCTCCATTGCTTCTGCCGTGTCAACAGGCCGCAATGAAGCTCTCCAGCCTCCCTCTCCGGGCCATCGTGGCCTCGGTGCTTCTTGCGACAGCCGCCGTTGCTGAGCACACGAGCAACTGGGCCGTCCTGGTCTGCACGTCCCGGTTCTGGTTCAACTATCGCCATCTCGCCAATGTCCTGTCCATGTACCGGACCGTCAAGCGCCTGGGCATCCCCGACTCCCAGATCATTCTCATGCTGCCCGACGACATGGCCTGCAATCCGCGAAATGCGTTCCCAGGCACCGTCTACAGCAACTCGGACCGTGCCGTGGACCTGTATGGCGACAACATTGAGGTCGACTATCGCGGATACGAGGTCACTGTTGAAAACTTCATCCGACTCCTGACCGACCGTGTCGGCGACGAGACCCCCCGCAGCAAGCGCCTCTTGACCGACGACCGAAGCAACATCTTTGTGTACATGACCGGACACGGTGGAAACGAGTTTCTCAAGTTCCAAGATGCGGAGGAGATTGGCGCATTTGATCTTGCTGATGCCTTTGAGCAGATGTGGGAGAAGAAGAGGTGCGTATTGCTCTTGAAGCTGATGGGATGAATCTAATCAAATTTCTAAATCTAGATACCATGAAATCCTCTTCATGATCGATACCTGCCAAGCAAACACCATGTACAGCAGACTGTACTCTCCCAACATCATTGCCACGGGATCATCCGAGCTCGACGAGTCTTCATACTCCCATCACGCCGATAACGACGTCGGTGTCGCTGTCATTGACCGATACACCTACTACAACCTGGAATTCCTCGAAGCTCACGTCCAGGACCTGAGCAGCAAGAAGACCATTGGCGAACTGTTTGACAGCTATGAATTTGACAAGATCCACTCAACTGCCGGTGTCCACTACGACCTCTTCCCCGGCGGAGAGCAGGCCGCACGTAGCCGCCTGATTACCGACTTCTTCGGTAACATCCAAAACGTCGAGGTAGATCGGGCCAAGGACCTGGCTCTGGAGGAAGAATTGGTCCAACTCAGCAAGACTATTGCCATGCTGCGGAAAAGGGAAGCCGAAGAGGATGCGGCGTACAACAACGTCTCGTCCATTCCTGCGAGCGTCCCCACCGCGCCGCCGAGGAAGATTCAGGGCGCCAAGGCTCTGACTGAGGATGACTGGTGGACCAAGAAGGTCATCGGAGCTACGGCACTTGCGGGATGTGCACTGTTATGGGGGGTTGGTAGCTTTTTGGAAGCATGAGCTGCAATGGCTCTTTTGTTTACCTTTTTTATCAAGCATTTGATTTTTAGCCTGTTTTATGAGATTTCTCATTTCAAGATGAACGAGATATTGTTGACTATATGTTGACTATGTAACAATGTAATTTTTGGTGCTTATAATGTTGGAGTATCATTACAGAGTTTACGCTTGTGTCGCGCGTTATCCGCCTTGATTCACGCGGAAGACCGATTTTGCCACCTAGCATGAGTAAAAGCGAAGCCTTGTATAATATCTCATAGAGATTTCAGCCAGATCTTTATGTGGGTAGACATGAAGCAGCGTAGAATCCATGAGCATAAGTATTACCTGTGAGCTTTGGCGCTGAAACTCTGTCTTAGTCAGCAGCAAGCTATTCGGTGGTGTAGCTTTCTTCCACACTTCAACTCAAAACCTTGTTCACGCAGTTTTTCACCTCTTCGATCTGTTGCAGGCAAAAAGAGGCATTTCGGCCGGAGAATGCGAAATACACCAATGAATCTGATTGAATATCCACAAAAGCCGATGAAATTGGCCACGCCGAGCCCTCCATAACATGGACCGATTTAGAGTGAGTTGAGCGCAGCTTTTACACCAGCTTTTTGCATCACATCATATCCATGGCAAACACCACCGCAAGGCGTGGCTTTTGTGTTGCTCTCTTTTGTTCTTTAAGAAATGCTTGAACTTTTGTCCATCTATTTGTGCAGGGGGATATAAAAACTTGGGCTTTAAGCCTCTTGTTCGAATTTTGCAGCTCGCTAGTGATGTTGCTGTTGTGCCATGATGGCATCTTTTGCTCATCACCACCAGCATTGGCCCTCCTACTAATCTCGACATTCCATCAACTTAGGCGCGTCCACTTCAGACGCTTTCTCTCACTTCTCGTCCACCTTCGCCACACGCCCTTGCCTGGTCATGCGATGCCGAGCTGGCCATTGCAACGCAAGAGTCCATCTACATCTTCTTGCCCGACTATCTGGGCGGCCACGATGCCGATGCTGATGAGCGAGATGCCTCCCAATATCAGTTTGCACTATCTCTCCAGCCGTCCTCCGTCATCAACCCAAGCACCCGGATCAATGGCCAGCTATGTGCCCAGGCCGGCGTCAAACTACCCGCTCCCAGAACTGGCGAAGAGGGCAGCTTTAGAGGAGTTGGCAACGGGGCAGTTACTGGGTCTGGCGCGGCATTGGGCCAGGTCATTAGAGTGGAATGGTCCCCGAGCGGATTGGGCTGCAACTCGCGACCGGTGTTGATGGCGTTGACGACTACCGGCAATTTGATCACGTTTGGAGAGCAGGCAGATAGCCAGTCCACCGCCACGTCGAGCATGAGGACTCGAACCTTTAAGAACTGGAGGATGCTATGGGGTCTGGGTGCCAAGCTGCCCATACCTGATTCCGAGTCCGGAGATGGCTATCGGGTCATGGATGAGCGCATCACGTCTTTTTCATGGGCTCAAGAGATTGCGCCAGGAAGAGCCTTGTTGGCCTACATGAATGATTCGGGGGAGCTTGTCGTCATGAGTGTTCAGTATCACCTGCGCCGAGACACTTCAAAGCGTGGCTCTGAGAAAGAATGGATCTGGACGTTGATGCAGCACGTTAGAATTGATGGAAGAGGGCCTCATAAAGAAGTGAGTCGACTCCCATCATTTGAAGCTTGAGCTCACCCTTTTTCAGGCTGTAGATGCTCAAGATCCAGATTTTACTCCCCAAGGCAGTGCATTTTCTATGAAATGGAGCCCATGGCTCATTGAGGATGGGTATAGGACGGCAACTATTGCATATATTGCAAAGAATTACGTTGGCTTCCGCAGAATTATATTATATGGCGACTGGGAAAGGGGCGAGCTTCCCGACGTGGTCTCCGAGCGAAGCGATACTACTGGGATATGCTTACCCCTCTCTAGCGACTCTTTAGTCGAGTGGGAGGATGCGGTAAGTGGTGGCTATGGCTTGTATTGCGAAATGAAGACTCGTTCTAACAGAATGGCAGATATGGGCTGAAGGAGACTCTTATACTGCCCGGGGTATTGTCTCGACTCCGTTCACTGTGAAGCCTTTTCAAGTTTTGCTCAATGGTGCTTTGGCAGAGCCCAAGCCTCCGCACACAGTATGGGAATGCGCTTCAGCGTATCCCGAATCAGATGAGCCGTCGACAAATCCCATTACAGGTGAGTCCACATGGCTGCTACATGGACAGCGACCCCTGTTCTTATTGTTGATGCTAGGACTCGTTGTTCACGATCCGGATCCCGAAAACAAGCCCCCAATCCCATACTATTCATTGGTCAGGCTATCTGCCACCTCTACAAATCTCGACTGGTACCAGACAAACCTGCCCGAAGGAAATCTGCCACAGTGGGTAGAAGACATAGGAGATCAACACGCGCGTCTTGTGCCGCGATCTGCCGCGCTCTACGGCGTCGACTCCGACTTTGAGTCAGACTCTGAAAATGGAGACGACCGGACGATGCACGAAGCGCCTCCAGCGCAAGCCGAGCCCGTCTTGCAAGTCCACCCTTACCGCTTCCGCCTCTGGGGCTTGGCCAAGTCCCCTGGCGACGGATGCACTGCCGTGCTCGCCTCAAAGCACGATACCCAGCATCCCGATCGCCGGGGCGTCTCAAACGTGCATTTCGACTGGCAAGTACCTGCCGATGCAGACGACAAGCCTCTACGCGTCAGGAAAATCTCAAAGACTCTCACGACGGAAGGTCGAGTGTGGGAGTGGATGTACGGCATGGGAGAAGACGTCCCCGGCGTGACCCCTGGACAGAAGACATCCACCACCCGGTTGCAAAGCAGCCCCTTGAGACAGCTGTTCAAAGACGTGGTGTTTAGGCTGCCATGTGTATTCTGCAGTACTCAGCTATCGATCAAGGACGACGTAGCTACTTGTGACAATCGACACGCATTCGGTACGAAAAGCAACCTTTGTATCCCCTTTTTTCTCTCAATCGCCGTCTTTTTATTAACGTTCCATTTTATAGCCATATGCGCCACATCCGGCATTCCCATCCTGGCACCAGGCATATCCCGCGTATGCGGCGTCTGCAAAATGCGCTGCCTCAAGGTAGCCGAGCTGGAGAGGCTGGCGGAAGAGTATCTCGGGAGCGTGGATGCGGTGGGCGATTCGCAGGGAGAAGTGTGTGGTGGGTGTGGCGGCAAGTTTGTCATCTGAGCTTTGATACATTTGGAGTTGTTCTTGCAAAAATGAAAGAGTATGTAGGGTATTCATTAATAGGAGTAAAAGTGTCAGAGGTAATGGTTGTGAAGAAGCATACGCTCGATAAACTTGGATTTTCTGCTCAACTCGACTTCACAACATCACTCTAGACAGAACTTCTTATAAACAGATATGAAAGAAATAGAATTGATGCGCTCTGTATGCTCCCAATATGCGCCAAAGCGTAATATATGAGCCCCCTCTTAGATCCCTTGTTTTCTTTTCCATCCTCATTGCATGCTTTTCATATGGTACACTGAATTTCATCATCAAAAACTCTCCCATAAAACAAGTTGCCCAATCTCACACCTTCCCATCTCTATCTCATCCGACTAGTCATCGAGATAGTCATTAAATAAAATAGGTCGGACTCTGCATGCCCCCGTGGTTGCCGCAAACAAGTTGCCCATTCACCGGCCTGACTGCGAATAGATTCGAAACTGTCACGACATATGTTTTTTTTTAGCCAGTGATTTCCCCACCCCTTGTTAAAAAAACTCAAGAAAACAAAAGAAGCAATCATACCGCTAGGCCCCATCTCCAAAGAAGTGTACCGAGGAAATCTCGCTTCATCCAGGCAATTGCACTTGAGGAGTACATTTCCAGTCTCGTGGATGATATCCAGCGTGCATGGCCGGCAAGTAGCATCAAACGCACCACTTTTGATTCAGCTGTCAGTAAAACCCCCCCCTATACTTTCCTATCTTTCTTTCACTCACCGTGCCTCATACACCAGATGCCCCCCAACATTGCCAATGCACGAGTTCAAGTCCAGGCTCGTGTCCCACCACATGCCCGCATCGTCAACGCATCGCGCCTCCAGCGTCGTCATGCCAATCTTGCCGTGGCCGCCGAGCGTGACCTGCACGCACGTGCCTCCAAAGGCAGCATTGCTGTCGGGGCTCTTGTAGGCAGTTCCGGTAGTAACTGCGGCCTGCTGCTGCGTCTTGTTCTGCGCGACTTGGTTGAAGCCCGGCAGAGGCACGACGATGGCGGTTGGGATCGCCGTTGGGGCGGTGCTTGTCGGAAGAGCAGTCGCTTGCTCGATTTCTTGCAGGTGTCCTCCTGGGACGGTGGGTTGGCCGCGGTAAGGAGCGGCGAGGCTGGGCGCGGCGAGAACCAGGACGGTGAGCAATGGCCGCATGGTGGACTGTCGCGCTTGATTGGCGATGCCGTTCTTGGGATAGGATGTATGTTTACCCCTGATGAGAAGGCAACTTCTAGTACTTTTTTTTACTACAGCATGAAGAAGAAGAAGAAAAAGCGAGAGGAGAAGAAGATTATGAAAGAAAGAAAAAAAAAATGTGCAAGTCCAAAGCGGGGGGGACAAACGATTCGAGACAAAGTTAAACGATCTGACTGGCAGCTGTCCGACAGAGGTAGGAGAAAAAAAAGGCAGATGGCAATATTCTAGTTGCCCTTCTGCCCAACTTTTGCGATATAGATGCGTCCTGTTGGGCTCCTATTCACTCAAGACACAACAATAGGTTGACCGTTGGTGATGATAAACTGGCTGGCTTCTTCTTTTTTTTTTCCCCTTGTTTTCTTCTTCCCTAAATAATGAGGCATGCAGCTACATATGAAACCAGTCGTTGGTCACAAGGACATTGGACCAACATTAATCTGATCGATTAAACAGGTGGTAAAAGGACGGAAGTGAAAAGGGGGGACACGTGCCTTTAACAGTTTGAAGCCCTTCTGCCTGCTCCTCTCTCTCTCTCTCTCTCTATATATATATATATATATATATATTACCTACTCAGGCAGTCAATGTCGCTAATGAGGCCAATATATATACCCAAGGGGTCCTTTTTCTATAAAAGAAGCGAATCCCATTCAGTGGAAGTATAAAGGCGGGACGCAAATAATCTGAACTGCACCTTCCCATACACCAACGCTTCACGGAGCTCCCTTATTTCGGACCAGTAACAATAACGCTGTTATACCAACATGACTGCATTCATCACTGTTGGTAGCAGCGTTTATATTCCATGCTGCCGTCCACAATGCGTGCGGGATATGATCACTCAGTCCTCTTATATGTGTAACGTCGCTGACTTGTACTTGATCTAGCTAGAGCCTACTACGTTCCGCTCACATCACAACTACACATCATGCAGCAAGCAAGCAGTGTGAATCTTGAATCTTATCTTCATATCCGTGACTATATATATTTATATACCTGGCCAACACATAATCGTTCCATAAACATCTCATTCTCCTAACGGGACATGCACAATCTTCCTGTCGTCGTAACCCTGAATCATGCGGCTGCCGTCCAACGCTTTCTTCGTTGCCCAACCAGCTTCACATTCCTTCAGTTGCAGTTCCATCACATACCGTGGGACAACAAGATAAAAAAAAAGGGGGTAGAAGAAAAAGTAAAGTACAAATCAAGCATTGGCCCAGTCCCGCCAGATCTTGCCTGGAACACAGTTCATCAATGATCCATTCAAGCCTTGACTGGATGGTGGCTTATCACCTGTCGCAGCACAAAGTCAAAGTACAACCAGGTATAGCAAGGCCAACGCCTTTTCGTATGTGAAAGATATATACACAAGTTAAATGTAGGATGCTGACATCAGCTTTATGTAGAAAAAAAAAGGAAAATGCTCGACATGGCGGCAAGAAGAAGTGAAGAAGAGTAAACTTAAAGAAAAAGACAAAAAATAAACAAGGCAAGAGAGGAGGCGATCAAAGATTCACATCCTCAGTTGTCAGATACGGCTTCAAGCTTACGCCAAGAGCCTTATCCTGTGCATAGATACCTCTCAAAAACGCCCAGTCCCCTTTCTAGTACCCAGATGTGGCTTTAATTTGCGCAGGGCCAATATGCTTTGCCGAAAAAGAGATTCCGACTCAGCATCAGTGGCTACATTAATAGGCTTGGCCGGGAACCGGCTTCCTCTCAATGGGGCTGGCTGCTGGTCCCGCCGGTGGGCCTGTGGGTGATGTTGGGTTTGAATTTGGGTTCAATGGGCTAGACCCAGTAGGGCTGCTCTGTTGTTGTTGGTTCATCACACTGGGGCTCTGGGGTCGGCTGGTGGGAGGTCCCTGGTGCTTGGGTCCGGGACTCATTGGACGACCCATCGGAGACTGAGGTCGACCTGCGCCATTGCGATTCATCATCGGACCGGCGGGTGAGGCAGGACGTGATCCAGGACCAGCTACCATTCTTGGGGCACCGTTAGGAGGGAACTTGCCTTGCGGTGTCATGGGGCGCTGGCTTTGAGGAGTCATTGGTCGCTGGCCGGTGGGAGAGTTGGCTCCTCTGGGGGGGCCTGCCGGGTGTCCAGGAGGAGGTCCCTGGGGAGGTCGAGGCTTGACTGGTCGCGTAGACAAGCATGTGCGGGGAGCAACACCCTGTTGAGACCTATCCATACGGATGACAAGCGCCTAGATTCACACTCAAGTTAGCAGATGTCACTAGAATATAGCGGAAGATTTCAATTCTCATTGGGATTTAAGTACTTACCCATCCATCGTCATACTCGTGAAGCAGTCGTATTAAATCACCGGCCTTGAGTTCCACCTCATCATCAAGAGTGGGCTTGAAGTCAAGCTGGACGCGGTGAACGGTAGAGTTGGCAGGGCCGCCTGCAGCAGCGATAGCCGCAGCGCTCTGAGATGCCTGGGGTACAGGTGCAGGGCCAGTGGCGGGTGTTGACACGCTGAACTCGGTGCCAGCAGGGCTTGGAGGGACGGTGTCAAGCGTATTGACAGTCAGATCAACGTTGTTGGGGTTGCGGTTTCGCATCGATTGCTTGCGGGCCAGCGTTGAGGCTCCAGCAACAGCACCAGCAGCCCCGGCAGCAATGGCAGAAGCGGCAACAGCAGTAGCAGCAACAGCCTCTCCGGCATGTGGAATCTCGGGGATCGACGCACTGTCGCTCACAGACATCTCAGAGGGCGTGTAAGAGGCATGAGCGCTTGCATCCTCGTGAATAGGGGAGGGAACACGCTCGGCTTGTTGACCAAAGGGGTTAGCAGGGTGATCGCTCTGGCTGGTGTTGGGGCGATCTGCGGCATCACCAGTAACGGCGACACCAACAGCACCACCGGCAGCAGCCGCAGCAGCTTGCTTCTCAAGACTCCAGTTGGGCAGGAATTGGGTCACGGGTCTGAGGCTAATGCGCGGCGCATTCGGGTTTGAGCGGACAGGCATGTCATCAATAGGTTCCGGGGACATGGCTGGAGACAGTGGTGGTGACACTGGTGGCGAGATTGCAATGACTGGTGTTATGGCCCGCGGCTGGACCGGTGGTGGAGGGGCTGGTTGAACCTTTTCGTTGTCATCCATAAGCTGCTCGGCCTGAGCTTGCTTTCTGCGGCGGCTGACGAGGAAGAAGACGAGCAATCCAATGACGAAGACGCCACCGAGCACTCCAATGGCGATTCCAGCCTTGGCTCCTGCGCTCGTGCCAGAGCTGGCCGCACTGACGCTGCTAGGGGTTGACGATGCTGATGCCGCATCAATGGTGGGAGAGGCAGCGCCCGAGTGAGCTCGATTGCCGTCAACAGCCTGCGTTGGTGAGCCGGTAGCCTTGGCAAGAACCGTCTGAGACTCGGATTGAGTTTGCTGAGGAGAGTGAATGGCAGTCGGCTCGGCGGAACTCGTCTTTTGCGCCGGGGGCGTCTTTTGCTGCTGACTAGGAGTGTTCTTTGGCGTCTCCTTTGGCGTCTCCTTTGCCGGGGTCGGGGTGTCCTTTGGCGTCTCCTTGGATTGCGCATCAGGCTTCGGGCTGGGCTTTGAAGCCTCTGTCGGAAGGCTTTGGCCTTGATGCATAGTCACGTAGCCGCCAATAGGACCAGAAAAGGTTGCTGACATGGTCTTGTAGACAACTTGAACTACAGTGGCTTGATCTGGAAGAGAGTTAGCATGTGAAGGCATGTCTACAGATGACCCGGTTGCCGTCCAGGCCGATGCAGCAAATACCTTTGCTATCTGAGTTCTTGTCCCCATTTTCATGCTCCTTCTTTCCATCACCATTATCATCATCGTTATCACCATCATCAAAGGGGTTTTTTCCATGGACAATGTCGTCAATGTCGTCGAGAATATCCCGACGACGGTGCTGGTGAAGGTGCCTATGTGAGATGGGCATCTTGTCGAAAGTGTGAAGTTACACACAGCCGAAGTAAATTCCAAAGTATCGAGGTGAGAATAAAGAGAAAAGGGTTGACGTTACAGAGCAACGGAAGCTGTGATGCGTTGTCCGAGCCTCGGGATATATTGGCAGCTGAGTTCCACAGTCAAAGAGGCTGGGGATAGTCTCCGGCTGGAATGCAGATTATAGTAATGGAGGGAGAAAGAATGAGACGACTATTGAGTCTGGCAGCGTTTTTGTCGACGGCGGGGAGTGACAAATGTCTCAAATTTCGTCCTTTCTTTGTGCTAGGACGCGCAAATGACGACCGCGCAGCTGGATTCGAGAGCTGTCAAGGCAGGCTAGACAATACCAGATCGTGGCACTTTAAAATGTTCCAGATGGATGGCGATGCAAACAGCAAAGTGCGTTTAAAAAAAACACGTGAGGGAGCGAATAATGCACTCGAACAATGCGCGCAATGTCGGAAGGGATAGTCGGGGGTGACTCGATTTCAAAAGAATGAATGAGTGCGCAAAGCGAGCGAGCAAATCAACGAATGAATGAATGGACGGACCGAAGCGCAGCGGCTGGACTGGCGCAGATGTCCCGACTCCAACGATCGCGAGGCGACGATGTTGTCGTTTTAGCAGTGAGGCAGCGCACGATGGACGGCGGTGGTGAGGAAGAGAGAGGAAGGGAAGAGGCGAAAAGAGGCGAGCGAGCGAGGATGCCGGGGAACGCGGTCCTAGTCCAGAGTCGAGAGCTGGGGCTGGGCGAGCTAGCCGTAGGGACCTGCAGGTGCCTGCAACTGCAAGACAGGGCTAGGCTCTCGCTGTGTGTCTCTGTCTGGCCAAGCGCCCAACAGCCTGGACGCAGCGCTGCAGCTAGCTGGAGGCACTGCAATGTTAGGCGGTGGAGTGCCCGTCATGTCATCAATTAGGCGGAGGCGAACACCTGTTCGTGTACGGATACAGTATCTACTACTATGGCAGCTGTGATGAAAAAGATGCTATTCCCAAGCTGATGCATCGCCACTGCTAGCCAGGCCGGCTACTGGCTGCGAGAACCAGAGCTCGAGCTCCCACTGGCCGAGCCCGCAGCCCAAGCAGCGCAATTGGCGCTTGTGCAGCCCAATCCCCTGCCGCAAGCACGCAAACTGCACCAAACCGCACCCAAAAGTGCTGCCCGTAATATGAGGATCAGCGCCGCTGTTGACCAAACAAGCCACCAGCGCCAGACCCCAGTCCAGTCCAGTCCAGCGAGTCCAACCGACTACAAGTAGAAAGCACCAAAAAGGCTGCTCCAGGGATCCGCAGCCAGGAACAGAGAGGGGCTGCAGTCCACGGCGTCAGGGACAGCGGCGCTGCAATTGGCTGCTGGGGCCTGGCGGGAGGGAAGCGCTACGCTAATCCAGGAACCGTCTCCAGCGACGGCCACAAGAGGATGCGGTCATTGGCCCGTGCGAGGCGCTGCTGCGAGCTCTTTTTTAGCTTCGTCACCTTTTGGATGGACCCTTGTCAGATAAAGTACCTGCTGTACTGCACTTGTACTGTAGCTGCGAGTGAAATCAAAACAAGGGCAGCAAGCTAAAAGGCCAATTGCTGTTCAGAGCAAGGTGGCTCTTGTTTCCTTTTAGGGATAAGGCGCTACCAGCTACTATCGATACGACGGCTTGTCGTCCCTGGCTAATTTCCTTGCAACATCGCGCCCACATCCACCACGGGACCATCGGATCAGCATCGTGGAATCGCGGAATGGCCAGCGTCGTCAGCGCTTACTGTATCACATTTCCATACGACCAATCGCGTATACCAGTTGACTGAGCATACCATACAATCAGCACCGAACAACGGGCATGTTCTTTTAATACACTGTAGCAACACGTTGTCGTACAGAGTCGCAGAGCTCCCATCATCCTCGGATCCGCCTGACAGCTAGTGACTCCAACCAATATAGCCGTATACACAAAGACACGCACTAAGCCGATGATGCCACACCAATACGAAGTCTGGAAATCCCCGTCGCCGCCTTTATCCGGCAAGAACAGGTAAAATATACGGCCCCCAAACACGCACACGGCTCAACCCAGCTTTGGTCCGACTCCCCCGAGACATTGTAAAACTTTTGTTTTATTTCGAGTCATCCCTACAGTGACTTCATTTGCGCCAACAAGACTGGCTTCAATCGCAACCATGACCGCTTCTTGTACAAGTATATAGACGCGCTATCCATCGCAATCCCGGCAAAAGGGCTAGCCAGGGGTCATGAAACAACCCCCTTGGGTCTTGGCAATGCAAACTGGTGATACTTGTAATCCACCTCTTTTTCTCAGCGTCATTGTGCAGGGCCCCTCGCTGACCCTGGCTAACAAGCAGCGTCGCATTCACAGCCAGTTTTTAAAAATAAAACATTAAGAAAAAAAGGCTCCTTCCGGGCCGTCTTCTCAAAAAAGAGGAAAATCTCCGTGATGAGAGAAGAAGCTTTTGGAAGGTTGGGCTGAATTCCACGCGATGCCCAAAGTGGGCTTTTTTCCTCTTTTCTGCAGCGGCTAGAAATCTAGTGCTACAACCGATAAGATGCTCCTTTCTGTGTACTGTACTGTAGCAATGACAGCATCCATGAACCTCCCATCAATCTCGGTCATCAAGGGTTTTGTTTCTGCACTCTTGTCCAGCGGGGCAGATCGAACGACCATAGATGGACCGTGCAATCCCAAGAATCCCAAGTCGTCCCAAAGTCCACCGTGCTCAAATCGCGGAGGCCCCCGAAAGCTTACGCCAGTTGGTCTGTTGTTTGTGCGACAAGGTGCTAGCAGGGTTCCCATCAGCTGTGACGGTCTTCTTCATTTCAATTTCTGTGAAGAAACAAGACAGTTCCTTGTGCCATCTCCGGTTAAGGATCAAAGACCCCGAGAGCAAGGGAAATTTGTAAACGTTTAGCTGTGTCTCGGAGCATGGAGAATCAGCTGTTGTGCTCCTCGCCCACATGTACCCGTATCTAACTCAGTCATGGCGCGGTGGCCTCGTCTTGCCCACGAATAGGACATCCATCCACTTGATGTAATAATAATTCGTTGTGGTAAAAGCCCGTTAAAATTACCATAAAGAAAAGAAAAAAAAAAAAAAGATTTGAGTCCGTCAAAAACGCCATAACACAAGTGGGGAGCTTGCCTCATGCCCAGCCTCGGACCATTTATCAACCACCTCAGCTACTCCATACAAGTAGTAGAGAAAAGGAGGGTCTTTATTCCTCAAAAATGGTGGCAGATAGGTCCCGAAAGGGGGCTTCGTTGTTATACTCGCAAATGGCTTAAACCATCACCACAGTAATTGTGATATAGGCACGCTTTGAAATGTCGTAAATTGTCATATCCTTTTCTCTCTCTTTCTGATCGCTATCACTTTCTAGTCCATCTATAGATATCTTGGTGCGTATAATGTACATACATGTATAAAAAACACGCCCTGAACGAAGTCACGTTCTCCCATCCCATATATCTAGTTCAAAAAAAAAAAAAAAAGACATCTAGACAAAAGAAAACGCTCTGGGTATTGGAGAAAAACAGAGCCGCAAATAATACAAGCACCATCTCTCATATTCGTAAACCATTTCTTTTTTTTTTTTTCTTGTTGCTTCCTCGCTCCATTGGTCACAAAAATCACATAGAGTCTTCCATCTGTCGACTCCTCGTCTTCGTCCAGCTATCTTTATCCTCTTTGCCGCCCTTGTTCTCCAACCCAAGCCCTCTCTCAACCCACTCTTTGCTCTCCATGTGACTCAGACGACTCAGCGCTCTGGCAAACGCAAAAGCCTCCTCCTCACCAGCAAAGAGATTCGAGTTTTTCAGCTTGTTGACATTCTCTGACAAATTCTCCATCACGCTCTGCGTAGCGTCCTTGGAGGGCTTTGCCGCAGACGGGTTCGCCTGGAGCAGCGTCTCCGCAACCTCGTCGCGCGAGACAAAGAGTTCTCCAAGAGGCTTCTCCGTCGTGAGGACAAGCTTGGCATTGCCCTCGTACACGGCATCGATAAAGGTGATGAAGCGACGGGCGAGATCTCTTTCGCGAATCGTCATGCCAGGCACCTCCGTCACGATGAAGGCGTCATATTTGCGCACCAGCTCGAGGTAGTCGGCCGCCGACTTGGGCTTCTTGATGAGCTCGTCAAACGTGAACCACGCGCACCGCCCGCTGACGCGCGGCACGAAAATGTCTCGCCCCCAGACCTTTTGCGTCTCGGATCGCGGCGCAAAGTTCTCCGAGTCGCCCAGGAAGCGGAACCATTTCTCGGCGTGCGACTCTGCGTGCTGGTCTAGTGCGGTGTGGTAGACGTCCGAGGGCGGCCGAGGAATCTTGCGATAGTCTGTGGGTGAGTCGAGGTTGATGACGTGGAGGCGGTTCTTGAGGAGCTTGATTGCTGGGATGAAGGACTCTCGCTGGATTCCGTTTTTATATAGGTCGTCTGGGTGACGGTTCGACGTTGTCACCAGGACCACGCCATGAGACATGAGGCATTCTAGCAGCCTTATTGCCCAGTTAGCCTTTGATGTTGCAAGTTTGTAATCACTGGTGGCTGAAAAGCAACACTTACCTCCGCAGAATCATGGCGTCCGCCACGTCCGTACACTGAAACTCGTCAAAACAAAGCACATTGCCCTGCTCTGCAATATCCGCCGCAACAAACGGCACGGCATCGACATGGCTTCCATGCTGAATCTTCATCTTGTGCAGCCTCTTGTGCACGTCCTGCATGAAGTTGTGAAAGTGTATCCTCGTCTTGGTCTTCACCGAGGGCGGGAGGGTGTCGTAAAAGAGGTCCATGAGCATTGTCTTGCCGCTGCCCACATCGCCAAACAGGTACAGTCCTCGGGGTAGATTCTCGGGAATGTCCTTGATCGTTGCCTTTGCGCCGCTTCCGTTACCAAAGAGCGATGAGAAGACGGATTTCTTGGCCGGTTTGAGGAGATCGGGGCTCGGATGGACGACAGGCGGCGCGTGATAGTTGCGGAGCTCATTGTGAAGGTGCTGCAAGTTCTCGATGATGCCTATGCGTGCGTCAGTCAGTCAACCGCTGTCACCACATACTTGTCTTCACATTGCACTCACCTCTTTGATGCTCGTCGTTGCGCAAGATACCAGCATCCACCCGTCGGTCATACTCCTCCAACGGCCCCAAGCCGCCTATCGCACGGTCCGAAACGGTCGCCAACGCCCTCGTCGCCGACGGCAGCGGTCGCCATATCGTCGTCGTCCGTGTCGCTCTCAATCCGCCATTCAATCCTGCTGCTCGCACAGCCATCCGCTGAGCCGACTGCACCCGAAACGACCTGGAAAACTGCCGGCTTCTGGCACAAGAAGCCGAGGATCTTAATCGGCTCAACGGCCTACTAGCCACAGCACCGCCTCGCATCTTGTTATATTCGCGGCGCTGGATTTATTTTTTTAATCACAGGGCTGATCCTTGAGAAAAAAGAGAATGAGAATAAGAGAAAGGCCCGTCCGCGCTTCGTGGGAGTAAATATCAGTATATAAGCTCAAGTTCCCGAACAAAATGTTTGATGATGTAGTAAGTTTTAGTTGCGGTGCGGCTCAGACGGCATGACGGCCATGTGCGGGTCAATTCCGAACTACCGAGCAGATTTCGGAGAGCGGCCGGCGGTTTGGGTTGGACAGCATATGGGCTGATTTTTTTTTTTTTCGACAACAGACGAAATGGGGTAATTAGCCGCGGTTTAGGCGCTGATTCCGGTGCGTGGTGACGTTGCTGGTGTAACTGAAGCAATCTGGAGAGAAAGGGGGCGCTTTGCATTTATATTGCTGGGCACCTGTTATGATGAAGAAGAAGTGGTTTCTTTTGGCTTTGAGTCAAAGCTTGCGGCCCTATTTTAAGTTGGAATATCCCTTCATCTTTATTTTACTTTTTTATTTTATTCTTCTCGAGCGCCACAGGCTGGTCAAGGCGGTTTAATCACTGAGGATTCACTGCTCGTATAAGTGGGATACAATTCGATAGCAAATAGTTATCTTGGAGCATTTCCAAGAATCGAGTAACTGGCTGTCAAATAGAAGGATTGTTTGAAAGATTATCAGGCTTCTAGCATTGAAATTTTGTTATTGAGCTTCGCCTTGAGAGGCTCGTCTTATAGGTTGCTTTGGCACAAGCAACCCGCTACCAACAGCAAAATCAAATACGTGACGCGAAGTGCTGCAAACCACAAACATCACCATCTCAAGCTGCCAAACAAGGGTGGTATGGTTTTCTGTCCCCATCTTCCCCAGGGTATAGTAGCAGGATCCAATAGGACCGAGTACACTCTACTTGGCAGAAACTCTAAATAGAGCCTAAACGCCAGCCAACAGGATCACTGTCAGCATACTCTTACTCCCAGGTAGAGATGGCTCCCTTCCCATCTTCTCCACCATGTAATCATCAAAGTTACTAATCTTCAAATAGCGTTTTAGTCAGCTAATCTATTTTCACCGTCATCAATACGGGCACGCTAAGCTGTCAAACGGTAGCTTCGCGCCAGGAGCAAATTCCATCCATCTTCTCTCGTACCAACTCAGTCGCCCTGGGTATATCAACTCTCGTGTCCTATCCAGAGGTACACATTGCGCAGATACAAAACTTATCCGTCTAGCTACAAACAAACGAGTAAAATTTCAATCCAGTATCTCTCTTCATCCATCGTCCGGTCCGCTCAGCAGCTACCGATACCAAACAACTGTCACGGCTTTGCTTCCGACTCGGTAATACGTTTCCGGTTTTCCCTCTACCAAAAAATGAGTGGGGGAAAAGTGTAAGAAACGAGGTGGTTCCATTGTATTTATCAATCCGGCTGTGGAATTGCGAGCCAAACATTTATCTATTAGCCTTGATGCCAGGCAAGATCGTAAAGGGCATGTAGCGTCTTGTAGGGATCCATGAATCGGTCGTCGTTCTGCGTTGAGATTTCATTTGGAGATTGTAGTTTTTCGTCCCGTAAGGCGTTGTACGTGCCGTTGATACAAAATTGTCAACGCTGTAATGATGTTGCACTTGCCGAGGAGGCAGTGTATCTCGCATTAGTCGCTTAGAGTTCCCCGGTTGTTGGCCTGGGATTGTCTCGTGCGATTACGCGATATGGCGCGTATTGTGACCGGGGAGAAATAAGCTGCGCGCCCGACACATCCGGCAACCTCATTACAAGGTGTCTCATGTGAGTACCCATTCCAATAGAAATCTCTCCGCCGATCGAATATGCAAATTTTTTTTTGCAGTCGTCGGAAGACTATTAAATCATCTCGTAAACTTGACCGTCAGATCTTTGGTGGATCGTTCGTGCGTAGCTCATATTATTTTTTTGTTTTATCACGTCAATAATAGCCGGATCCCGGGGGAGGCGGCGGTGGAGGAGGCTGAGGGGGAAAGTCGCGGCCTGTAGGATTGTGATAGGGATTTATGGAAAGGTAGCTCATGCCTGCAGTGTTGTCTCCGCCTGCTGGAGCCGTTCCGCCGTGTTGAGAGACGTCGTCCAGCAGCGAACTTTGAGGATTTAGAGCTTGGAAGGAAGACTGTCTTAGAGATGTCGCGGGCCCCTCTGTGAATGCTGGCGAGGCGTAAGGATGCGATGCAGGCGGCACTACCTGGGGATGCCCAAAGGACGACATTGCCACCTGCTGAGGATCCCAGGACGCTGCGCTGGGCGTCGATAGACTCGGCGTCGGCATTTCTCTAGTTACTTGGCTAGGCAGTGGAAAGGCAACTCCAGAGTCCAAGGATACGGGCCTTCGAGGAGTAATGACCTGTTGAAGCGCCTGAACATGATCGCCAGCGCTGAAGCGGTGTCCTGAACTGGGGTCCGCCGATCCAGTCTGCTGCGAAAGAAACTGAGAAATGTATTCGTCTTGGAAGCCGTGCTTGTGAAGAAGCTCTCGGAGCTGTCTGTTCTCTTCGGCCACACGCCTGGCTGCAAGTTGGACCTCGGAACTGGCAGAAACCCCCTCGAGCTCAAAGTTTCTAAGTCGTTGCTCAAGTTCGGCGATGTACTCCCTCCTCCGAGCACGAGATCGTCTCTGGTTGTCTCGGATGCGAGCGAGGTTGGCTTTTTGCTGCCGGAGAGGAAAGAGGAGAAGGCGTAAGTCGGACACTGTTCTCCAACTGCGGGAGGGGGAATGGGGTAAAGATGATACACGGGAAGGAACCACTTACTGCAGGAGTTGACATTTAGGGCCCGATGTGATTTGGCCGCATAAATAGCGACCTATCGCTCGACTCCGGAAGGAGGTTGCTGAAGGCGCAGGGCGCAAGGGGAGATGGAGCGCGGCGGCTGGCGCAAGTGATATGCAGTGCTGACAGCGGGCTTTTTTTTCAGTGGCATATAGCAAAGGAATCGATGCTGGATGGTCTGAAGAAGCTGTCTCGCCAAGCAAGACGGTGATTTCCATATGCCAAAAGCAGCCACAACAGTCATGACCGTATGGGGGGGTTTTGGGTAATATACAAGGTTAATAGAGGACGGGCCTGAAAGAGGAGCAAAAAGGTGATAGGGAAAACGGTATTAGAAAGAGGTCAGCAAGATCCACTAGAGAGTCGCGGCCCTAGACAGCGACGAGAGAAAAGAGACGCAAGAAACGGGTCCCTTCTTCTAAGTCGTCCAAGAGGAAATGGATCGAAGATGTTTCGTATCTCCCAACGACGCGAGGGAGCTGACAAGAGTTGGCGGCCGGGGGGGAGGAAAGACGAGCAGAGGGCGATTGCTTCTCTCTCTTTTTTCTCTCACACCAGCTCTCTCTCTCTCCGAGTCTCTCTCTCTCTCTCTCTCAATGTCTCTTTCCTCACCCTCCTTCAAGGTGAAGAAGAAGAGCTATCCAGCAATAAGCGGGGATGAGAGAAGGAAACACGACATGACCCAGGCGCACACGCACACGAGAGTCCCTAGCTCAATATAGGGATGAGAAGGTAATTTAGGGACCCAGGCAGCTTATATTAGGCGGGAGATCGGTAGATGTACTTGGCAAGTCTGCAATACCACAACTGCTCTCTGTTCCCTACCCTAGGTTTAGGTCTAATAACGTATGGATGCCATGTTGGACACCAAGGGAAGCGCGCTAAGGCTAGGGAAGAGAGCAGCATGTGTGGGCGCCAGACGGCCCCAGATAGCAAGCAAGCAATGAGGTCCAGCCTCCACAAAGATTTCGTGCTAAGTTAGCCCGCCCACGTTTATTCGTTATCCATGGATGGGTTTGGGAGCTGGGGCGAGATGCGCCACTCACGGGTCGACGATGCCGCCCAAGCCTGCGAAGCGTGTGCAAGCCACCTCGGCGAGTAGTTATATCGCCGCCAGGTCGCTGAGTGTTGCAGCCACGCCTCTCGAGCCACGCGTAGATGGCAAGGGAGATGTGTATTAGTATTCAGCCACGATAGGGCTACAGGCACAGCAAGACGTGAGCACCAGCAAGAGAGAGGAAACGCCGCCTAGGCGCTGGCAACATCACCCGGGCTGGTCGAGCCCAGTGCCCGATAGTGGGCGCTTTGGGCGGGTCTCTCGAGCCCAGGATTTAATATGTGAAAATGCGTCTTTATACAGCATGTGTGTGCGTGCAACGCCGCCAGTCAGAAGCTCTAGAGCAGATTGGCATTCTTGCCAAGTCGCATGTGCCCGGCAACGCTGCTGTGGCCGTGGCCAGCATCCCCTGCTCGCAAGAGGCATGCGTGGGCATGCGAAATACGGCGTAATATCAGCATCCAAGAGCTTGTAGCTCTGCGGAGAAGAACGCGCGCTGGGGGGCGGACGGAAGCTGTTGCTGCGGTTCGTTCGGACAGATTGACAGGGCCGCCTCGAAGGCGCACAGTACAGGATGGGCAGCAGAGCTCCGTACATACGCGGACATCTTGGACGCTCTCGCGTGTGACAGCATGACGGAGCGTGCGCCGCAGCGCAGCAGAGGTCGATCATGAGACAGAATCCCTTGCTTTTTCCGCTGGAGCCACACTACCGGGACGCTGGGACTGACAAGTGGTGCGCCAGCGCCGTTATGGCGGGGCAAGAGGCTGCTTAGCCCTAGCGACGCCATCTTTTTTTTTTTTTTCCCTCTCGTGCTCGAGTGAGGGAGAGGCCGTGCCGTAAGAGGGGAGCATTTTTGGCTTTTGCGTTCGCTGGTGCCCGCGCGCTTGCATGCACGTCTGGGCCACCTCTACGGAGCCCTCCGAGGTGCGCAGCGGCTTCGATTCGCGGTCGGGCCTTGGAGGTTTGCGCTGTATCAGCATCCGTGCCTGCACCCGCCTGGCCTCATGCCAAGTACATGCGCCAGCCGGGGCGCGTTCCGACAGACAGTGCAGATTGCCAAAATCTACTCTGGCCCCCCGGTCGCTTTGGCGGTTTTGCCATGTGGTTTTGGCGGCATGGTCCAGGGTGCAGTAAAATGAACTGGCGTTTGTTGTATGAGAGAAAAGAGAGCAGCGAGAGGCCTGGCAGATTAGAGGGGGAGCCAGACAGCGCCACTCATCAGTAGTTAGATTTGCCTGTTTCCGAGCAAGCACCCCCCCCGGCTGCGAATATTAAACCGCAGTAGGGCAGGCTCGATGCGACCATATCGCGCAGCGACCTGGCCCAGGGCCTGTTGGCAGGTACCCGGTACTGCTGCCCGTCCGCTGCCACTGCTCCCAGACGCTGCCAACGTCGCAGCGCCGGTGGGGTCAGGCGCGGTTAGCTCTGGCTGCAGTGCTGGAGGCCCCTCAACTCCACGTTGCCTCAGTCGCAGCACCTGGCGCGAAGCACGGACTGCCGCCTGGTCTGTGTACCCGGTACCTGCGCGCCGACCGCCAGCCGAGTCTCTCCCGGCGGGCTACCTGGGTACTACTAGCATGCTACTGTACAGTAGGTTTTCACCTATTGAAACCTTGCCCGTCTCCCACTACCGCTGCCGAGCGCCTCGACGTGCCTGGAACTCGTTGCTCCGGTCACGAGGCTTGCGATGCTCGATACGGGATGCGCCTTTCAGCCCTTCCACCACCACTCAGGCTTGCATCGGTCGTAGCGCAAGATTGTGCTGAGAAAGGTGTGTGTTGGCCCGGCTAGTTGAAACTGTTTTGCGCCCTGCATCTCACATTCCTCCGGCTGTCGCTCATCACATCACCCAACCGTTGCGTATTGCTTGGGAGAATGGCAGATGGGGGCAAAGGTTGTTTCTTTGCTCGTCCGTCTCTCTCCCTCTGTGTGCGTCTCCTCTCTCTCTACTGTACCTTGCCTCATCCTCAACCTCACGCGATCGAGGTACGTCTTCCTGCTTGTTCAGCTCAACTCAGCTCCTCGCGGCTCTCCCCTCCCCTCCCTTCATTTCTTTTCGTCTGCCTCGTCAGCCCAAGATAATATCCTCACGAGTGCCAAGTAGATTGACTCTTCATCTCGGCTCACCCCGGCCGTCTCCCCACGATGGGACGCTGACCCAACCTTGAGCTCAATCTCCCACCACAACTGCATGCCATGGATGTGGTTCCGAGCGCCTCTAGCTTCGCCAGGGTATCTCGTCGTGAAACGCGGCAGCGGGTTTTTCTCCTCTTTCTCAATGGACGATGCAGATGTTATCTGGCGATTCTTGCGAAGCGCAATTTCTCTGGCGAGCCACGGCATCATGGGTCCCAGCCCGGAGGCGCATCATACAGCCGTATTACCTAACGCACCAAGAACGTACCGAAATATTGCAAAAAGATTGGCCATGGCGCAAATGCCTTTCTGGGGACAAGGCTAGCTCTAGACTTTCAGCCCACCTGGCGCCGGTTCTTGGCTCGGAAGACTGCCGTGTTGTGAAGCTACTTGTACTAGGTGGCTACCTGCTACCTACCAACGGATGCTGTTGAGTGTTTGCTCAAGCCAGCTGCCGAGAACAAAACGTTCTTGTCTGCACGCCCATCTATCTCATGATCGTCTAAGCCGCCGCCTCAACTACGTTGCGCCGCCCAAATGTGCCCGAATAGAGTTCCTCTTCGTCTTCTTCGTGGTATTTACCCAGTACACTTTTTGTGCAGTCTGCAGTCTTGAGCTTGGGCTGCGAAATGGCTGACAACCAATACAGAAAACAGTACGGACAGTACAAACAGACGAGCCGCAAACTGGGCTGCCAGAGTGAGCAATTGGCCAAAAACGGAAATCAAAGCGACGCCATTCGCCTCTTTTTTAGCGGCTGAAGGCTGATTACGTATGAGCTGAAGAAATCGCAAAAGCCAAAAAATTATATGTGATCTGGAGGGCTCAGAGAGGCGAATCGACTCTAGGCGGCAGCCGATCTGGATCCAAAAGCTTAAAAAGGCATCTTTGCCAAGTTGAGCATGCTGTCCACGTGAGTGGCCCTACGAGAGCCACACTAACGGGCTCCAGATCGAGTGGCAGCAGAGGGCGTTTGCGCACGATGCATCTACCGATGCTCCAAACCACACGCTACCGAGTGCTACCACGGGAGACGTGCATCGCTCAAGCCCTGCACAACGTCTGGATGCGACCAGTTCGGCGACCAAGAGCCCGTCGGCGAGCGCCGGCGCCGGTGGCCAGGCGAAGCGGACCCGAATCCTCGGCTGTCCGCCACTAGGCACCGCGCAAAGGCGGCCGATACGCGGCCAGACTTGCTATTTCTCCGTGTACCACCCTCATAGGGCTGTCGCCTCGACGTCGCCGGAGTCTACAACGATTATAAGGCCTTTCTTTCGTCGCCGTTTCCCCTTTTGCCCTTGTCCTAGGCCAGCCATCGCTCCGCCCATCGTATGATTATGATGTGGCCAAGCAGAGCGGCGAATCTGCTGTCTCTCAATGCCCAAACTCGGCCCAAGCTTGCTAAGGTAAGCATCCAGCGAGGCTGCGAGGGTCAGGAGTCGCACAGCCACATCAAAGATCGAAACCGGTCCTAGCGGCCAGCTACTGTGCTAGTCTAGCATCTGATCCTCCAGATCATTGCGGCGACTTGCACAGAAAACTGCTATATTTGGCAGCATGCGATTTGATCACAAGGCCCGTTCTGTCAGCGGCAGACGAACTACTACTCACCAGCGCTATGCTATGCCGCGGCTCACTCACTTGTGCTGACTCTGGTGAAGACGAGGAGAGCAAGGCACAGGCAAATGTGCCAAGAAACGTGCCGTGGTTCCATTACTCGAATCCGTATCTGGCCGCGGTGAAATGGACCCCCCTGCCGAGTGCCCAGACACGGCTCAGGTGCTCTGTACTTTGTATGAGCCAACAAACTCGGCGGGCTGTCTGAGCTCCTTGTTTGGTGATTTATGGGCAAATTAACTTGAGGTTGCACGCGTGATTCGAATGATGTGAATGAATCACCTCATGCCACCATACTTATACGGCGTAGGCCTCAAGGACTGACATGTCTTTCGGTGAGCCCCTGGCGGACTGTTTTAGACCAGTGTAACCAAGGCTATCCCTAGTATGGCGGCATAAATGCATGACCGCATCATGCATGGATGCATTGGGGCCTTTTCGTCGTGGCGCAGACTGATTTGAGCTGTTGTCGCTTGCTTACTCGCTGCGTTCGCGCGGTTGCTTGGGCAGCTTCTGGATCTGCGCCATGCCACCCTCTGCACCTTGTATGAACCCGAAATAAAAAACAAGTAGTAATACGAGAATCCTTCGTGATTTTCAGCTCGTATTTAAATACTGGCCCTATCCCAGCACTGACCATGGACTAGTGTTCCGTTCCCCTTTGTGAAGTAAGCTAGCGGCGCTGCATTGCTACTTGACCAGTATTCTTTGTTTCTCTTTTCTTCTTGTTTATTTTCCTTCCTTCATCAATCACACATCGTTGTCGATTTTTCTCCTTACAATTGCAATTGAATACTTGCATACGCACAATGCCTTCTGTCAAGAGCCTTTTGTCGGCTGCCGCTCTGGCATGCCTGGCCAGCGGAGAGACGATCAAGATCACAGCAACTTCGTCAAACACTTTCGACCCATCAACCATCACGGCATCCCATGGCGATATCCTTGAATTCCACTTTGAGCCCAAGAACCACAGTGTGGTTTCGGGTCTCTACGCCTTCCCTTGCACGCCCATGCAATTGGGCACCGGCTTCTTTTCAGGATTCTCCTTCAACACCACCGATGGCGAAGCAGTATGTCAAGTTTGACGTCTTTGATCTCAGCCTGCTTGTATACTAACTCTGTATCAGGACAAAGTCTTCCGCGTCACGGTAAACGGAACGGAACCGACTCCCTTCTACTCCTCGCAGGGCAACGAGTGCTCGGGTGGAATGGTTGGAATCATCAACCCAAGCAAGAACCAGACCCTCGCAGACTTCAAGAAGCGGGCCTCTGCCTTGGCACGCAGCGTCTCGCCCGGCAGGACAAGCTTTGGTGGTGAAATCGCCGACAACGACGACGACTCATCCAACTCTACCAGCAGTGGCAACGGCAGCAGTGGCGGCAAGGGTGGCAGCAGCGGTGGCAGCAGCGGCAGCGGCTCGGACAAGGACGGTAAGGATAACGGCAGTGTCTCTTTGTCTGTGTCGATTGGAGCACTGGCGCTTGCTATGCTCATGGCCATTTAAGACTGCAAGCGTCTAACTACCTGGGCCTTGGAGTTTGTCCAGGAAAAAGCCCACCAGATTGTTTGCAAAGAAAAGGATACCCCTATCATAGAATATTAATTTAGACTGTCTTTGAAAAAGTAGTGCTTACGGCTTGGACGTTGTCGGCAATAGTAGTGGATACTACCTACCTATTTTTGAGGATACGAGGAATATGAAAGATGACGGATTTGATTAGTTTTTGGTTGCTGTTTTGAGCAGAGACTTGATTAATTTGTAATATGGAATATATTATACTAATACGGTTGTATTTTGCGTTTTAGATTGCAGTTCAAAGCTGCTCGTGAGGTAGATGCAAGTTGACCTATATATAGACAACAGCGCGTGTACATACATAAGCAATTAGTATAAGAGGTTTTGGACTATATCGATAAATATAGCGAATTATTATTAAAAGGCCAATTTATTACGCATTAAACTAGACTAAACATTATCAGCGTGAAAGCTGTAAAATATCGACAATCATGTGCTTATACTACCTATACCAAGCATCTAGACGACTTCATGCAGCAGGCCACGCAACACAGAGTGTTCTGCTCTTCTGTACGCCTCCCAGTCCTTTGCATTACACAACAGTCCGTCTTCCCGTCGAGAAAAAAAAAAGAAAATCCCAAGGTGAAACGCCCAATACATCAAATACAAGCACCTTGCAGCTGATCCTCAAACACACACGTCGGCTTGAGCCTCTTCTCATCCTTCAACAACTGAATGACCTCGTCATTCTGTCGCTTGAGGCCGCCATTCTGTTTCTGAACGCTCTCGAGATTTTGCTTGATGGCTGCAATTTCGCCGCGCAGCAGCTCTGCATGCGTGTGAATGTCCGGCAGCGGCTTCTTGTCTTGTGCTTGCTTCGTAAGGGCTTCGCGCACCAGTGTTTCGCGCAGCATGTCGAGTCTTTTGAGGATGCGCTTGGGGTCGGCCTTTTTGCTGACTAGGTCTCTTGTCTCGTTCCAGATGGCATGTGCCGGGTGGTTGGACCATGTTGTTGAGATGGGCTTCTCGACAACCTCTGTCCAGGTGTACTTGTCCAGGTCATCGAGCGAGACGTCGAGCCAGTCTGCAATCGGCCGTCTTTTGCGGCCTTTGCCCACTTGACGATGGAGAGCTTGTTCGCTGGAGCCAGCACCTTCATGTGAGCCAGCGTGATGCGTCTGCCCATGTCTTCCGTCACGGCGGCGTCTTGCTTGCTTCTAAGGAGGTCGAGCATGTCTTTGAGCTCGTATTCGGCTTGGTCTCTGGTCATTTCGCAGGTAACCTCCACGGCCAGCGTCTCCTTGTCTTTGACGGCGTGATCCGCGGCGACATTGCTCCGCCTGCCGGGCTCAAAGTGTCTGCTGGATCGGAACGAGTCTACATCCAGACTCACTTCGCGAAGAGACTCGGCAATGTTCTCGTTTTGCTCCGTCGTGGGGAGGACAAGCTTGTACATGATGCGAATGATGCGTTCTTCGTTGCCGACGTAGTTGTGGATTGCAGTTGGCGCCATGTCCACAGTCTTGTACTGCTCCATCAACAGCGTGGTTTCGTCGGTTCCGGTGCCCTCAACTCTTCGGATCGACTTGAGCGCCACGGCTGCCATGATGAGAGGCGCCGGAGGGCAGTGAAGCTGCTTCGTCGAGTCGGTGAATTGCTGGGCAAGCTTCATCCTGGCCTTGAGGGTTCTGTGTCCGCTCCAGCTGGTCCATGCAGTGGTGGACAGGAGCTTGGTGTTGATTGCCTTGTCTACACAGGCCTCGAAACAGGCGGGGTAGTCATCTGGGTCTACGCCGACCTTGAAAAAGGCAATACTTATGACATCCTCGCAGAGCACGCGCTGCGTGTCCTCCGTCATGTCGCTTGAGCATATCCGGGTTCCGTTGCCGTACGCAAGACAGCTGCGCGCATCAAGTAGGCGCCGAGGCAAACTCACGACTTTGCGTTCAACTCGTTTCACGGGCAAACTGGAGGTGATTGTGCCAAACTTTGAGTCGGGTGTTGCATCCATGCTGAATAGCTCCTATGCCGGTGTGATTTTGGTAGAGGAACTCAAGAGTTGCGATGTGTAGATGGCCTTTTCTAGAGAAATTATATGCTTGATGAAGAAAAGGAAGAAGGGAGGAGGAAAGTTTTTCTAGACCGGAAGTTTGGAGCAAGTTGAATATATAGGCCAGGTCAGAGCAAACGGACAGCAAACGGACAGGAGTGCCAGCCATCGCCATCACCTGGCTGGCAACTGCATTTAGTATTTGGCTATAAAATTCTCTGGGACATGGGTAATTAGCTTTAGTGATAATCTGGCTTGGGCAGGTTTCAGCTTCTCTTTACGCCGAGAGGGCTGTTCTGTTGTTATGGCACTTGATGCATGGCCGCAATTTTGAAATCGAAGAGAGGCTGTAGTTAATCATGCTGAGATCAGTATACATTCACTATATCAATCAAGTCCCAGGTAGGATATGAAATTTTCAGTGTACGTGCAGGTTGCCACTAATTAACTATTTTTGCTACTGTTTATTTAATTCATCCACGTAGCGCAGGGATTTTCTTTCAACTACTTGGTGGCCATATAATGGCCATGGTCGTTTTGAATCAGTGCCAATTAGTTAATCAGTATTGGTAATATGAGAACCATGACTACGCTGTCCTTGAAATTGCTTTGACATTTGCGTAGCGATCCTACACGATACTATAGAGCTACAGTTACTCCACTGAATATGTCATGTATGAAGCTACACCGACAAGGCTCATTGATACGAAGTGCAAAGAGCCTCGAATTCAAACGATAATCTAATAGAGACGTGTAACAAGCTGTGATAGATCTAATCAAGAGCTCGCATGATGCTCGTAAATAGCCGCGTTTGATACGGTGACGAGATATTCGACTCACTAATTGCCACTCACCATTGTTGACGAAGCGGAACGATTGATGGGCAGGATAATACTAGACCATTTATGATTTATATGAACACATGATTTATGAGACAGAAAACCGCCAAGATGAAAATCAAAGGCATCAAGCCCTCTCGTAAGCTACATAGATGCTCATGAGGCGAAGTTGTTGGCTATTATCTAGCTATAAACTATCGGACCAAGGCTAATATAGGTGTAAACGATGAGAAGTTACTTTGATGGCAGCCATGCAATGAATAATATCGCCAAATCAGGGTTGACGATACGCCCGCGTAACAGACTCGGTGCGGCTGTATGACCGAATGGCAGGTCAAACTGCTCTTAATATGCACGTACCATTTATTGAAGGGAATAGTAACAAGGAGGTAATATCCGTCTTAACATTCTTAAAATCTACCTTTCCCGGTCAATTATTTCCGGCTCTTTTATGCTCGTTGTCTAGTGTCTGCTGTTGCCTTCAAAGTCTCTGCTACCTCCCCCGGCGCCGAAAAAGAGGATTGCCACTTGATTCTTGAGCAATATATTCCAAAAAAGCCAGTGAATTTAGTCTCGGCACTTGCAAATCCATGGGTGAGTATATCGTGAGATCGTGGCAATGGCGCCTATAGCTCTTGTGGTTATGAGAAGCAATGGTCGAACTAAGCCCTACTACAACAACTGCTGGATTCCTAAACAATTCGCTTCAATTAAAAAAAAAAAAAAAAAACTGATTCGGCCATCTGCCTTGCCGAATGGCTAGATTTACACCCCACCTTGAAGATGAAAAGGGTAATCTCGTCTTACTCTCACATCATCTGGCCGTAGTAAGCCATCCGTAATCTCACACCAGTAGTCGCAAAGCTTACAGACACGAGAAACCGAAAAAGACACGGCGCTTAGATTTCTTTGCAGCAAATGTTGTGGCTGAAGCTCTGAAATGTCTAGCATTTGCCCTATCTGGGTGTATCCGCTTGAGAAATACTGTAGTGGCTTGGTAGAATTTTCTAAGCCTATAACGATGGCGGAAGATGTGAAGAGGCTGCGCTGGGACAAGTTACTGTTTTGCGAATGAATTAGCACGGTGTAGAAATGAAAAGGAATAATGAAACTCTCTGCAAAACGGCGAGATCTATTTGCAAATCTGAGAGAGAGAGACGTATTGTTGGCTAGTTTTAGGGTAGTTACTGTCTTACGTCGAAACGTTTTGCTCATAGGGCTGAAAACGTAGTCCATATTAGATGTAGTCTATAGTTACATGCACATGGCTAATACGGATCACACATTGTGATGCTGGTGAGTGGAACTATAAATGTAGCACGAATGGTATTTGGGTATCAAGCAAAACTCCTAGCAATGCAATAGAACCAACAAAATGCAACCAATAAAAACAGACAACCAAATGCGGATAGATGCTGATGATAATTGCAGTCGATGAATGTAGACGTCGAAACTGCAGAACATGATGCAGACAAATGCAGATGATGATGCAGATGAAGAACGCGGATAATGAAAGTAGTCGATAAATGCAGGCGATAAATGCAGACGACGCCAAACTTTACCTAGAACCATGTAGACGGATCATCATGATACTCCCTCTTCTTCTGGGCCTCACACGCCATCTTCAACTCCAGCTCCAACAGAGCAAAAGACTTCTTTTCCTCCATGAGTCTGACGATATCCTGGACCTGGGGTGCCAATACGTCGTGATCAAACCTGTCGGTTATCTCGAGAGCATTTGTCAGATAGAACTGTACGTTGTCGTAAAAGTCGGCAATTACATTCCTGCGCTCTTCTGCCGAGACGTGTGCCAGGCATTTTCGACAGGCGGAATCGGATGTGCTGTGGTTGATTTGCTTTGCGCATCGATTTCCTGCGGTGCCGCACTCAATGGCGTAGATGTTTTCAATGTGTGAGCACGAGCGGGTGATGGAGTCGATGATGCACATGGTGACGGTGGTATTGGATTAGGAGGGAGAAGAAAAGTACAAGAACAGAAGTGGACGAGAATTGGTTGGGATGGACCTTGATATTGATATGGATGCTGTTTGAAGTATGGACAATCTGGGTATGCTGGATATTTCGTCTTTTAAGTATTCATTTTGGATTGTACATTGTTGCGAGCACAGCAAACGGAGTTCAAAGACGGTGTATAAAACAGCATTGACGGGATGGAAGGGGACGTAGGTGAAGGGCGATGATGAATGTTCATTTCGCATAGTTGCGACAAATGAAAGAAAAAATGAAGACAAAGAATAATAAAAGAATAATACTACAGTTGAAAGCATTCAAACAGTCAATTGTTCAAGTGAAAGCATGTTATGAGTTTATAAGTTTTGGTTTATTAAGAAAAACATTATATGAATATCTACAGAAGAAGACGATAGTTATGTAGAGTAGAGAGTGAGAACATTTAAAATTATACATTAGCTAGGTAGTTCAAATCTAGTAATGAGTTCAACTTTTATTTCCTTTGCCACCTAAACGCCTTTGAATGAACAACATCTTCTTTAATCGACTTCAAAAACCGCCCGTTTCTTTCAATCGTTTCATGCCTTTGTCTCCGGGCCCTTGACCTTCTTGATGCTTCTAAACTCGATACCAAACGCGCAAAGCAGCGAAGCGCAAGTCAATGCCACTGCGGCAATGAAGATTCTCGTGCAGGCATAATTATACGCATTAATCACAGCGGACAGGAATTCCGAAGGAACCGTCTTTGCGAGCTCAGTTGCGCCAGTCTTCACAATCATCATGGGGTCCAGGCCTGGGATATCCGAGAGACGAGCGACGAGCAGGGTGCTGAGGATGGTCTGGCCGACGGAAACGAAGATGGCGCCGCCGAGCTGCTGCGCAAAGAAGAGGATGGCAACGCCCGTGGGGATTTCCTCCTTGGGCAGCACGGTTTGGATGGCCAGGTTGACGGTCTGGAAGCCAAAGCCCAGGCCGAAGCCGGTGAGGAACTGATAGCCGATCCAGTGAGAGGATGGAGTGTCGGGCTGGAATGTGGACAAGAGGCCTTCGCCGACGGCCATGATGCATGGGCCGATGATGAGGGACGGGGTGTAGTATCCGGACTTTTGGGTGAGGAAGCCGGACATGATGGATGCCACGACGAGGCTGAGGACGAGTGGAAGGGTGTAGATGCCAGACTTGACCGGATTAATGCCATGCGTAGTTTGAACTGCAAAGTTTTTATCAGTATCAAAGATTTAAAAGAAAATGGAAGAATTGAATGGAAAGGATCAACTTACACCACAGGGGAATGTAGTAAACGCAGAGCATCATCCCACCCGCCGTAAAGAGCATGAAGAAGGTGCCGAAAAACATGGTCCGCTGCGTAATAACCTTGGGAGGCAGCGACGCCGTCTTGGGCATCAAAACCTGGACGGCAGCAAAGCCAATGGCGCAGAGCCCAAACATGATGAAGAGGAGGATGATGCGCCAGTTGCTCCAAGCATACGTCGAGCCGCCCCACTGCAGCGCAAGCAGGAGGGACACGGTGGACGGGATGAAGAAGAATGTGCCAAAGGGGTCGAGGCGGAGAATCTGCTCGCTGATGGTGGCGGGCGGATGGGCCTTTTTGGGCATTCGGAGGAAGAGGAACATGAAGACGAAGGCGACGGCGCCGACGGGGAGGTTGAGGTAGAAGCACCATCGCCATGTTGCGCGCTCGGTGAGGGCGCCGCCGATGAGGGGGCCGGACACGCTGGCGATGCCAAATACCAGGCCGAACATGGCTGTGAGTTGGCAAACATTAGTTTTGAGAGCAGAAACTTGCTTGGAAAGGGATGGATGCCGTACCTTGGAACATGGGACGCTTCGGTAGGGGGATTAGGGGGATCGTAACCAGCATCGATCCTGTGGTGATTCCCGCAGAGCCTACACCTGCAATTGCTCGTCCTGTTGTGTCATGTTAGATGCTGATGATGCTATCACATTGTGGTTTTTGCCTTGACGTGATTACAAAAAGGGTGACACCTTTAGAAGGAGAGAGGACACTTACCAACAATGAAGACGGGAGAACTTGGCGCCGCACCGCATACCGCAGAACCAATCTCAAAGATGATGATGCAAGATAAAAAGGTGAAGCGCAAATCATAGAAGCGATAGATGCGTCCCCAAACCAACTGAAACGCAGCCGTAGAAAGCATATAAGCCGATCCATACCATCCAATGTCGCCCAAGCTCTTGAAGTCGTCGGTGATTGTGGGAATGGCGGTGGAGATGATGGTTCGGTCCAGGGCGACGAGGAACATGGACACAAAGGCAGAGAGCAGGATGAGCCAGAACTTGGCAGACTTGGGATTGTAGTTTGCTTCTGGGCTGTCGGGGGCTGGGCCCTGAGGTGCTGCTGCGGCCTGAGCATCATCTTGGTTTGCTGGCTGTGAAACTGCCGGTGCTGACTCGGGTTTTTCATGGACGTATGCGTCGAAGCTTTTCCCATTCTCGGATGAAGATGTGGTGAAGAATCCAGCTTGGTCGGTAGGAGACGTTGGCTCTGCCGCCGCGGTCTTTTCATCGGCGAAAGGCATCGTGAAGAGACTTTGGTGTTCGTATCAGAGGCGTTACACAGCAGTCAGGAGATTTTGAGCGAATGGGGGGTGTTGGCTTGTTCTTGTTCGATGGGATTGTCTCAGGTCGACGACCAACAAATGCAAATTCTGGAATGCAGACTCATCATAGAGGAAGAAGAAGATGAAACGTTTATAAGTAAGAGGCTGGAAAAGGAGTGCAAAATGCCAACGGCTGCTGGCGCGTGGCCCCAAACGCCATGGCTATCCCTTTCCGGCCATATTCTGCAGCGTTGATTGGGTCAATACGACGGGAGAGCAGCGAACAGACTCTGCCGCCATCGTGCTTCGGCACCGTAGCTGGGCTGCCGTGCCTTCACTTAGACGCTGGACGAGCTCCGGGTCCCAACCGGCCGAGAAGTTGCAGACATAAGAGCATCTCGGACATGCAGCTGGGGCGCTAGTGCCCGTTGGGCTGTGGCGCCTCACGGTTCGGTCCCGAGGCGATGCCCGAGCTCCTATTGTTTGGCCTGATTGTGGCTGTTGCTGGCTGTTGTTGGCTGCTGGTTGCGGTGTTTGGTGGCTTGTTGTGCTGGGCCCGGTCCTCGATGCAAGCAATGCTCGTTACATGAGGCTAGGCAGCCGCCTGGAGGAGATTGGGGATAGGGGGCTGTTGCGTGGGAGTGCGTGTAAGTCGTGGACGATGAGTCAAGGGTGGAGATTGGACTTGCGTTTGAAATTTCAAGGGCTCTGGTTTACAGCTGTCCTGGTACGTGGCATTGTCTGGCTTACGTGTTGAGCTTGCCTGTGCCATGGTGAATATGCCTTTTGTTGACGAAGCAGGTAGTAGGATGGCGGTGATGTTTGTCGTATGCTTCATTTCCTTTTCGTTTCAGCTACCAAGCTTCAACGTCATGCGAATGCGTTTGCACTGACGAACGGATGATTCACACAATCAAGTGACGAGATCATACCACTCCAACTTTTATTCACATGGCAGCATGCATACCGTTCCGTCGGTATGTGTTTGTTATGTCTCGGGAGGCTGCCTTGGCATCTGCCCGAGCGTTTGTTGTCAGTGGACGCTGTTTGATCGATTGCCCAAAGGGGGACTGCAGCAACTCTCCGACGGTCCAGTTCCGCCCAGCACACGCAGACACGCGCAATGAGTCATCCAAGTACTGCCCATGTAGCAGCTGTTAATAAGGAAGCGCCGTCTGCATCCTGATGCTACCGTTGCCTCGTCGCATTGACAAGGGCCTTACATGCGCTGCCGCTGGAACGAGTCGCCTGCTGAACTAAGCCGTGCCCCAGCGCTGATTGGCCCCGAGCCCGCTGCTGCAACAGCCGACAGCGCAGAATTCCATTGAACCAGCGCCCGCCCCCGCTTTCTCCTCCGTCGCCAATGCAAATCTCGCACCGACTGCAAACCAAAAAAACCGCCTCGCAGCCAAGGACAAAAAGAGCCTGGACCCGGGTCCGAGAATCGTCGCTCGCAACCGAGACTCAGCCCTACGGCGACAGCCAGCTCCAGCCAGCTCCAGCCAGCCGCAGACCCCCGGGCCGATGCGCTGAAGGGCCGGAGGGCGCCTGAGGAGACAATCTGGCCAGCCGCATGCAGGGTCTTGGCCCGGCCAATCAGTCTCTGCCTCCGCCGGCACTCGCCCTCGCATGATCCGGTGAGCTGCCAACGCAACAGGCCGGAGCCTCCATCGTCTGGGCATCATGTCTGGCGAAGCGTCTGCCAGCTTTGCAGGCGGCACAAGAGCCCCCGGCTCGGCCCCGCCGCCACCGCAGCCGCGCCCGAATGCCGCCTCCTCCTCCTCTGCCCGGCCTCACCAGCAGCAGCAGCCGCCGGCGTTTGACCCGGCCGCCGTCAAGCTCACGCGAGGCACCAGCTGCGTGCTGTGCCAGCAGCGCAAGGTCCGCTGCGACAAGAACAAGCCCTGCTCCAACTGCGTCAAGGCCGGCGCCGAGTGTCGCGTCGTGCCGCCCCAGCCGCCAAGGCGCCGCAAGAAGCGCCTGCAGGAAAAGGACCTGCTGGACCGGCTGCGCAAGTACGAGGCGCTCTTGGCGCAGAACGGCGTCAAGTTCGATGCCATTGACCCCGACTATAGGGCCGATGGCGTGGCCGGCGACGAGGTGGACGAGCTGGAGACCGACTTTGAGAGTCTCAAGACGTCTGCCGAAGCATCGGGCAACCCTCCCAACTCGACCGGCGCAGGCTCGTAAGTTGATTCCAATCGCTCACATGTTTGCCGAAGCTGTGAGACAAGGGCCATGGCCAAGCAGAGATGCTGACACAAGCTACGTGCTGCTGCAGATTCCGCCAGCCCGGAGCGTGGTTCTCGCTTCACAAAGAGGTAAACTCACTTACACATCTCCATATAGATGGGGAGAGATGCTGACTGCGGGACCAACTGATAGTTTAGAGCAAGCGAGCAGATGCTCAAAGACTCGTCCGAAGATGAGGACGATTATGCCCCCAACCTTGCCGCCAACCAGTCCTTCATCCATGCCGCCTTTGACAAGATGTTTGCCAACCAGGACGGCTTCCCTTTCATCATTGGAGGTTCCATAGCCTCCGTCACGCACTTGCACCCTCCCTCCATCCACATACTCCAGCTTTGGCAAATCTACATTGACAACATCAATCCGCTGCTGAAGATGACCCATGTGCCTAGCATTCAGAGCAAGGTCATCGAGGCCACGTCCCGCCTTCACGAGGCCCCAAAGAATATCGAGGCCCTCATGTTTGCCATTTACGTGATTTGCGTCAACTCTCTCGAGGATGGCGAGGTCCAGAGAACCTTTGGCGAGACAAAGCAGGAGCTGTTGGCCAGGTTTTTCCCAGCACTTCAGCAGGCTCTGGTCAATGCTGGCTTTATGCGCATGCCCGACCCCCTGACTCTGCAGGCATATCTTTTATACTTGGTAAGGCCTTTCACTCAATCTTGCAATGATTCATGTCTAATACGCAATTCAGATGGCCGTCCGGTGGTATATAGACCCGAGGCAGGTATTCTGCATGATGGGCATTGCCGTTCGCCTCGCCCAGCGGATGGGTCTTCACCGCGACCCCGACGGCTACGGCCTGTCCCCCTTTGAAGTTGAGCAGAGGCGGCGCCTATGGTGGACAATCGTCTCCTACGATCGGCGTGTAGGGGAGATGACGGGTTCGACCGTGACTGCGCTGACTAGCGGCTGCGACTGCAAGAAACCTTTAAACGTCAATGACTCTGATCTACACATTGACGGCAAAGAGCCCCCGACACCGCACTCGGGCCCCACCGAGATGCTCTTTGCTCTGACGCGCGTTGAGCTCTCCATGGCCGTCGCAAGCAACAGCAACAGAGACAGCTTCAAGATGTACCCCGAAAAGAAGACGGACGCTGCCCAGCCCGGGAAGCCGAGCCCCGTCACGATTCGCCTTGCTGGCCAAGACACTCCCGCGTACACTCTCGACGGGTTCTGTGCTCACATCGAGGGCACGTACCTGGTTCACTGCGACCCCAAGATTCCTCTCCACTTCTTCACCCTGACCATGACGCGAGCGGCGCTCTGCAAGATGCGAATCATCAACTTCCTAGTTCGCAGCCTCAACAGCGACCCGATGCCGCTAAAGGAAGTAGAGCGCGACACCCTCATCTTGGGAGCGGTCGAGATGCTTGAATACGACAACGTGGTCCAGTCGTCTCCCAGCCTCCAGCCGTACAAGTGGTACGCAATGCATTACTTTCCCTTCCCGGCATACATGTTCCTGGTCCAGGAGCTCCGCAAACGCAGTTCGGGGCCGCTGGTGGAGAGGGCCTGGGCGGCCATTGAGTCCAATTACGAGCTCAGAGGCCTTCTGAGCAATCTCCACAGCCCCATGCACACGGCCTTTAGTGGCCACTTTGTCAAGGCCTGGACGGCGCATTACGAGGCCCAGCGAGCGGCCGGCAAAGAGATTCCCATGCCGCATTTCATATCCAAGCTTCAGGAACGTGTCGAGACCCGGCGCAAAGCACGCTTGGAGAACCGCCCAGACCCCGGCGAGCAGACAACCCCGGTCGTGACCTTTCCTCGGCCGCGGACTCGCGAGACGTCGTCCAACTCGCCAGACAACAACGCTGCCATGATGACCCCACCGGTAGACCAGACTGCCGGGTTTGGCGGCGCCCATCCCGCCATGGCGCCCTCCAGCTCGGCGTCTGGGGAAGACGACATGGACTGGTCATTTCTCATGTCGGGCTATCAGGACGCCGATACGTTTCAAGGGTTCAGCACCCCTTATCACGCTGGATTCGGCAATGGCATGGAGGGCTTGCGCAACAGTAGCGGTGGCGGACCGCCTCCACACATGGGGGGATACGGCGGCCCCGGGGGAGGGGGACCGTCGGGGAATATGTTTGGAAACTAGACGGCGACTTTGGATGGATCACACTTATCGGGGAGAAGAGATGGCGGTAAGCTAGAAGGGAGACTGGAAGATATACCCACCTTATACGCAAACACACATATATACAGTACAAAGGGATGTTTTTTTTTTTTGGGAGGATTTTTGTTTTCTGGATCACGAACAAGGGGAATTTATTCAGGCAAGGAAGAGACATGGCCATCGTCACTCAGCCAGGGGTACATTATGGCCCCAGAGCGTATACAAGACTCCTCTGTACATAATATCGACGTATCATGATGTATACTCTAGTAGACTAGTACAAGTAGAGCAGAAACCACATACCACTCATTCACACTCCCCCTCTTCCCAGCTGATAAAAACACCCAGTGTCGATCTCCCCCGATATCACGAGGTCATCACTAGGGTAGCCAGCACGGACTCATCTCTTTTGCGTAATTTGGTACGTCTGTGCTACTAATACCCTAACAAGGTCCTGATGAGCAACTTTTTCACCACCTTATTTTATCCTACTAGGCTACTAGTACCTAGATCAGGTTGGTTTCTTCTTCGAAAAAAAGGTCAGTCAGATTTGGGCAACTCCGCTTTTTCATTTTTTTTCCACGTAACTCCGCGACGGGGAAATAAAACAAAAAGAATCGCCTCATTCCGGATTCTTTATAAAGATCATATGTGGGAGTATATACTATATAATTTATATATTAAAAGAGTTCTTGATTATCTTTAATCATTTCACTGCTCTTAATCATTTTATCAAGTCAAAAAAAGGAAAACAAAAAGCAAGAAAGAAACATTCCAGACCAAAAGTCTTTTATATACCTACTCTCCCGCCCATCATTTATAATACAAAATCACCCATTTATAATAACCTACTCACCCGTAACTCCCGCAATCATTCCTCGTTTTTTGTAATTTTTTATCTCCGTTCATTTTTATTCCAAACTCCATATTTTTTCCCCTCTTTCCATTGGGCTAAAAATCTCCCTTAGTTCTCACATTCAAAAAAACGCACGTTCCATCTGAACTAATAGGAACTTGTTCCGTGGAAAAAAAGGTAACCAGGGGTTTGCTTGCGTTGGGGTCGCTTTAATTTTTTACGGGTTGCGCGGTATGCCCGTCGCAATAACCGCACAAGGAAAAAAGGGATGCAGGGAATGTAAGAACTAGCTCCAAGTAGTGGTAGATTATTATTTTACAGATAACCAGTTTGGTAGGGAAATACCAAAGGGATGCTGCTGTTGGTTCCAGCCTTCTAGGTGCTTTTTTGTTAGAGCGGGGGGGTTCCATGTATCTATCCCATGGCAACGCTGTTTTTTGACTTGTTCTGGAAAACACCGACTCATCGGCGTATGCGCATGCAAATACACTAAACGAGACTTTTGCAGTTTTACATTTAGTAACTTGGGTATGCGGTGATTTTGAAAGATTGCCGTTTTTTGCCCTTTTTAGACCAGCAGATGAATAAGCGAGCATTTACACGCTCATGAACATCCCTTGGCTGGTTAAAAAACACCAAAGTGATATCAACTTCGCTCTGCATATATCACATATACATCTGATACATATCACATCACTCACTCAAAAAACCTCAGTTTCAACACCCCCCCCCAAAGTCTTTGTTAATAATAATTAACAGTATGTACCCAAATCGGGCGGAAAAGAGATGAGAGAAGAGTAAAGAAATTAGCAGCGGTAGTCAAAGTATCGATACTATTAGTATGGGGCATTATTATTCGGACCCAAGCAATACAGAGCAAGAGCAAAAGTAGCAAGATACAAGATACAATATATTCGGCAAGGGTACTGGAACACATATCCGCCACAAAACCGATCGGGTCATGTCGTCGTCGCCGCCTTTCCATCAATCACCGCCACCCCATGCACACATGCAGCACCAAATCGTGTGGTGGGCATATGAGATCCTCGCCTGACTCTGATCTGGGGGCGCCCCTTTGATGGGCGGCTAATGCATAGCGAGTGTTCAAAAGTGCGGACGGGGCAAGGGATGTTGCGCGATATCCGATCGGTGTGCATATGAACAGAGACAACGAGAGGCAAAGGCAACAGAGAGACAATCGCGAGGCTTTGGCTGCGCGGGGATGGGGAGGCTTACAAACGCAAGTTGACGACATAGAAATTGGACAGGGCCGCCTCGTTGCTGCAAACAGAAGCGGATCAAAGACAGCGGTGTTCAAAACAGAGTATCAAAGTGGATAACAGAGACAGGATAGGACAAGTCGCCAGACCAGGGTGTCGAAGCCAGGGTTGACCTGTCCGCCATATCACTCTTTCGTGACGAGACATTTGGCGGCATCTACACCGTAACTGCCAACATTCCCGGTCACCCGCTCTTTTCTTGGTGTCCAACGGTTATCGGAATCTGCTTCTGTGGCGGCCCAAGCATGGCAAGGCTTAACGGTTTGTCTCCAAGCAGCCACATCGCAACCCAACCATCCCACCTCTTTTCATGTGACCTAGTCCCAGGGAATTCCCCTCATAAACCCGCACCCAGAGACCATCCCAGGTCTCCTTGTACCAAGACGGTGGAAGAAGAAAGAAAGAAAAAACACCCAGCCCATTAACAACCATCAAATGCCCGTTTTCGTTATTCAAGATCCAGAGGCGAAAGAAAACGGGGGGAAAATGCAAAAAGAAAAAGTGGATATCTGCCCTTCTTTAGATACTACCCAAGGAAATTGCCAAAACAGGATGATGCAGCCCTTGCCGACCTTTGTCCGCTTCCCAAGTACCGAGCCAGCGCCGTGGTTCTTCCCATTAACCTCCAATATGTTTTTGATTTATTCTTGCTTTATTTTTTCCGGTCCCATGATGCGATTATTTTCCTAGATGCGTCGTATGCGAGTGATGAGATGGTAGGTAGTAGAGATGTGAGGAATTGTGTTGGTCAGGAGAAAGGGGAGGAAATGTGCAGCGAACGAGTAGGGATGAAGAAGAAGAGAATGTCCAAGAGGTGTGATCCCCTTCACACCATCTTCTGCTGTCTAAATAGCTTCTTTTTTTTTTTTTGGCTTTCAACTCCTTGACAGGTGACGTTGGTTTAACACATTGCCCATGCCAATAGCCCCAAGAGATGAAGATGGGGAATGAGAGTAATAAGTACTCAAGAGTAGATGGGAGTAGATGGCGTCGTCATTCATCGTAGTGAAAGGCTCTTTCCAAGAAGAAACCATTGCATCATAAGACGTATGGTGGAGAAGGACATCAGGTACTTTATGCCACAAGGGATGTTGTTTCTCATCGACACACTCTTCTGATTCCTTCATTCATTATTCCGTTTTCGCTTTGTTCCGTCGTCTTGCCGCGTAAAATGATGTCTCGTTCGCATCACATCTAAACAAGGCAGCAATGCCATCATAGGGGCTTCTGTGCCCAGACTACCCCCCAGTCGAGGAGAGCATGGATTTTGTTGTTGTCCATGGCCATAAGAGTCTCCTGACACAGTTGTCGTGCCTCTTCTTCTGATATTCCCAAGTCTTCGTGCCTGATGAGTAAGGCCGCGGTCCAGTCGATGAGGTTGTCCTGGTTGAACATGCCCATTTCCCTATCTCTTGAGCGCCGCGACCATCTGCCAACGGGAATCGGGGTATGCTGTTCTTGAATGTTGACGAAGCCCATGTCCCGGAGAATTTGCGGCAATCTCGGGGGAAGATAGAGCTGCCAGCCATATCGTCTTGCGAACGGTCCGTCGTTTACGAGGTCATATAGGCGCTGAACGGGATGATCTGTTGCTACAGTGCCGTCTTCGTACACTAGAGGTATAAAAAGATCGTGGCATTCAAGCCACCCGCCCGGTTTCAAATTCCTATGGCGTTTGGTCAGAATATTCTCTTACTCGCGGAAGGGGTAAAAGGCGAAGGACGGGGAGCCATCATCATCTTACTCGAAAGCTCTTTGGAGAAATAGTTCGGGGTTGCGAACGGTTTGTATGACTGATCTGGTATGGATAAGGTCGGCACCGGCGTAAATTCTCGTCCAAGGATGGTTTTCATCATCGAGATCCTCTACCCGAAATTCAACATTTGGCGGAGACCAGGGAGGTTGGATAGCTGAAATGTCGCTTCCAATGACACGAGCACTGGGGTATTTCTCGGCCACTTTGTGATTATGTTAGCTGACGCATGAATCAAATGGCATTCAAATAGCTCTTGACGAACCGTCGACAGGCCAAAATCCAGCGCCCGTGCCCAAGTCGACAATCTTCTGGGGGTTGCTGCCGATCGGTGAGATGAAGAATTCGCCGCCGAGGAGGTAATCCGAGTAGAGCCTGTGCTTGAGGTGCTCACGGCCCTGTTCTGTGTCGTCGTTTGGTAGCCCATATCGTCCCTCAAACCATCCCTGATACCGTCTGGCTACTGGTTAGCATTCATCCACTTGACTCGGCTTCTTGTCTTTGATTCTTCTTTTCGTCATCTACAGGTGGTAGGTAGCAGTGTATCGGGGCTTCATCTGTGACGTACCTGCCATTTCGGTATCTGTGAACCATCTGAGCGGTGTCGATGGATGTGAATTCAGAAAAGTCAATGCTGTCGGCATAGTCTGACGTCGAGTCCTCGCTCGAGCCGTGGTGATCGCCACCCGACCCCTGGTTACTCATGATCGCCTAGTGTATACAATAAAAGTGCCTTGAAGGCAAAAAAAAAAAAAAAAAAAAAAAGTAGAGAGGAGTGGGCGGGGGCAGAAAGAAGAGAGAGAATTTCAGAGAAGCGTGTGAGTTGTGAAGGCGTTCCCAAACCAGTTGAAGTTTTCTGCCAATGCAGACAAGCCCGTCGAGCAGAAGGCTGTAAGACGATGCCTACTGGGAAAGAGTGAGGAGGAGAAATGAGTAGAGTGCGCCTTCTGTGTTAGGGAGCCAAGGTCGATCTATTTTGAGACGGAAGTGGAAAGCTCCAAGAATGATTTGCAGAAGTGGGTGGTCCAGCCAGAGGAGGGAAGGGAAAAAAAAAAGGGCTGAAAGGGTGCCTCGATCAAATTGGCTACGGTACCATAAGAAGGCAAATGAGCCACGCCCCCAGAAACGAGAGAGCCCGAGCCGGAAGCAGAAATTTGGCACGGACGGAGAAGGACGCAGATTCCAGAAAACCACACGCGCACTATACACACCCAGACGAGACCGAAACACACAAAACGCAATGTCCTAGAGGCCCAGTAGGCTGGATCCAGCGTCACCGGTCGGGTCGGTGGGCACTCTAGGATGGGACCCGGCGAGGCAAGGGCTTCCTGCTGGCCAATGCGAGGCGCTCGTGGCAATCCAGAGTCTCTGTGCGTGTTAGGTCGCTCTCCCAGCGGCTTGGGATGGAGGGTCAGACAAGCACATAAGCACTGCCCTGACAGCTCTTATAGGCGGTGCGGTGCGGCGTCAGACAAGGTTCAGCGCTGGCAGTCAAGGGCCGGGCCCGCGGCAGGGATCCGGAGTCGAGCAGAAGAGGTGCTGGACGACGGACGGGAAAAGGAGATGCGGCAATTGAGCAGAGCCAGAGTCGTGAGGATAGAGTCGAGACGGAGCTCTGGCAGGCTGGACGGCGGGAGTCTGCTCAGTTTTAGCTGTACATGCGCAGGCGCGGTCCCCTGCTGCAGGCTGGAGGTACTGCTACCTCAAGGCATGTGCGCAAAGAGGACCCTCTGGGGGCGTGGAGCAGAGCGCCAAAAGCGAACAAGAGGGCGTGGCTCCAGGGCAAATAGGCTTCGGCTGTGATATGTGCGTTGGCCGTCGGTAGCCAGCGATCTGGGACGGACGTGATAGCGGGGTGGAGAGCAGCGGCTGGTTTTTCTTAGCAGGTTCCGTATTCCTGGGCCGTCATGTCGGGACTTGAGACCAAGTCGGCGGATTGGGAAGGGAGGGAGAGCAGCCGGAGTCATGGCGAGAGAGGAACGCAGAAGCGGCCAACGACGACGAGCAAAAGGCGGGGGCCTCTAGCAGCTCTAGCAGCTCGTCGAGGGCCTTTCCCGCAGGGTTCTGGGCATGGCTGCTAGCAGGCATGGAGTGCATATCTGATGCAGTCGGTTGAGGTGCAAGCCCGGCCTGGTGGCGCATGTGGCTGAAGCAAGCCGCCAGAGCAGGACCAGAAGAGGCCAGAAGCGGGCGGCAATGGCATGCAGCGGCGGAGTTAATTGGCAGCATGGCGAGTTCTGGCTGTCAGTTCGATTCATGGAGAGAGAGGCCTTTGCAAGACGTAATGAATGCGCGGTTGTACCTGGTAGGTACCGGGAATGACCGCTACAAGAGGGGCGGGCAGCCTGGTCCGAGCAGGCAGTACCTTGGGTATGAGACACTAAGGCAGCCAGTCCAGACGGGACCTGGAGTGGACTTGTGTCGTTTCACGGCCAAAGAAAATCTTCCGATGCGATGCGCCGAAGAGAGCAATATACCTGCTGTGTACGGAGTACGTGAGAGATGTTCCGACGTCTTTGTTGCGCCTCGATCCCCATTACCTTAGTATAGGTACTTACTACTAGTAGTACTACTAGTACCTACCATCTCGGAACCACCTCTGGTGAGCTCCTGCCATCTCTTGATTGGTAGAATCCCAGGCAGGTAGGAGCAGTCAAGGCGAGCACTAATGCCGACTATAGACTGAGCAGGAGCGCTCCAACTCCATATCCCAGAGGCATTGGCGTACTATCTAGGTATGTGCAGGAAGGAACTCACCTTTGGAGGTGTGGTAGCCCCGGCCAGGCAGTACTAATGTAGGTACTTGCCTGGTATAGTTCCTGCCTCGTTGTTGGGCACAGCTACCGACCGCCTTTGCGTGGGCCGCGACTGCTACGGCGGTGTAAATGATGCGTGCGGCTACTAACCGAGCGAGCTCCTTTGCACTCTGGGCTTCCAATGCTGCTTTGTCAAAGGAGCCTGGCGCCTGAGAGAAGCATCAAGGAGCATCGAGACACCGAAACGCCACATGCCAGAGGCAGAGACGCCGTTCCGGCTCGTTGGCATCATGATGAGTACAGACAAGGAGCGTCAGAGCAGCTAGCTGCTGGGCCACTAATGATGCCATGGTGTGCACTCCATCATGCGCGAAGCAACAGCTCATTGCATGGCTAAGGCAGTGGACCGTTCCGCTTAGCAGCTCAGCGCGGGCCATGGCCCAACAGCGTCTCAGGTCCGCTAATACAGTGCATTAGTTGGTGGCTGTTTGGATGATTGATACAGTAGGTACATGTACTCGTACAAGTACGTGAACGGAGCACGACTTTTCCGACCTAGTGCGCATGCGCCCTGCCAGAGACTTTGCTAGTACCAAGACATAGAAATCAATATTATACTCGTAGGTATCGATAATCACGAAGAGGCAGGGCGTGGGCAAACGAACAAGCAGAGACAGAAAGAGAGACGGCCATGTAGCGCCGTCTAGTTCGTCGCCAAGCCAAAACCATCGCCAAGCTCCCCTGGGCGACTTGTCCTGAGCAAGTCTACCGCCTTAGTGGTGGTGTAATACTTGGACCTACCTACTCTTCCGAAGCAGCCACCAGGGCTACAAGCAAATAAGCGAATCTAGTGGCTGTTCATATTGCTTCAGTACAGACGACACTGATACAACGGTCCTGGACAGGCTGGCGAGGTCGTCTTGCATTTAAATCAACAGCAGTCCAGACCCAACGCTGCTTGGCTTAACTGTGCGCACCCCCCTCTTCCGAAAAAAAAAAAAAAAAAAAAAAAAAGGACAAAAATTTCAACAGCCGGACCCGACAGTCTGGTGCGGTGTGTCATCCTCTGGCTGTCGGGGAGTGGGAGAAAAAGACCCGGGGGGGCGGGAAAACCAGCGTGGCAGCAGTCCACAGCTTGACACGAGCGGGCGTCTAGGCGCTACGCAAGGCCCTGGCAGCGTTCCGGCAGGTTCCCTTTCTCGGCCGCACAGCGTCGAGGAGCTGCGAAGCTACGAAATAAGGGCGGTGAGCAGGCCACGGACGTGGCGGCGCCACTCTAGACACCCGGACTGTCGAAGCCAGAATTGGACACTCCTCGCTCTGCGGCACAATGCAAGCCCGCGGATTACGGCCAGGAATGCGGCTGCGCTGCACTCCGGGTCTGTCTCAGCAACAGGCAGCTGAAGGGCAGAGCAGCCAACGCGTACCGGCCTGGCGGTAGAGACTGACGGGGGTTTTCTCGGCTCGGAGAAAAAACGCCGTCGTCGTCTTGTGCTGTGTCATCTCATCTCATCTCATCTGCGAGTGCGCGAGGGGTCGGATGGGAAACAAGAGGCGGCAACGAGCCAACAGCCAAGGCCAAGCGAGGCATCCTGGATGCACTCGGCAGTTCCGCAAAAGCTACGCGAGCCGTGCAATGTCGGGTGTACCGCTACAGGGCATCCCGATGCGACTGCAGCAGGCACGCACTGGTACCGACGGTGCGGCAGCGCTCTGGAAGCCGCACGCCGGGCGTTGGGAGCAAACATGTCGCTGTACTGTAGGCACAAGATGCATTCGTCCAGTACCTGTACTTGGACTTGGCGCTGCCAGCTCCAGCACGCGGCTAAGAGCACCGGGTCCCACCCTTCTGCCTCCATCTGAGGCTGATCTGCTACAGCCGGCAGCCGGCCCAATCCCAGTCCCAACGCCTCGAAGCTGGCGGCGGGGTAGAGCCTAGACGCCGACATGGTGAATGAAACACGACCAGCCAGCCATCCAGGCCAGTCCATCCCGGCAGATGTGCAGCGTGGCTGGCACCGGACGCCTCTTTCGCAGCACTGATTTGCGCTCCCAGCAGGCTCGCGCTGGCTTTCACATGCCTCCCTCATCCGGGCCAGAAATCAAACATCCGTCGAGTTCGGTGTCAGCAGCAACCTGTCCAGCCCACGCAATGGACGCCCTCTGCCGTCTTCCGCGCTCGAGTCCCAGGCGCACAGGCGTGCATGAGACGCATACGAGCATCAACATCGTACCATTCGTTGAATGGAGCCATCCACACCCTCCCTGGAAAAGGGTAGGGGTCAGAAAGGGTCTCTGGTCTCTGGCCTCTGCTCTCTGGTGCCGTCGTTCACCACACGGCTGGTAGAGAGGTTCGTGTTGACCATTCGGAATTATTACCAACATGATTAGTTCAGCCTCTTGTTCCAGCAGAAAGATCCCTATACTTGACTGTTTCTGACATTATGCCGCACGTCATTCACTGTACTGCCTGGGCCTACCAGCTACTGCGGATATCACAAGAGATGCCAGGATAACGAGGGCCGCAATACGGTACTAGCTAGCAGATGCTCTCTTCGGATCATTTCTTGCAAGCTTGAACCGTCTAGAAAAGAAGTAGATTGGTCGTCTCTTCCCCCCTTAAGAAACCGGATAATCGGTAGTAGTGTATGAATTTCCCCCAGACATGATCATGAGTTGTGCGATAATAAGTTAATGTGGTAGCTCTACGAGCTTGTTACTGTAATGGCTTTAACTAGTACGAGACGCCAGTGTTGCCTCGACTCTTACGAGATGTTATCTTCCCCTAGTGGTCATGAAGAAGCCAGCACTGGCCTCCATCTATGGACTCTTGTTTTGCTGTAATCTTAAAACAAGCTTCCTACCTCAGAGGCCGCTCCCTCTTTCTTGCCAAGGCAGTACTGCCACCTTGCATCGGATTTCCCGCCGAGTACTCTCGTATCCACTCATGTCACGCAGTTTCAAGTCCTCCGAAGAGTGTGTGGGTAAAATGGCCTTAGCTGCAGACTGAGTTGTCGTATATTTTTCCCTTTTAAACGGGTGCCGTATCATGGACCAGTAGATGAACCCACCGTTGGACTGTAGACTACCTATACCAGACATTACGCTGACTGTATTAATCTATTTGACAGCCGAGCGGGCCGAAATACATCTACTGTAGTATGACTTGCCCATTGCCAGCAATATTACTTGCATTGGGCGTTGGGGATGGACATCCGGCCTTGCAGCAGGTGAGAGGGGGATGATATATAGATTGGGTAAAAAGGGCGTTGGAAATTTAACGGGATACAGGACGGATACGGCCATCCCCTTTTTGGCCCGGTCCGAGGCAGGTGTCGCATGTATTAGGTATTTATTCCCTTTTTTCTTCTTATAGACTTGCATTGCTGAATGGCTAGTATCTCTACGAGCTTTTCTCCCTTTTTTTTTTTTTTTTTTTTTTTTTCCTTCTTCTTCCGTCCTTGTTCTTTAGTGTAGATAAAGGGCGCCTTCTCATGCATTGCATCTGCATTGCAACAGCAAACGGTTAGTGGCGAGGTTTGGCAGCGGGTTTTTTTCCTCAATCGGCCTGGAAACAGTGACAAATAACTGGATAGGACCTAATTAAACAAAAAGTACCAAGCTTTATCGACGTGGATACGGAAAATCGGGGAGGGTCTAGGCATATGCACAACATTTCACTCACTTACATACAAGTACATGCTGTCTATTCGCACCAGTTTATGGATCGGATTTTCTTTTGCCAGTTTCGCGGCGGCGTTCCGCATTCGCGCCCCACTTTCGTCGAGGACCCCTCCATTGATGCTTCCCGCTAAAGCTCGTCGCGGTGCGCGTCATTCAGTGGCTGCGTTTAATGGCCAAACGCGTTTTCTAGCGCAAAAACATGCCATCGTGGGCTTCGAGATCTCTGCAACGCAAACAAAAAAAAAAAATTAGAGTGTGTTGCCTTACATAGCCTTACAGCAGCTCGGCATAGCATCAGCGTCAGCTTCAGCATTTTATTTGCTCTTGGCCTTTTTTTTTATTCTTCTTACGTCTTGTGTATTTTCGCATTGATATGCTGCATCTGCTTTTTTAAAATCTTCTTCTCCACTTGAAACAGCCCTCCCATATTACATGTGCTATGCGCTTTGACGGCCCGTGTCTGACGCCAGTTCCCTTTTCTGTCACGGCCAGGCCAGGATCTGGGCGCGTGAACAGGGCAATTGTCTCCTATTCAACAAACAAAGAGAACAAGAGCTTTGCCTTGCAGCTTCCAGTCCATCATCCTCGACAGATTGGAGCTTCCACTGGGTTTTGATATAGCTACAGACGTACAGATTCGCCAATCCGAACCATGTATCTACCGCGGTCCCTGATATCGAAGCTCTACTCGCATCTGCAAAACACTCGCCATCCTCTCTCTCCGCCGGTATTGATCCTCGTCGCCCTCGAGCCGGACGCCCTCTGCGCATGCCGAATCCTCGCCCGCCTTCTCAAACATGACTATATTCCGCACAAGATCCAGCCCGTCGCGGGATACAATGACCTGGAAAAGGCTGGCAGGGAGCTGGTCGTCCCGATGATGGAGTCGCACGGCGGCAGCGGAGGCGTCGTTGTTTGCCTCGGCGTCGGAGGCATGGTCGACCTTGGGCCGCTGCTGGGTCTGGAGCCCGAGGGCGAGGAATCTCCCTACAGCGGCGTGGAAGTCTGGGTGCTCGATGCGCATCGGCCGTGGAATCTGGCCAACGTTTTCGGCGGCTTCCCTCTCGAACCTGTCAACCAAGTATCAAGCTCGTACAAGTCGAGGAGTCCAATTGGAGTCTCAGGGGGGGCAATCGATCGGGCATACAACTCGGGCAGGGGCGGAATTGTGGTGTTCGACGATGGCGACATTGAAGGCGATCTCACGACGGAACGCAAGGCATATCTTGCGCTTCTGGACATGCCAGACATTGAGGGTCAAGACGACGACGACGACAATAACTCTAGTGAGGATGACGATGACGAGGATGACGGTGATTTTGGCAATGAATCTGCTCATGCGGGGCAAAAGAGGAAGAGCTTGAATGAAGATGATTCCAGCGACGACGATGAGTCGCGGCCTCGCCAGCGGCGAAGAAGCAATTCCGTACGTATATAATACCAAAGTGCTGCTGCTGATTCATTGTGACGCAATTCTAACCAGACATGCACATAGTCGAGTTCGATAGTCGGATCTCCTACCCGACCGGAGCCCAGGGGTCTGCTGTCTATCCGAGATCCTGGTCCTATACTGTCAAGCGATCCCGTCGAACCCCCATCAGGCGCCCAACCCTTGCCCGCCGCTTCAGCCCGTGCTTTGAGAAAACGACTACTACGAATGCGACGAGAAAATGAGACCGTCTTACACCAATACTACAAGATGGGCTCGTCTTTTGCCGAGCCCATCTCATCAATGATGTACTCTTTAGCCTCCGAACTAGGTCGCGATGACAATGACCTTCTTTGGTTGGCAATAGTGGGCGTTACATCCATGGAGCTATATGGAAGGTCGTCAGCAGGGGTTGCTGCACCTGTTCGGTCTGGAGGTTCTGGGAAGCCATCAGGGTGGTTTGGTGTACGAGGTGCTCGTCTACGGCAACTCTTGCGAGATGAGGTTCGGAGACTGAATCCACCGGAAGTCGCAAACGGAAAGACAGTCCCTGAAAACAATGGCGTCATACCAACCACGGCGAGGAATCCTGAAGACACAGGGATCCGTCTCTCGCCCGAGCCAAAGTTTCTCCTGATTCGACATTGGAGCCTCTACGATAGCATGCTACACTCACCATACCTATTCTCTAGGCTAAAAACTTGGAGTGAACCGGGCATCAAACGACTGCACAAGCTTCTCGCCAAGATGGGGGTCAGCTTGGCGCAATGCAAGCAGAATTACACTCACATGGATATGTTACTAAAGCGTGAGCTCAGAGCGAAACTGTTAAAATACGGGTCTCTCTACAACCTCGACGAGATGGTTCCCTCGGTCGACACTGATGGTAAAGATCGAGCGGGAGCCAAGGATGGATGGGGCTTTGTCCGAAGTTGGGGCTGGCGCGCGACTCTCAGTGCTCAGGACGTCGGTGTCGTGATTGGTGCACTATTGGAAGTGGGCAGACACGCTCAATCTCTAGAAGCGATAAATCCAGGGCCAAGCCAGATGACGCGGGAGATGGAGGACGAGTTGGAACTGGCTGCCCAAGGCGATGAGTGGATTACTCGGTTTTGGGAAGCTTATGACGCGTTGGAAAAGTGAGCTAGATTCATTTACAATTGTGGAAGAAGAGACAGGTTGTACTGACAAGTTTTGTAGCATCGACGCGCTGAAAGCTGGACTACCGACCGCACAATTCCTACACCGTGCAATCTACCGAACGGGGACATCACTCATCAACAAGAAGCAAATCAAGCACCTTCGGGCTTTCCGTATGTGTGTTGTCAAGGATGGCCCGGACGTAGCTCTCTTTACCCACCCAGCGGCGTTGACAAAACTGGCTCTCTGGATCGGAGAAGCATTAGCCGAGCAAGAAAAAGAATCACACGGAAAGCTATCTCACGGTGGCCGTGGAACACCCCTGGTGGTAGCAAGCTTGAACGAGAAGCGCGGAGTTTACGTTGTCGTCGGCACAGGTGGCGGTGGTGGGCCAGATGCCGTCTTCATGAATAAAGCGACCAAGCAGGAGAGACAGGCAAACAAGGACGCCAAGACCAAGAAGAAAGAAGAGGCTCGACAAGCGAAAGAAAAGATTAAACAGGACAAGCGCGCCGCTCGACGGGCTGCCGCTAATGACGATGACGGCGACGATGACGAGCTGGAGACGGAGTCTGAAGGGTCAGAATCATCGGAATCAGAAGATGATTCGGATGATGATGATGCGGAGAATGACCGGAGCTATGGCCTGAACAAGTTTGGAAATGCATTCCAAGAAGTCGTCTCCGAGACGAGTGCGCGCGTGAGAATCGACAGCTTTGAGCATTCTGTTGTGGAAGTCAAGAAGGAGGACTTGGGGGGCTTTCTTGAGAGTCTGAGCATGAAGGCTGTAGTTGGTTGAATATTTTTTTTTTTGTCTATACTCTTTGAAAAATCTCTTTATTTTACTATTTATTTGTATTTTTTTCTCGTGGGTGTTACAAGGTGAGCGGGAAAGGATATTGAAATAAGACATGGACCTGAATGGATGGGATGATGGGAGTTTATGAATTGGCAGCTGTCTGGGTATGAGAAGCATAGAGATTGAAGACGTTTCTTCTTTTTCCCCCCCCTTTGATTGCATCTATCATTGTATGTCCTCGTGGTAATTGATTTGTTTGGCCCTGCTGTTTTTTTCCTGTTGGTTCTTATGTTGGATGTTACGAAAGCGCTGCTATACCTTACAACTAGATGATTCAGAAATATTTTCATACGATCCCCAAAAAGAGACAAGTTCATTCACACGCACATTTGCAAGGCATGTATTGATGCGGCAATTCTTTCCATTTTTTCCCATGTTATTTATCACGATCCTACATACTCCCTCCGCGTTCCATGAGAGCGCCAGATCAACTATCTCAACGCCCCTTTATTGATATCCCATTTCGTCTCATTCCTTTTTTTCCTTTTTTCTCTCTTTTCACACTCCAACAGTTAGTTATATCCTCTTCATCCCCCCGTTTTTAACCGTTAATGACAACGTTGAGACCGCTGCTCTGGAAGCCCTGGTTCAGCGCCACGACGACTTGCTTGGAAGTGACCATTGACAAATCAGCCAGTGTCTGGAGGACGACGACTTGGGAGAGCAGCTGGATCTGTTGAGCGCCGTTGAGGCTGTTGATCTTGCCAACGTTGAGGACGCCATCGAGGCCGAGCTGGGCGAGGGCGCCGCTAATGGCATCGCCAAGGCCGTTGTTGTTATTGTTGTTGTTGTTGCCGCCCTTGCCACTGCCTTTGCCTTTGCCCTGGCCCTGGCCCTTTCCTTGATCCTTGCCCTTGCCCTGACCCTTGCCCTTACCGTTGCCTGCTGAGGCAGTACCGTTGCCAGCAGCGGGAGGAGGAGCAGCATCGGTGGCTGCGGGGGGAGGAGGAGGAGCAGCGGTGGCATCGGTAGCTGCAGGAGGAGGAGCAGCAGCGGTAGTTTCAGTAGCCGCGGCAGGAGGAGGAGCGGCGACTGAATCAGTGGCTGCAGGAGGAGCAGCAGCGTTGTCCGCACCGGCCGCAGAAGTTGTGGTAGCAGCAGCAGCAGCAGCGCTCGTGGTGGTAGCAGCAGCGCCCTTCTTGTCAGCAGCGGCATCAGCTGCAGGGGGAGCCGCGGTGTTGGCATTCAGGGCAACCAAATCTCTGGCGAAGACGACATCGACGGCGTGCTCAAAGAAAGATCGAGCAACAGGAGCATCCTGAATCTCCGAGCGAGCAGCGATAGGCTGAGCCGGAAGAGCTGTTGCCAGGCCAGCGGCAGTAAGAAGAAGGACTGAAGAAGGCTTCATCTCGAATGATGTGAAAAAGTGAAAAATAAAAAATAAAAAAAAGTTGAAGATAAGAAAGTCAAGGAATGGTTCAATCAAGCAGAGGTTTCAGTGAATCGAAGCAACAGAGCACAGCTCTTGTTGAGGAAAAAAGGAGAAGAATTGAATGTAAATGAGTGAAGCGCAGCGACCCTGAGGAAAAAAAAGAGAAGAAACAAGAACTGAGGGGGGCGGCGGAGAGGCATAATATACTCCTCTTCCATCTCGTGGAAAGAGGATACCTCGGATGATTCCGTGGCCAAGCTTTGGACCAAGCTTCGTTCTGCTTCGACCTCATCCGAAGCCTGGCAGCTAGGCAGCGAGGTATCATCGCTTGCGCGCTCTCCCTGAGACCGGATGTGGTGATATCCAGAGGCTACATCCTGGGGATAGAGCCCCTGGTCGGTTGGGTGGTTCCTGGCTCCAATGCCGTTCCTGATCTCGGCTGATCACCGTAATGTCATGGGATACTCCATAATACCCCAATGAGGACTGGAGAGACTCCTGGGCTGGATGCGGTGGAAGCCAAGCTTCGTGAATCGGAAAGACTGGAGGATTCAACGCGAAACACGAACCGTCTCCCAACAAAGGCGATTGAGAAGACGAGTGCAAATGATGCGACACAAAGTCCAAGGCCCTCTCAGTGTAAGTCAGCAAAGCTCAAACTGAGCCATCGCAGGATTGGGCATGGTGCGGGTTGAGAAGGCTGAGCGATGGTCAAGGTGAGGCGTCGCAGAAACGGCTAGGGGCCCTGCTGAGGAAGGCTGCCGAATGCGGCAAGTGTCGCTGTATGGGGCAACAAGCTGTCAACGCTCTGCCGGCTCCCACGTTTGAGAGGCCGCGGGGCAGGTTTCAGGCCCCGGCGACTCTCAGACACCAGATCGCCCGGCAACAAACAAAGCCGCACACAGGGCCAAGGTCTGGATGGCGGCAGCAGTGTGATGGCTGTGATGGCTGTGATGGCCGTGCAGCTGCTGCCAAGGAGCCGCTCGGTTGGGGTCGCGCCAGAGCGTCCCCTGTTTGGAAGTTTTCTCGGGACGTTTCTCACCACCAGGTTGAGAAATCCTTGCAGAAACATAAACGACGCACCCCCGCCTTACTTACAGGCTTATTGCTAAGGTTTTCAAGGTTAGTTAGAGTTATCTCTAACAATAATCAAGCGATAATTCTGGTATTGGTGTGACCAGCTATCTCTTGAGGTTTCGGCTGTTTGCGGAGGCGCCCGGAGGACGGAACCTATAAGAGCTTGTGAGCTAAACATAGTAACAAGGACAATTCAAAAGACACAAAGCTCGATAGATGACATGTCTCTGTATAGTTTGCTGTCACAGTTGTGCCCGAGTCAGGCATGAAACAAACACCGCATCTCTCGGCCGGCCCTGTTGAGTCGGTCCAGGCACATTAGACGCATTGTCGATTTCTGCCTCAATTCACTCATTCACAAAACGGTCTTGCGCTGAAACTCGGCACTTTTGGCTCATTTGTCGGTTTGTTTCTTTTTATTGTTCTTTTTGGGGTGGTATCAATCGTCATCTGCTTGCCCTCGTCTTGTCATTGGTGGCGTGGAATCCAAGCCATTCTCCCAGCATGCCTCCGGGCTTTGGTACTGGGCACTCTCTCTTTGCTCGCTCCTCCGCATGCTCAAAGTCGTCGTCCGTCGTCTGGCTGAATTGCACAAGCCCGTCCTTTGCAACGATAGCGTCCCTGCTCCTCCATCTCTTCCGTCTGCCGTTCTCGTCGACGATAATCTCCCCATCGGCGTACTTGGTCCGCGGCACCGGGCATGGCAGAACATGCGGCAGCGCAACGACGAAGAAGCTGGCAATCAGCGTCGTAGCGAAGAGGGACGAGGTCATGCGCGACCTGGGGTGAAGATGTGGTGTCATGGCTGGGCAATCCCCGGGAGTTAGCGGGATTGATCGGATGTGGTGTTTGGAGCTGCAAAGTTTGCCATGTTAGTCGAGCTGCTTCGATACCGGCGACAGCCAGCCATTGGGGGCTCACAAGGGGATCGTGGCATGTTCCTGCTGGCCACGATACACGCCCAATTGGAGGTTGGCGATGAGCGTCTTCTTAGGAGCAGAGCCCAGGACCCATAGCTGCTGGCAATTCGAGCGGGCAGGAAAAAGACGCCCGGTGGTGCAGAAGCGATTTCCCGATGATTCGATAACAAGCTCTCTGATTGGCTGGGCGCCTAGCTTGGAGCTAGAGGTTGCCGCATCCGGAGCGCGGCGCAACGTAATTCCTTCGGGCGTCCCAAGCACTCGGGAGCCGCACTTTAATAAGGTGCTGAAGCGCTAAAGTGTCCACTGAGAGCTGTAACCCTGCCAGGTCTGTATCAAACGCTTGAAAGCGCGGCTTATATATGAGTCCTTTCTGCCTTGACTACCTTTACATAAAGCAATCATGATATAAAATGATACGAGTAATAGTGTTATAATTATGCATCTTGTAAATTGAACAACTAGTTTCTAAAAAATTCATGTTGAGATTTGACAGCGGCTGGCGCAGTATTAGTAGTCACTGAACTCAGAGGTCGTACGCAGTACCGCAGTATTAGCGCAATAGCGGGCATGCCACTTTAATCCTGAGAGCAGAACGCGATAGCGCCGATCCATTTTTAATCTTCAACCTCTCTTATCTGCCCACGCGACTCTGCCTTTTCCAATATCAAGCGAGCATTGGCTACTGCTTGATCTTCAGCGACTGATCTCCGAGATATGTTATAGCCGCCTTATTATCCGATTCGAGTATCGCTGCATCCCGACCGGCGCACCTCTCGTGCGACCTCTGTCGACCTTTCACCTTTCTCTTGCCTCTCCCATCATGAGCGATCTCGACAAGTCAGTCTCGCTTCAACCTGGCCTCGGCGTGCTGATTGTCCACTAATGCCGTCTGCAGGGCGATCGCGCAACTGCGCTCATGCCGCCCCATTCCAGAAGACCAGGTGCGGGAGCTCTGTCACCGCGCCAGAGAGCTGCTTATCGAGGAGGGCAACGTCGTCACCGTGACGGCGCCGGTAACAGTGAGCCTCTCTATCGACACCCTTTGATATAGCAAGGATGGGCTTTAACCAAAGATTGCGTGTAATGATTAGATATGTGGTGATATCCACGGCCAGTTTCACGATCTCATGGAGCTGTTCCGCGTCGGCGGCGACGTGCCCGACACGAATTATCTCTTTATGGGTATGGCATCTCCTTTCAACCCTTCTGACTGCGTATCATGAAAACTAACACTTGTGGAATTTGTTAGGTGACTTCGTCGACCGTGGCTTCTACTCTCTCGAATCATTCTTGTTATTGCTTTGTCTCAAAGTCCGATACCCCGACCGCATGACACTGATCCGCGGCAATCACGAATCTCGCCAAATAACGACGGTATACGGCTTCTACGACGAATGCCTTCGCAAATACGGCAGTGCAAACGTATGGCGCTACTGCTGTGACGTTTTTGACTATCTCGCCCTTGGCGCCATAGTTCTGGGAGCGTCCAGCACTCTCTCGCCTGGCATGCCGGATGACGACGACACCGAAATCGAAGTATGCGACCAAGCAGGCTCCATCATCAGCCGCTTTCCTCGGCAGCGCGCCAACCAATCAGCGTCCCAAGAGAAACTCGAAGCTCCTAACAAAAGCACAGCAGACAAGACTGGTCCGCCTGGTTCAGGAGCGTCAGGATCCAGCAGTGGAAGCGTGGGCAATCCGACAGGAGCCATTCTCTGTGTGCACGGTGGATTGAGCCCGTTGGTTGACACAGTAGACAAAATACGGCTCATCGACCGGAAGCAGGAAGTCCCGCACGAAGGAGCCATGTGTGATCTGCTGTGGTCCGATCCAGACGAAATTGACGGTTGGGGTCTCTCGCCCCGAGGCGCTGGGTTTCTATTCGGAGCCGATATTGTCAAGGTTTTCAACCATCGGAATGATCTGAGTCTCATTGCTCGTGCGCACCAGCTGGTCATGGAGGGATTCAAGGAGATGTTTGATGCCTCCATTGTCACCGTCTGGTCAGCTCCAAACTACTGCTACCGATGCGGCAATGTTGCGGCCGTGCTGGAGCTTACAGAGGATGAGTCAGGTACAGGCATTTTCCAGAGGACAAACGGAGATGTAGGCCGCAGTTCTGGCGCCGTTATTGAGTCGAGGGGTGGCCCGAAGAATGGCCCTGCTCGACGATATCGGGTATTCCAAGCTGCGCCCCAAGACTCTAGGGGGATGCCAGCCAAGAAGCCAGTCGCTGATTATTTCTTGTAAGATAGAGATTGCTTGTTTCTTTTTTTACGGCCATTTAGAGGCTGCTTCTTCACCCCCCTTGGTCAAGTTACCATTCCTGTATATTTGGTAATCAGTCCTATCCAAGCGCAGCAGAGGGTTGTACGAATGTTTTTACTTTTATTTCCATTTTCTGGAGGGCGAATATACATGCACTTGGGTTACGAATATTGCTATGGCGTAAGGGGTTTTCACATATTTATATATAGCACTAGACATCATAATGATACCGCGTATTGCCTGGCTTTGAAAGATGTTTTTTTGTTTTTTCAATGTAATTGAATTATACTACTGAATGGTTGGCTGCATCATCCGAACAATTACCACTGTATATACTGGTGACACGAGTTGTTTGTTGTAGATTAGAATGCTATGAAGGAAGTATAACATCATAATGGCCACAACAAAGTTCATATTTAAAATCAGCGTCATGCAGCAACAGATTCTCTGGAAGGCTGAATCACAAGAAAACTAATACCATTTCATATTACTAACAAACTTTCTTTATTTTGTCCTATTATGCTTTTCTTGATCAAGCCTACCTCTATGCAGAGAGCATCTCTTGGCTGATGGTTGATAGAGTCAAGGGTAGTTCAAGCAGACATCAACAGGCGACAGCTTAGTCATCACGCCCGCTGTCATGTCAACCCCACGGCACGCGGGGCAAGTCGTCGATTCAACCTTCAACCTAAACCAGCTCCAGCTCCACACGCTGCTTCATCGTCGCCCATACAACACTACACTCTTCACCTGTAGGACTACCCCAGCAGCAGATTTTCCCTTCACGAAGACGATTCTATAGCGGTATCAGCTACGGGCAGCTCCCCCTCGCCACCATGGATACTGCTAGCACCGCGAACCCGGCCAACCCTCCAACGTCCCTCAAGAACCCCAGTGAAGGCTCGCTGCTGTCCGCCCAGAAGAGCTCGCAGCTCCAGGCCGTATTGCATCCGCTGGTGCTCCTCACAATTTCCGACTACATCACACGACACACACTCCGAGAGAGCAAGGGCCCCATTATCGGAGCTCTCCTGGGCCAGCAGAATGGCCGAGAAATCACCATCGAACACGCTTTTGATTGCCATACCCAGGAAGCTCCGTTGATAGCGGGAGGCTATTTGATTGATCCTGTAAATTTCAGCTCAAGATTGGAGCAGAGTACGTCGACTCCAACATACGACAACCCGAGATCTGCTCAATGCCTTGCTAACCGCTGCATTTGCTTCCAGTGTGCCTTGTCCACAAGGATCGAAAACTAGACTTTGTCGGCTGGTACACCTTGCTGCCACCGTCAGGTCCCTCATCTACCGTCTTGCCTATCCACAGCCAGATCCTCGAGGGCTGGAACGAATCTGCCATTCTGCTGGGCTTCCATCCCCAAGAGGTCATGGAGCACTCGGTTGGCGGTAAACTGCCGCTGACCATCTACGAAAGCAACTACGAAGTCGACGATGCCAAGGCTGACAACGATGGAGAGGATAAGAAAATGGAAGATGGAGATACCTTGCTCAAGCTAAAGTTCCGAGAGGTGCCGTATTCCGTCGAGACCGATGAAACCGAGATGATTAGCATGAACTACGTCGCTAGTGGTGGTGGAAACGCCGCTGCTAGTGCCCCTGCGTCAGCTGCCAAGGATGAACGACCTGCTCGCTCGATTGAGTCAAACGGAAAAGGAAAACGAAGGCTAGTGGAAAGCGAGGTTGACGAGAAGAAGGATGAGCCACTGGATGATGCAACAGTTCTCACGCGGGAGGAGGATGAGATGCTTGCCTCGTTGACGGCCAAGGCAAACGCCATAAAGATGCTGCACTCTAGAATCCAGCTCATCACTGCTTACCTGGAGCGTCTACCACCTTCTTTTATCACCGGAGCTTCTCAAGAGGAGAGCATGGATACGGACTCCAACAATACCACACCGTCGTTGAACGTCATTCGACAAATTCAAGCTCTCATCAGTCGGCTCGACCTCGTCATCCCTTCAGACAAGGAAGCTTTCGAAAAGGAAGTACAGAGCGAGACAAACAATGTCAACCTTGTCGGGCTGCTAAATTCCATCATGCAGGGTGTAAACCAAGCACGAGACGTGGGCAAGAAATTCCATGCCATTGAGTCTAGCAAGCATGCGGCAGCTAGACGTGGTGGGACATCAGACTACTCCTCTACAACTGCGTATAACGTTCCAGGCACAGGCGATATACTCGTTTAGTGATGAAAGATGTCTGCGTGGCGTTGTAGAAACTTTTCTTTTAGCTTTCATTTTCTTTTTCTCCTGCTTTTAAAGGCATTATGACGAGGCGTTTTTTTGTAATAACACAAGGGAACGATTGGTAGATATTGATATGACGAGGACTGGCGTTTGGTGTGAGACAACTGGTGCTATAGGTACAGACATGCTGCGAAAAAAACAAATGACACATATGGATAGGTGACTTTCTATGTCCATATTTCCATCTTTATTCGTTGACTTTAGCCCTTCAGTAAATTGATATAAACATGTGCTCGTCTGAAGGAAAAGAAGACTAGTAATTTTTTTAAGACAACAGCCACGCACACTTTTGGCAATCAAATAGCAAGTTGAGTATAGAAAGCGCATCATCCATCATATAATAATCATCTCTCTCATCTCTCTCTCACTCCTCTTCTTTAGAAAGTGCTCGTTGCCAGCCTGCTCGCCGCATTCCGCGCGTCAATTCGGTCCTCATCATCCTCTTCCAAACCAGCCAGGTTGCCGAGACCGGAGCCAAGCTTGCCTGATCCAGACTCCTGGCTATCTTCTCCTTCAGCCTCTTCGGCCAGCTTGCCGGCGCCGGACGTGGTGCGGCTCGTGGCGTCCGACCGACGAGGAACGCCGCTCCAAGCATCGCCCTTAGGACCCTGGCTGGCAGCGAGGCTGGTTCGTCGCACAGTGGGGTGGGATTCGCGACCTAGGCGGCTGAGGCCACCGGAGGCGTCGATGGACCGAACGTCTGCTCGGACGCTTTCGAGGAGAGCCAGGGTTCGACGCTCGGCTTCAATCTCTCGGAGGACGAGTTCGCGGATTTCCATACGCAGGTCGCTGGCTGTCCTGTCGAACCATCTGCGGCGCTCCTGGACGAGGGTCTGGGTGACTCGGCTTGTCTTGTTGAAGAGGTGGGTTTCGTTTGTCCGGGCCTCGTCAAGCGCCGAGATTGCCTCGTCGACCTTTTCGCGTCTGACGCTGGAGCTGGCTTTGAGGCGATCGGCGGCGTTTAGCTTGCTCCGCGTGACTTCCTGGGCTTGTAGGAATTCGCGGATAAGGATCTGTCGATTGGTGAGGGTCTCCTTGACGATGAAGGCATCCTGAGAATGATACTGGAAGGGGTCTCCAATGGTAGCTGCTTCGGCTGTGGCTTGGGCGGCGTGGTAGTCGCCAACAGTCTGAATGACTCGGCCAAGCTTCTTGTAGGCGTTTGCCAGGCCCGGATGCGGTTCCTGGACGTGCATGGCGCCGAGTTTCACACCATAATCAGACTCGGCAAGACCAAGGCCTGCAAGTCATGTAGAATTAGTATGATAGGAAAGGAGAATTTCTTGGCGGGCATCATGATTGATTTTACCTCTTCTAGCCTTGACAAGCTTGTCAACCTTGTGGCCTGCATCCATCGTGCCAAGATAAAACAGTTTAACGACGGGACGAGCCTCTGCGAGCTCAGGGGTATCGTCGGGAGGCGGAGCAAACTGCTTCAAGATTTTCCTGCGAACGCCAGTTGCGGGCTGCTTCCTCTTCACCAACGGGCTGTAGCCGAAATCACTCTCAACGAAAAGCACCATCTCGTCATCTCTCATTAATACCTCGTTCCCGCACACGTAGTTGAACCATCTCTGCATCAAGGCCTTGACTCGGGATTCGTCCTCCTCTGTGCCGGCGCCAGCTGATGTGATGGCAGGAGGGACTGCGGGCACCAACGCCTCGGGATTGGCAGATATTAGGTGCTCGCCAAGCTTGACGAATTCGGAATGCAATCGTCGGACATCTCGGTACTGGGTAGTGCGGAATCTTGGCAGGTTTGTCTAGGAGAAGCGAGCCGGTTAGAATTTCTCGCAATGTTTTACAAGTGAGAAATAGGCAAAGCAGCTTACATGTACGTCGAATCTTAGAATGGGATCCTTCTTTCCTGTGCGCTCCAATCCTGTAATCTTCGCCTGCAGTCGGAATTGGGGCTGCGGGGGCTTTCGAGGCTCTTCCGGCTGGGCGTCTGTCGCAGCAGCTGGCTGCCCCTCAAATCCAGCAGACTGAGCAACATGCCCGGATCCGGGATGCGCAGCCAGTGCCGCCTCGTCCTGCTCTGCTGGTGCAGGCGTGGCTACACCAGACACTGGAAAAGAGTCCTCTCCGCCATGCACCAGGCCGTTGGACGATTGCGGGGTGTACGGGAACGCGGGGACAGGAGCATCGCCCGTGATGCTTCCAAAGGTCGTGCGATCATGCTGGGGAGAGGAGCCTGGAGTATTGCCCCATGGAGAAGCCGCCGGGTCTTCGGTCTCGTGTATGGAGGCGCTGTAGTCCATGATGAGGCGTTCGTTCCTGGTGGGCACTCTGGACGAGAGGCAATATTGGAGCAGGTATTGGCGGAGAAGGGCGAGTCTTGGAGAGGTGGGTGTTGGTTATGAGCGATTCTCTCACGATTGGGCGTCGCTCATGCCGCAAAGCCCGGTGAGAAGACGGCTGAAGATGAACGCGCAAAGCTGATGGCGTCTCCAAGGCAAGCTGGTTCGGTTCGGCTACGTAACTGGGCAGGCTGGCGACGACACCGAAAGTGGGCACGAGAGGTGAGTTCTGGGGAGCGAGCCGTCATTGGCCGACTAGGCGCGGCTTATCGCGCTTAATTAGACGCACGAGAGCTCTCTTATCGTGGCTACATGCGGCATAGCGCGGGGTTCTTTGGACGCAAAAATTCGTTATCGAAGCTCTAATCCACTGCGCTTTGCGGCGAGCCAAAAAGATTGCATCGTCACTGCGGAGCGCGCGCGCATAACCGAGTTTCCAAGTCGCAAAACATAAAGACAAGTCACAATGGGCAAAAAGAGGTCAAGAGAAGAGGCCAAGGACGTCCCTCCGGCAGATGGCGGCGCTGATCGCATGGACGAGGACAGCAGCGATGACGAGGTGAGATGAGGCGAGATGCGAGAAAGCTCCAGCTCTGTATTGCTGTCGCTGACATTTGCTAGGACTTTGACATGGTCAATGTTGATTTCGAGTGGTTCAATTTCGATCCCGAAATCGATTTCCACGGCACAAAATCGCTACTTCGACAGCTCTTCGATGTCGATGCCAACCTCTTCAACATGTCTGCTCTGTCAGACCTTATCCTATCACAACCGACCATTGGCTCGACAGTCAAAGTCGACGGCAAGGCCAACGATGCCTACGCCATGCTCACGGTCCTCAACACATATGAACATCGCGAGAAGGAGCCCATGAAGGATATTCTCAAGTACCTGGCGGACAAGGCCCAGACCAACCCCTCAATATCTGCCGTGGCCGAGCTCATCAACGCACAAAAGCCCGTTGGCCTCGTCTTTTCAGAGCGGCTCATCAACATGCCGTCCGAAATCGCGCCTCCGCTGTACACCATGCTGGTTGAAGAGGTGGAAGACGCATTGGAAGATAAGGAGCCATACGACTTTTCCTACTACCTGGTATTCTCCAGGACGTATCAGGAGGTTGAATCCACCCTTGATGTGGAAGACCGAAAGCGCAAAAAGGCCAAGGAGGAGGCGTCGACATACCACTTCCACCCCGAGGATGAGATTCTACAGAAATACGCAGTAGCACACGGCAGTTTCCGATACACGAAAGAAGATGATGCGGTGGCAGATAGCAAGCGAGCGTTTCAGGAGTTGGGTATTAAAACATTTGGGCACATGATTCTCATTGAGGCGGGTAAATTCAAGGAGGCCGTCAAGGCCGTTGGTGACTATATAGCTGCGCCGCAGTGAAGACAATAATAATGAATTGCTCTATTGATTTGCCCCACTATTCTGGTAGGAGCCTCTGCATCAAGTACTCAACTTCCACCTCCTTGGTCAATGGAATGACAAAGTCCTTGTACATGGACACCACCGCATCTACATTGATCTTGACAGGCTGCTCTATTCCTCCCAACGTTGACGGGTCCTTACCGTACGTCTCCGCCTTGAGACGTAAGCGATCGAGCACTTGCTGCTCCACGGCCCTGTTGGTGATGGACTCGCCAATGGCCTCCCGATCCTCAGCTTTAATCAGCCGTGTGTAGAGCTCAGGGTCCGACTGGAACTTGGACTCGGCGACGAATTTGCCAAAGTGGATTCTCCTGGATAGTGCCTGTAGACAAGCGATATCGCAAGTGGACGTCGAGCCGTAGTTTTCCTGAGACTCTCCCCGGTCTTCGCGGCCAAAGTTGGGGCACGCAACAGGCAAGAACTTTTCAATGTAGAAGTCTTTGATCTTGTCGTTGACGCAAACGTCGTTTTTGTGTAAGATCTTGGGATAGTTGAGAGGCTTTAGCAGGGGTTTTTGGATAGCCTCTGGGAAGAAGGCGTATTCGTCGGGTGACTCGAAACGGCGAATAAGAGATTGAAGCTTCTCTTGTTGCGAAAAGTAATAATCAAAGAAGCTCAGGCCGCTATCAGGGATGGGAAGAGCTCCTGGCGTGTAGATGGTCTGGACAGAGCTTGGTTAGCAATGCGCATGCTTATAGGACAGATCTTGTCGAGGATGGCATCCGTGCATCACCTTATTTAGAGGAAACTGGACTCTCTCAATGAGATGGAAGGTGATTGTGTCTTCGAGACGGCTGCGCAGCGTGTTAGACGGTTGGAAAAGACGGTCAAGGAGTACGCAGTAGGGAGCAGCGATACTGACATGAGCTGGAAGCGGATGCGCGAAAGATCCAGCGCGCGCGAGCTGTCGGCCATGTCCACGGCGGAATCCATGTTTCGCGATTGAGCTTGATGTGAGTCGTCTTGGGCAGCAAAAGAATCGAGCTTGATGTCGTTGGATTGCGCGCAGCAAACAGCTCAATGAAGGCTTTAAATACCAGACTCCGACTCCTTATACACGCATCCGCAAAAGGATTCAGTGGTAAGGTAAGCTGACGTGCAGGAAGGCCTCAGATCTGCAATGCGACCGTGGTGGGGGAGTTGACGTGAATTGGAGGTTGAGCCGCTCCCGAGACCGGCGTCTGACGGGACTCATCTCACGGTCCAAAGCCAAGAGCCCCTCCATTCTTCAGCGGCAGCTTGCGATTTAGTAGCGGCAGTAGTAGCAGCAGCAGTACCTACATGTAGTAAGCGCAGTGCTCAGCTCAGTTTGAGCCGCTAATGTTGCGACGACGCAAGTGGAAACCGTAAGACGACTGGATTCTGCGATTGTGTAAGACGTAGATTATTAGATCTCCGAATGCTGTTCGGCGAGGCACACATGGCGTGCTATTGGCAGATATTAGCCGGTATCACACTGGATCAATTGCTAAAGTGTACATGTATCAACACAATTGATCCTGGGTATCTGGGCCTAGGGTCCCCTGGAGATCGAAGCTGTTAGGCCTTGCTAGGGTGCTGTATCAACCGCCGTCTAGCCCTTGCGCCCCCGGAAAAGCCCCCAGTGGGGCATCGAGCGAACCGCACAGGCGAGCGAGAAATACAGAGGCGCACTAGCAGAGACATTGCCGAAACACCTGCAAAGGCCTGCAATTCCAAGCATCATGCGAGCGCTGTACTGCCTCCCAGTACTTTCATGTAGCTATGCAGTCAAGATACGTAGTGCAACGGCTAAGCGTAGTGCAACTGTACCTCAGGATCAAGGCATCACTGTCAAAGAAACAAGTAAAGACAACATGAACAAGTCGAAACTACAAGGGAAGCTGCGCAGAGCTAGAGGGGTGCATGGACGGTGGTACGAAACGCTGAACAGACCAGTAAAGACCAGTAAAGACTAGTAAAGACCAGTAAAGACCAGTAAAGACCAGTAAAGACCAGTAAAGACCAGTAGAGGGCGGCTAGCACCGCCTGTAAGGCAGCATAGCATGTACATAATAGCCGGGGCCCGGGCTGTCCTGCATTTTCTGCGCGCGTCATCCATTGCCGTACCCAGGCCCCAATTTCACACCCGCAAGGCCATGTCCATTTTTTGCGATGCAAACTCGTGATTCTTCCTCACCTTGAGCGACACCTGACGGAAGACGTACTTCATCCTCGCGCCTCACGAGTCTCGCCCAGCGCCGGCCGAGCCGTTGAGTAATGACCGACTCGGAGAGCCATTACGCCTTCGACGATGGCCCCGATGACGAGCAGTCCATCATCTCGGTATGTCGCCAGCCGCAAGAGCAGCGATAAAATTCTCTTCAGCCGACCGCAATGCCGAGGCCATTGAGCTGTCGCTTGCAATTGTCTATTGGGCGCAATGAGCTAACAGTCTTGTTCCCTCCCACCGCAGACCCGAGGGCTTGAGGCATTCAGTCGCAAGGTTACTGTCACGGCGAGCCAATTGATGGGACCGGCCGCCGAGGCTTCGGGAATCCATTATCGCGCCGCCATGGCCGAAGTTCACAAGCAAATGAAGCGCCCCAGCGTGCAGCGCGGCGTCTTTTCCATGGCCCGCTCGAGCCCTACCGAAATTGTGCGGTCCAAGCTGTCCACGACAGAGATCCAGCACCGCGCCCTCACACACCTCCCCGACGAGCTGCTCTCCAACATCCCCGAGCACCAAAACGCTTACTCGCTCTTCCAAGGCTTCCAGGCTAGCTTCCCAGAGTTGGCGGATGATGGGAAGAAGCACCGTCGGCGCCCATCGAGGGGCCGGAAACTGCTGGAGGAGGGGGAGAGCACTCCCGCCACGCCGGCGAAGCTGTCCCAGCTGAAGAAGGAGAAGACCACCATGGTGCATGAGCTGGAGCTGTTGGGGGTGCGCAAGAGCATGGTCAGCTGTGAGATCCGTGAGATAGACAACAAGATTGCCAATCTCTATGGCATGCGCAGGATTGTCTTGGAGAGGCTAGCAGGCTTCGAGCAGGACGAGTCCTCCCTTGAACATGACGGTAGGTGCCTCAACTCGAGCAATAGATGTATCTTGTCCCTCAATGATGAATATGCGCCTCTAATTGCTTTCCATTCATAGTCATGGATCTTGAAACCAAGATTGACGAAATCCAAGCCATTGTCGATGAGGCCGAAGAGATTGCCCGGAATACTGCCACAAAAGACGAGCGAGATCTCGTGGGCGACGCCGACGACCATGACCCCGAATTCATGTCAAAATCGGTCTACGAGAAGCTGCCCGGACCCGATGGCAAGCCGCGCAAATCGAAAAAGGTTCATCGCCGGAAATCCATGCCGATTCTTCACGAGCACTTTGCGCCAGGATCTAGCATCCGTGAAATCCGCGCGCATCGCGATACGATTACTGCCATGGACTTTGACGCCCCCTTTGGAACTTTGGTTACTGCTGCACTGGATGATACTGTTAGAGTCTGGGATCTGAATGCCGGACGATGCATGGGCTACCTAGAAGGCCACACGGCCTCTGTGCGAGCCCTGCAGGTCGAGGATAACATTTTGGCGACTGGCTCCATGGATGCGACCATCAGATTATGGGATCTAAGCAAAACACACTACAACCCTCAGGGCGGCAAGGAAGTTGGCGACGACGACGAAGATGCCATTGCCTTTGAACACCCCGACGCCCAGCCCATCGAGCCGCCGGAGGGAAGCATGGACGACTGCGCTCTCTACACACTATCATCTCACGTTGACGAAATCACCGCGCTCCACTTCAGGGGAGACGTCCTGGTCTCTGGCTCAGCAGACAAGACGATCCGACACTGGGACTTGGAAAAGGGCCGTTGCGTGCAGACGCTCGACGTCATGTGGGCAGCCGCCCAGGCATCGGTCACCACCAGCGACAGCACCTGGAGACCGACGGGCCGTGCTCAGGGAACCTCTGCCGATTTTGTCGGTGCTCTGCAGGTGTTTGAGTCCGCTCTGGCTTGCGGCACTGCAGATGGCATGGTCCGCCTATGGGATCTCCGAAGCGGCCAGGTTCACCGCAGCTTGGTCGGCCACACTGGCGCTGTGACTTGTCTGCAGTTTGACGATGTGCACTTGGTGACTGGCAGCTTGGACCGCAGTATCAGAGTAAGCTTATCCTTCTTGTCATTACGACTTTATAGACGGCATCAACTAACAATTCGCTTTTCAGATATGGGATCTCCGAACTGGATCCATCTACGACGCTTATGCCTATGACAACCCTGTCACCAGCATGATGTTTGATGCCCGACGGATTGTGAGCGCGGCCACCGAAGACGTGGTCAAGGTGTACGATAAGGTTGAGGGTCGACAATGGGACTGCGGAGCGGGTGTTGCTGCCTCCGAGGGCGTCAAGGCTGCCTCCAAGAATGCCGCCATTGTCGAGCGTGTTCGTGTCAAGGACGGCTACCTGGTAGAGGGTAGACGAAACGGCATCGTGGGTGTCTGGACTTGTTAGAGTTATTTCTAGTCTTTAAGTCGGCGCAGCTCAAGCGAAATCTAACGAAAGAAAGAAGAGTGTTTGGTTTCTTGTACGTTAATGAATGATGGGAATGGGTTGTGGGGGGTCTTGTGTTTTGAAAATATATCTTCTGATGAGTTTTACCATTTTTGCTTCAGGTACTTGGTAACAGAAAGTGAGGGAGGAGTGCACTAATAGAGATTCAACTGGATGTGACTGATGACATTTTGTGGTTTTAAATGGTACCCTTTTTCTTTTTCTTTTTTTTCAAGACGGCGCGATTTTCTTTGGGGAGTAAAAATAAATTGAGTAACGGGGGTTGATGGCGATATTATGATGGCTGATACTTGCTCCGGGTAGGATGAAAGATGGCTTACAGATTTGGCACCAGAGCTTTTACTTCTCTCCACTTACACCTTACACCCTACACCTTTTACTTGTACCAACACGGACTGCGAATGCATCTCATTGCTTGTTTTACGCAACAATCTCTTTATTTTCAGTACCTCTAGAATCCATATTTAGTAGGCGGATTGCCCTCTTTAACATGTCTTTGCTGCGCGACCAAGTTTTATCACGATATCGCAATGCCGCAGACACCATCGCCACATCACACCATGCCAACCCCAACCCAGAAAATCCCAACACTGATGCAGCTCACGAACCATCACAACATGAGAGCGCAGATCTAAAAGGACATGCAATGCAACGATTGCTGCAGCGCCAAGCACGCTGTCTCGCCAAGCTCCACGAGGCCCTGGAGCAAGGGACCGATGCTGGAGTAGATGAGGATTTGCTGCAGACCAGGCTGGATGACCTTGCGTCGGTTTCCATGTCGACGTTTTATGCGTATCGATTTGACTTGCTGCCTCAGTATTGGAGATGGATATACACGGATACCTTGATTCTCATGTCGCATTATTCTATTTTGCAGGCTGCTCGATGTGGTTCTTTCGACGAGCATCTTATGGACTGCGTGGTTGAGGATCTAGACAGAGCCCTCATCGTAGCTGGTGGTGCAGGCAAATTTCTCGGCAAGCAGTGGATCGAAGGGACGCTGGACCTGCTCAGTCGCTTTTGGGAAGAAGAAAAGGCTGCAATTGCCGGCGAGCAGAGACCGCATAAGCGCATCAAGAGAGAGACTACGTTTTCTGATTGCGAGCCATTTGGCCGTCCCAGTCTCTCAGCGGACAAGACCTGTCCACGATTTGAAGGTTGGACATTGGACAGGTTCGAGAGGTACATGAATGAGGAGAGCCAAGGAAGGCCGCTGCCCATTGTGTTGACAGACTTGACAAAGGATTGGCCTGCTTTTTCGGATGCTCCCTGGGATAGTCCCGATTATCTCCTCTCCAAGACATTTGGCGGGAAGAGGCTCGTGCCCATTGAGATTGGGCGAAGCTACGTCGACCAGGGATGGAGCCAGGAACTCGTGCAGTTTAAAGACTTTCTGACGAGATACATCGACCCCAGCATCCTACCACATCATGCTGGCGATGATATAGAGCCAATACCCCAAAAGGATGGCATACGGACACCACACAATGTAGGGTATCTCGCACAGCACAACCTCTTCGGGCAGATCCCCGCTCTGCGTAGCGACATCCAGGTACCAGACTTTTGCTGGGCTGACGTCCCGCCGCATCCTACGACCCCGGCCAGGGACCAGGCGCCCGTGGACGTTCCGCAGCTGAACGCTTGGTTTGGCCCTGCGAAGACCATAACCCCGCTTCACACGGATGGGTATCATAATCTGCTGTGTCAGGTTGTTGGGACCAAGTATGTGAGGCTGTATGCTCCTGGGGAGACGGGGCGGCTGAGGCCTAGGGGGGTGGAGCTTGGTGTTGATATGAGCAACACGAGTGAGTTGGATATTGGTGTTTTGGAAGGCTGGGACAAGGCTGTTGATGGCGATTGTGATGATGGAGAGGAAGAAGAAGACTGGGAGAGGAGCACAAGAAGAGAAGAGCTGGCGGATGTGCCCTATTGGGAATGCATATTGCAGCCGGGAGACACGCTGGTCATTCCGATAGGGTGGTGGCATTACGTACGCAGCTTGAGTATCAGCTTCAGTGTGAGTTTTTGGTGGAATTAGAGTTTAGCCTTTGACGATATCGTGAGGCGTATTCTTGGTGGATTGAGATAGCTGGGGTGCTATTTATATACATGGGACAGACTAGGTCTTTCATTTGACATCAATCTACATTTAAGGTTATTTCAAATCAGCCAATGAGAGAAGAAAGTTCACAAAATCCATTAGAAGGGGGGTCATCAAGGTAGCAGAAGTGGCAGAAACAACAAAACTTTAGATAAGAAGCAACGCAAACCTAAGCTGTTCTAGAACAACTCTTCTAAATTCCCTCAGGCTCCACAGCAAGGCAGACTGAAATATATAAAAAGGATCTGCCCAGGCTATCATTATCAAAAAAAAAAAAAAAAAATCAAAAATCAAAAATCAAGCCAATGACGAAACTACACTGAAAAACAGGCTCTCCAGCTGGAGGGATTATATATCCCTCACAGAAATCCCTTGGTGGGATGGGAACCGAGGCCTTGATAAGAGACCACATTATTATGTAAAGGTAAGTCTACCCGGCGCAGCTAATGGCTGAGTAGGTGAGTCCTTTGAAGACACCTTGGAGTTACCACAGAGTATCAGGCCAATGATGAGACTATCACAGAAAGTTCTCTCTCCAGCCAGAGGACATGCTATTTGTCACCAAGCAGAGGCTTTCTAGGTAGTATGAAAGCTGAGGCCACATCGTAAAAATGCAAGGTCAATTTGCTCAGTACTCCAAAACTGAGTGAGTGTGTCCCCAGTTACCACGGGATATGCCACGCCAATGATGAGAATATACTGAAGAGGGGCTCTCTAGCTGGAGGACATGCTATTTGTACCCAAAGAAGCCTTTTTCTTTGATATAAGAACTGAGGCCGCAATTATGGGGACTGCTTCTGTGACGCAGGGCTACAAGGGAGTATAATATGATGCGGTGTACCCTGCTTTGGATTTGCAATCTCTCGCCTTGCCCTGGGAAGAATCTTTCTAAATTTGCTTTGCGCGTCACCACGAGGGCAATCTTTATATATTTGTAGCAACTCCTTTCACTGACAGTCTCTTTATAGTGCTACATATCACATGTCTCTTCTATACACATTCATCGGGTTTACAGGAGATCAAATGCCGTCTCACCAAAGAGGCTGAAAAGGGCGTCCAAGGCAAAATGTGAGAGCTTTCCTTGCATTATGCATCATAATGAGCTGCACTGGCACCAAGATGATGATTGTTATTATATGCAAGGGACCACAGAGAACAAGAGCTCGAATATCGGTATTGCATAACACAAGCTGCTCTAGAGAGCTGAGGTCATCGACAGCAGACCGCTTGATATTTACTCCCTTTGATCCAATCCCACTACCTTGGGCTCCAAATACTGCGCATTTGTTGTGCTATACAGGTAAATAAATCGTCCGATCGGGCACTTGGCTAGATTATTCACCCCCGTCACGAGTCTCTCAGCTGACGAATTCATACAGAATGCATGTAGCTATTGATGGGGAAGCTTTACCCCTGTTTGTTGGTAATCCGCAAAGTTCATGCCTCACCCTCAAAAAAACAAACAATGATAATCGCAGTAGTGGAAGACTTTTGCATTGTGTCACTGGGTATATTAATTCTAAATATTCAGATACCATTGCATTTACTGAGGAACTCGCTAATGGTCAACAGGTCAGAAAGATTTTGTCGCCATCGGAACTGACACTCTCAAGATGGCACTACCACATAATTCGGTCCTCGGTTTGGCTGTTTGTAATCACCCAGCTTAGCTACACTTTGCTCAACACAACTTTCACGTGAAGTCCCCTCGGACCATTCAGTCCCCCATGAATATCCCTCTGTCCTGTTGTTCATCCAGCTCGTACGTGGGAACCGATCGCCTTGCGCGCCGAAACCTGGTGGATGGTAGCTAGATAGTGGTAGGCGAGGCATTGCGATGACGTGATGGCTATCAAAGAGCGCGTCAGTAGTCTGTGCAGACAAACAGGACGAAAAAAGAGGAACCGACCCGTGAATGGAACGAGGCGCAGTGTTGCTCGCTTCTCGGAGCCAAGTGGTTGAGAGATGGATGACGCAGATGTAAATCGTCGACGCTGGCAAATTCGGTTGACTATGGATGGTGTTAGTAGCCGATGATGATTGCGGCAGCGAGGAGGATGGAAACTTACTTTGTGGTAGTTGTCCAATCTCGAGTTGTGTCGGAGCTGAGGCTATTGAGGCTATCGATGTTCCTAGAAGAAATTGTAGGGAGGTCAGCCAAAGGCTGAGTGGGTGTGTCCACTCTGGGTTACTACAGAGGTTGCGTCTCATCATGGGGGTCAGAAGTTGCATCATCACCATTGTGGTGACACACCCACCTTTATCGAAAACAGGCCAATGATGAGACTACACCAGAGGCTTTTGGCTGGAGGACATGCTATATGTCGTTCAAGCAAGGCCTTTGGTGGTGTGGGAGCTGAGGCCTTACCAGAGAAGCGCTCTGTTGGATCGTTCGACTTGTTGGGAACAAAACAAGACAAATGGAATGGAAGAAGGGTGGAGTGATAAGGAAAGGAAGAGTGAAGGCGAGGTGTTATGAATGGGATGTAGAGATGGACTGAAGTTGACGGCAATGTTACGAGGATGAAGGGGATCGAAGGGTTGGAAGAACATAGTGCTGAGGAAATGGAATCGTGGAATGAAGACGGAGGATTGAAAAGAGAGGAAAAGTAGAAAAGATGAGATAGGCAGCGAGATTTTATAAGACATGGTTGCTACGCAGCTTCTACGAGTTATTCTCTGGCTTTGGTAAGAACGATAACCATGAAGCTATCTTGGGAAAGACAAAGGGTGAATGTTTTGTTGTTTTGCGTCCTAAATGGGTAATTGGATCCTTCTCTGCCGCAGAGGAGAGGCAAGTCGTACTAATATGTACAAGGCATGACTTGGCAAGCACAAGGTAAGAGTGTTCATGTACTATGATTACGGCGTTGCTACGGTTTGAGAAACTAGAAACGTAAAGAATTCGAATGCAATCAACAACAAGAGGGCAGGAAGCGGTGGATAAGGCTGGGCGTCAACGTCAAACGTATGCAGACAGGCAGTTGGAGGCTAGAACAATCTGCACATTGACATGGTCTAGAAGCAAACTTCCAACAAGTGCTCTGCTACATGCACATCGGCATTTTCTTTACATTATTGCAATAGTTCACGTTGAATGATGATCAGCTTCGCGTTAAGCTGGCTATAAAAAAAAGAATCAGCCGTCTGTTGTTGGGCTTTGTATGAAGAGCCTTGTTTTAGCCATGTAAAGAACGTCTTTTATATCCGTGTGTTTTGTATTTTATTCAATCGTGTATACGGACTCTTTGTGCCGAACAGGCGATAATGGGCATTATTGCTTCATCGCTAAATACTTTTATACCCAAATTAATAAAAAAAAAATGCGTTGAAATATGAGTTAGAGGGAGGCGACATCGTATATTTTGAATGCAAAACTACGCTGGCAACGCTTTGCCCTACCTACGAGAAACAGACAGATATAGCCATGCGCAAAGGCGCAACGTAGCTCGCTAGTACGACCAAACAAACAAATATGAGAGACTGGATGCCTCGTCAACAAGCAGCGCCGTTTCACCCTTGAGATGAGCGAGCATCCTCCACGCTCTCAGCCGACACTTGCGCTCCCCTCCGGGCCTTGGCACCAGCCTTCAACGTCTCCCACTTCTCACGGTACTTCTCCAGCGTCTTTTGCTGCTTACGATTGTCCTTTTCAAGGCGTTCCATGTGCTTTGTCATTGCGGCAATCTGTTCCTCCAGCTCGTGATTCTTCCGTATCAGCTCATCGTCATTCACTCTCCCCCCGGAATGCTGCGACCCAGCAGGCATGATGCGATAGCTTTCAGCAAGAGCAAGAGCAGAACTCTGGGCGCTGGCTTCAAACGTGTGCAGGCGTTTCGAGAGTTTGTCAAGCATGTCCTTTAGCGATTTGTTTTCCAGGCTGAGTTCCTCGATGGTGTTGAACAGTTCCTTTTCAGAGTGGCTACGGGCAATACGTCGTCTGGGGTTAAGAGAACCAGGGGCTTCACGGGCGTCCACAAAGTCATCGTCATCATCATCGTGAGGCAAGAGGTCGCCATGGATCGAAGCTTCCAGTCGGCGCTTTTCTTTTTCAGCGTAGCTCAGAATGTTGGCATAAGACATGGTATGACCGGTAGAGGGAACAACGTAGAATGAGTCAGCAGCAGTGTGGCCATCTCGGACAAGAGCTCGCATAGTAGCCTTTGAGTAAATCTTGGAGAGATCCGGTTCGACGCTAGAAGACGGGGAGACACGGGCACGGGATGGCTTGGTTGGGGACAGGTTGACAGTAGGGGGAAGCACAGCAGATTCAGTGGGCGTGGCGGGCTCCTCTTGGATGAGCGGCAGACCAGCGAAGGCGAGGGGAGCCGAGATTTTGTTGATCAGGCTTCCGAAAGTGTTGTAGAAGCGGGCGTAGCCACCATCGTCCCTTGCGGGAGAGCCCGGCTCGACCTTGGGAGACGCGCTGCCCTTGGCCGCAACGCCGTCTTGCTTGGCCGCGGCAGTTGCAGGCGGAACCCAGGTAGGGCGGCCGGTCTGGCGGTCCATGATGTTCTGCATCTTGGCCTTGGAAGCGTCGCGCTTCGCTTGGGGGTCGACATTGCCGGGTGCCTGGTCGTTGGACACGCTGGGGCTGAGCGGCTGGGTGCGGTCCTTGGATCGGATGCCTCTGGCGGAGGCGAGGTTGCTGGCGATGGACGACGACATTTCGCGGCCCATGTAGCGGCGCTGGGCCAGGCCGGGCGGCTGGGCCCCTTTGGCGACGGCGGCCTGGGGAGAGTCTCGCGCAGCGTCCAGGCCGAGGGCATCGCCGTCAGCCTTCTCGGACTGCGTCTTCTCCGAAAGCTCGCCATCTCGGGCGTGCGGCATCTGCTCCGGCGGCAGCTTGAGGATCTCGGCCAGCTTCCGGTGGTGCTCCTCGAGGAGCTTCAAGGTCCTGAGCGCCTCGACGCTGGACGTCGCCTTTGCGGCATTGGCAAACTCGCCCGCGGCCAGGGTGTGCTCGCTGATGGCCACGGTGGTATCAGACGACGAAGACTGGCGAGTAGCGACGGCGGCAGCACGCGCGTGGTCGTGCGCCTTTGTGAGCGGCGACGACTCCATGGTTGCGAGTATCGCTTTTTGAATCTACCGACAAGATGTGGTTCTCTCCCCTGCGGGACAAGCGAGAGGCGAGAGACGGTGCAGTATGTCGTTTGGCGATGCAGCAAATTGCCAGTTTCGGCCGTCTTTGAGCATCAGATGAGTCGAGTTGCGCAAGTGTGCGCGTAAGTGTGTATAATCTGTGCGGGCACTTATTAGCGTCCCGCTCCATGACGGCATGCGGACGCGATTGACATTGGATGAACAGGCGGCTGCAGCTGGGGCTGGGTGGCGAAAGGGGTATCTGGGAGGTACTGGCTAGGTTTGGCGCTTGGGACAAACCGGCGAAAGCGTCTGGCTGCGCTTCTGGAGTTGCATCGGTTAGCTGGAGCAGTTGAAGCTGTGCTAAACGAAACAGCTGAGCCGCGACGTTTGTACGGACTGGGCTGTTTGCGTGTTTGCACTGTTTGCACTGACGTATTTGCAAAAAAATATGTGAAGCAAACACCAAAAAACCATCAGTGACAGCACCGACAAGCAGCATCATCCGGTACGGAGCATCGGCCTATTGCAGCTCCCGCATCGTCGTCACTCACGGCGGCGACGAACTGCCTTCTCCCAGCACTAAAAACGAGCCCCCCACCTTGAATTCTCCTCCTCCGGGGTGCCTCGTCACACAATCTCGACAACGCTTCCCTTGTCCGTTTCGCCAGGGGCCATTTCTCGCATCTCTAGAGCCTCCGTGCCATCGGCCCCGATCAATCGGCCCTTGCTAATTGCGCAGCCTCGCTTGGCCGACTCAAACGGGGCCGTTAGTGCACAGCACGGAGTTGATTTCAGGAGTCGCGAGGACAGGAGATGCGACTTGCCCGTCCTATTTATATAAGAATCTCATGCTACAAGGTCGCGCGACCAGAGACGGACGTCTATCAAACCAAAGGCTGCTCCTCCTAGTGTTCCGGTGATATAAGAGAGTAGAGCGTCGACGGCGAAGCGGGGACTTTAGCTCACAGCTCTCCAGATTCATTTCCATCTTTTCATCTTATTTGACGACTCACTCCTTTTTATTCTTCTTTTTTCATTCTCTTCATTCTTTTTTCCATTCTAAAACGGCCATCTTCCATTTTCTTCTCCCTTGCGATCCACGGCCTCTGATTGATCGATTCGATTCCCGCGTGTCACTGTTTCACTCGGCTAGCATTAGCGGCCTGCAGCGAGAATGGAGAGCAGCAGCAATGGCGGAGGAACTGGAGGAGGAGGATTGAGCAAGCTGCTGGCCAAGCGCAGACGACGAGTAAAGACGGGCGGCCTGGAGTCGGACGCTTCAGGCCGCGAAGACGGTGACGATGCGGCATCCATCAACGCCGCCGACGACGACGACAACGACGATCGCAGCTTTGGGTCCTACGAGTCGGGAGGCGCCGATGCCGACGGAGAGTCTGACCGGTAAGTCGTGAAATATCTCTGCATAGCCAGCGTTTGTCATTGTGGCTGTCTATTCTTGTATTTCCCATCAAGTTGCAATCTGCATTTCCATTGTGTCGTCTCGCCAGTGGCGGAATGACAAGCAGCAGCAGCAGCGCAAAGGAGCCTTGCATGCTGTAATGCCGCCGTCCCTGCGTCCTTCCCTGCACAGCGTCACTGCCCAAGCGCACATTCTCTCCACGCCACACAGCGCAGCTTTGGGCCTCTGTCTCTTCTTTTCATCGTTGCTCCATTGATCTTCTCTCTCCCTCCTCGCGCACCACATATTTTTTGTTCCATCTTGCTGGGCTCGTATTCGCATTTTGCCTGCTAGCTCCAGCCCACGCATGCGATTCAGCCCCCTCTCTCCAGCACTCGTCTTCATTTAAAGGCGTCGCATCGAGCTCTGACACCGAATCAGAAGCAGCTCTCGCCCCCCACTGTCTCGCTCGGCCACGACATCCCTCACGTCGCATGCTGGCCACCTGGCAGCGTCTTCTCCCGTCGTACAAGTGACCGACTTCGACCCTCCGAGCGAACGACGGCCGTCTCTCCTGTCTAGGCGCCTCCGCCGTGCATCGTCCAAATCCAGGAGCTCGTCTCCCAATGCGTCCAAGGAGCGCCTAAGCGAGATAGCGCCACTGCCCGAACCGCCTGCCGCGGCCAAGACGACCTCATCCCCTGAAAAGCATTCCATCATCCCGCCCGCGAGGATCTCGACATCGCCTGCGCGGCCTTCGACAAGCGACGATCAATTTGGCCCCGTCATTGTAAACACCCCCCCGACACCGGTCGAGCGAACAAGTCCCTTCGCCTTGCACCAGGAGAGGAAGCTGCCGCCCGTCATTGCAGAGCCCGCCTCGAATGGGGACCGCCCGTCTACATCATCATCATCTTCTTCTTCCCACGCCGTAAGCGCGCATCGAAGAACGAAGTCGGGATCCGCGAGTATAGGACCCAGCAAACTGTCCAACATCACCCTTGCGCCGCTTTCACCTACCCCTGAAGACGGCCAAGTCCAGACGCCGAGCTCAGCAGGATTCTTCTCTTCCATGTTCTCGGTTGCCCAAAACGCTGCGAGTAGTATTAGTAGCAATATCCAGGGCGGCGGCATTGGGATTGGAGCAAACAAGAGTCGGACG